ACCTGCCATGATGGTAGCTGCCGGTGTTGCAGCTCCAGCTACGGCCGCATATGCACAGACCATTGGAAAAATCGCAGCAAATGTTTATGATCCACAATTACTTACTATCGGAGCGGACATTTTGAGCCCGACTCAAGGATGTTACATGACGGAAATGACAGTCCCGGTTTTCTTTTCCGCGGTACAGTATACGGATCCCGGCCAACGCGAATGGACACTTGTCAATCTGCGTAATGTATCCCGCCTCACAGGCTGGAAGTCATCCAATGCCATTGCAAGTGGATGTGAGAGAGCCTGGGTCGTTGCAGGGAAACAGGGGAGAGGTCCTCCATATCAACCTACAAGTGAGGCGCGACGGCAACCCACAACGGACCCATCGCCTCAGCAAAGCCCGTACCACAACACAGAAAGACGGTTTATCACCGTGAGCAAATCAAACCGCCTTCATTGGGCTATGGGCATATTGAGCTTGGAAGACGATGTCGAGGTATAGGCAGCTCTGAACATTCAGGTCTATAATACTACATCAATGAATAATGCAGAATGCAGTGCCAGCGCGTAACGCGCGTGAGCTTATTAGATGGGAATGGCCCGCTATTGTGCATTCACTTTCATCGTGAATATTCGTTATGATCTTGGATTGGGGTGACCAGTCTATTTCTGCTCTGCGGTCCGCCTTTTCTTAATATACTTCATGCATGTCATGCAGGTACACCTCATCCGGAAAACACAGGCACATACCCTTCTCGTTCTCTTGCAGAGAGCCCAAGTGTTTTCGTTGGTCGAATCCATCCACTGTGCTCTGATTTGTACACAACGCTGCAGAAGCCTCTGGTTGTGGCTGTCTGCCACGGCTTCGTCGGATCCGATTCCGGATTACAACCTGAAAGTTTGAAGCAATAGTACCTATACAGCTATACCCAGACAGCTCCGGGATTGTTCTCGAAAAGGCAGGAGCTTGCTGTTGGGACGGATGCAGCAACTAGATTTGTCTCGACCAGCAATCAAAGGGCCCTGGCCCCTGGCCGCCCTGGAGAATGGCGGAGACCGTGGGTTGGGCACCGGTTTGCCTGGATTGAAATGCATACAGGGAGGGGAACACTCTTTGGGTGGTTGTGGAAAATGATTCCGAAATAATTGCTTATTACGCAGAACAAAGAGCAGTAGCAAACTGCATTGTGCACAGGCTGTTTCTTTGTATCTTCGTGGCTGTTGACTCGGCGGATGAGGCTCAATCAGCCGCACGACGTGTATATACGCTGATATAACCGGCTGAGGCGCAATTTGTGTGGGACAGCGTGGCTGAGCTCCGCATATCGCTGTAACATACGGTAACGCTTGGTCCTCCGCATAGCGTCATGGGCCGGGGGAACTCGCTAATCTCAAAAGGGAAGAATGAGCGGCGGTCGTTGTTGTCGCGAATCGTTTCAATTTTCTGACTGCATCTCTTTCTCTTCTGCCTGCTTGTGCACTTGGTGTGTATATATACCCCCCAGTATCCTCGCTGGATATTGTGTTGGCCTTCTCCTGTTCCTGTTCCTTCGTCCACGGTCCCTCCCTCCCCGCTTGAGTATCAAGTGAGCGGCCCGCCGAGTCAGCGGCTAGCATCCACGGTTTGCCGTCAGCATTATCTAGTGATACCTCTGTTATTGTTTGTTCAGATTCCACATGGCTCCATACGACGACTACCGCTTATCTTCGAGCATTCTGGAGAGCCCGCGCGACGGACCCCGTCACTCCAGAGAACGCCTGCATTCTCGTGGTCCTCCGGTACGCGAACGACCACGCCCGGCCTTCGATTATGATGAGCGCTTTGAGTCACGCCTGCATGCGGCTGACCGATATGGTCCTCCTGCCCGCCGGCCAGACAGGTACTACGATGATGCGGACTCGTTTGTCTCGTCTGAGCGCCCTGAACGCCGCCGGGGAGTGAGCCCTCCTCCTCGACCCCGCCTTTTGCGACGACAGTCTTCCCTAGATACCTTTGATCGCATCCCTTCACGCAAATTGGAAGAAATGTACTACCGGGGCCCTTCCCCCCGACTTTCACCGCCTCCGAGATCGAGATACTCTCCTCCGCGGCCCCATGGAGATGACCTCTATTACGAGGATATTCGCATCGCAGAGCCGGACTACTATGGAGACGAAGAGTTCAGAGGATTCCGTGAGCGGGACCGGTATCCAACTCGCCCTCGTCGCTCCAGTAGCCGTTTCCGTGAGAGGATTGTCGAAGAACGCATTGAGAGACCCTACCCCCGAAAAGGCAAAACTCGCATGCCCAAGAAGCTGGTCCATCCTCGGGCCATCCTCGACAGGGGCTATCCTTTTGAAGAAGAGGAAAAAGCGGTCATGATTCAGGTGGCTCTCTCCAAGGAGCAGATTGACGAGCTTGTCACTATCAGCCGGGAGATCAGGCGGGTAAGCGAGGGTAAGTTAAGCACTTGTCTTGGGTTTTTGGAAAGACATAACAGGCTAACTTCTTATTCCTCACAGCCCGAATTGTACGCACTTCTCCGTCACCCGTTCGCATGGAACGGCTTAGTATAGCAGATAGTCCACCTCGAGCAAGCCACGATACGTTGATTGTTGAGCGATCACCATCTCGGTCACATTCGCGCCATCACCGCCACCGTCGTGGGCACAGCGAGAGGACCTTGAGCGTTTCCCGAACCAGATCGCGATCAATATCGGCTCAGAGTCGTCGTCGCCGTCGGTCATCGCCTGGACGCCGCGAGGCCAATCGAGATGAGACTGGTCCTCTGGCCATTATGGTGCGTCCCCGAGACAGTGACGATGATCTTAAACTTGTCGGGCCACTGGAACGTCGCAGTGGTGACCTTACAGAGGACGAAGAAGTCCATGAAGTGAAAAAGGAGCGCAAGTGTAAGATGATCTGCGGTATAATCAAAGTGACGGCACGGTGCTAACATCTCTACAGCTCCCAATTCTCGACTTATCCGGGCAATGATGGCCACTCTGACTTAATTCTGATCAGCTCCCCTACGCTTTCCCTTGTTAATTACCCTTTCCCTTCATTTCCATTTCTTAATTTCTATGTTTTTACTTTTCCTTAAATGCCATACTGGAATATGGGCAGAATGTAATGATTGGAGGGCATATACTTGACGCATACCACGCCGCATGTTTACGATACATATGAGCTTAATGACTATAATTCCATACGTTGTATTTGTACCTTAATGCTCTAGCTGTATATGAAACTGGGCGGTGCGGCGGAGGCGGTGACGGCCCGCGTGGCCTTGACATCCAGAATCTCACCTCCCCTCCGTGATATTTTCCATCGCAATTCATCCCCTCTCCAGAGAATAATTTCTAAGATTCTACTACTATATCGAATATTCCTCCACTAGATTAACCATATCGCCCACCATCATGGACCGAGTACAAGCGTTCGGAAAGAACCTCAGGTAATACACCCCTCTTCCCCGGATCCAGTGCATTGCTTGTTTTGGTGGAGCCGTCATGTCGCATTTTACCATTGTGGTCGTTTAAGGAATCCCTGCCTGCTGACATGATCTGTTCTTGCTTTTTATTGCGGCTAGTGCGAACTTCACGCCCTTTGCTGCGCGCACGCAGCAGATGCTCAAGGAGCAATTTGGCCAGGTTGAGGACAAGACTCAGCTTCCCGACGAGTACATCGAGCTCGAGAAGCGCATTGATGCGTTGAAGCTGGTTCACCAGAAGCTTCTGCAAGTGACGTGAGTGTCTTCCCTTGTCATCCCGTGGCTTCAGAGCTCACCCCCTCTCCGATCCAACTTTCACATGAATATACTCCGTACTGACGAGTTGTTCTTCCCCACCCTCCAGCTCCCAGTACTCCAACGAAGCCTACGATTATCCCCCCAACATCCGCGAGTCCTTCAACGACCTTGGCCGTACTATCCAAGAAAAGGTCCAACTCCTCTCCCAAGCCGCCTCCCCCGCAGAGGCCCAGGCTGCCCTGACTGCCCCGCCGGCCGCAAAGCCCCAGCCCAAGACCTTCAACCACGCCATTGCCCGCGCCTCCCTGTCCGGATCGCAGACCCTGGCCCAGAGTGCTAACGGCGAGGACCCCTTGGGAGGTGCCTTGGAGAAGTATGCCCTCGCTTCGGAGAAGGTGGGCGAGGCCCGTCTGGCGCAGGACGCCCAGATCCAGTCGCGGTTCCTGGCTGGATGGAACACGACGCTAAACACGAACTTGATGTTTGCTGCTAAGGCGCGCAGGAATGTGGAGAATGCTCGTCTTATGTTGGACTCGGTGAAGGCTAGCAAGAAGGCTGCTGCCCGGGGTGACCTTGACAACTTGAGCGAGGAGGCCCGTGCCGAGATTGAGCAAGCGGAGGATGAATTTGTCGGACAGACTGAGGAGGCTGTGAGCGTCATGAAGAATGTAAGTTTACCCTTCCTTTGTTGTCAATGTGAGAGAACCCGCTCTAACCGTGTCCCAACCAGGTCCTCGATACCCCCGAGCCCTTGAGAAACCTGGCAGACTTGATTGCCGCACAACTCGAGTTCCACAAGCGGTCGTACGAGATTCTTAGCGAATTGGCTCCTGTCGTCGACGGTCTACAGGTTGAGCAAGAGGTACGTATATCTACATTCTTCCCAGTCCGGTTTATGTCCATTCTCTGACTATGGCTTTTAGGCTAGCTATCGTAAGAGCCGTGAGGGAGCGTAAATGATATCATGATTTTCTATCTTGTCGTGGTCTTTGTTTGTTCTCGATGTCTCAGCTTGTGTTTCTTAACTACCCCATCACTGTACTGCTTTTGTGCTCGGGATGAGCTTTCCATATACTCTTATGCTTGAGTTTGAAATAAATTCCCCATCGGATGATGCTTGATGATCAATTAAAAACGCTTCAATGATCTGAACATTCGCAGTAGCCTCGTAGTAAACATGGCGCGTCTACCGCGGCAATCCGCGAAGCGCAGCCGCTGATTTCTTACTGCCTCAGGCATAAATGTCACAGCTGGCCGCTCCGCAATCCGCCCATTCCAGACCGACCACTATCAGACGGCTCCTGTCAAGTCATATCCTCGAAGACTAGATTTGTGCTTATCCTGCGACCACGAACCATACTCACCAATTTACGCGGTCCGAAATACGATCAATAACGGCGGCAGCAACACGACCGATTCGCACCTCATAGCGGGAAGCTAGCTAGCTACGTCCGGCCCCGGAATCGAGAGTCGCAATCGAGCAAACGAACAAAGCATCGAGACCATCGCCGGATCTATCAATACGCGCTACGGGAGATAAATATACGGCGCTCACACGGATTACAAGCAAAGACGATTAATCGTGTTAGGTTTTGAGCTGGTCCTGAATCTGATTGCTTCATCTTAATCGATCCTTCCGTCACCTTTGAGGGAAGGCCGTTATCGATTGCGAAGCTCTCTACGCTACACTGCGGGAAGAAGGAAAGCATACAAGCAAAATGGCAGCTGGGTACGTCACACTTCAATCCATCAATGTCACCTCATGAGACGATGGAATATACTAACCAGTGACTCTCCAAACAGCGCAAGTCTAATCATCGGCCTTGTCATCGTCGTGCTCGCCTCTATTGTCGCGTGGGTGTTCAGTCCCAAGGGTGATAACCAGACGTTCGTCTTCCTTCCTCTCCCTCCTGCCTTCCTATGGGGGTATATGTGCGTGTTGGCTGACTGTGACTGGGTTCTAGGCTCTGGCGGAGTACGCTTATTCTCTCGTTTGTTTCGTGTTTCCTTATGTGGGGTAGGTATCTTCTCAGTTCGAGATGTGGATATGGATGGCTGACTTGAATAGCGATTATCTTCATGGCGCAATGGCATCCTCTTATCGCACCCAAGAGATCGGATATTCGACCTGATCGCGTACCGCAGTAAACACTTCTTCTGCGCTTGTAGAATCGGGTTTGAGCTGGCTGGCTGGTTAGGATGATGAATGGGATAATGGGTCTTGTATAGCTACGTTTTTCATTGTTATAGCGGAATATCAGAGATTCTTCATGCTTCTATTACAGCTATACATGCAATTCTATTGTAGACAGATTAACCAACTCCTACAACCCCTAACACTACTCGTTGGACCGCCCATCGAGCCATTAACCCTGCAACCGCCAACGCCACAGCGCGCAAATATCCACATCCCAGTAAGATATACAACGCCTCGATATTACTCAACAGCACTAAATGCGTATCCGCCGCCCCCAACGACAAAAGCGAACCCATCGACTCCAAGAACAAAGCCAAATACTGGTTCGCGGGAGCAGAAACAGGCACCATCGAGGCTAGTTTGGCAATCCAGCTCTCGGGCAACGGAGGCATTGGCCACGAGCCGGGTAATGACGAAGTAAATGATGAAATAGCAGGCGACAACCCGGACGTAGGCGCAGGGATTAGTGTCGCGATTGCTGTCGGGATACCCTGCTGTCGAGCGATGATGATGTCTGTTGGGTTTTGGGTGTAGGTCTCGGAGGAGGCATTGTTGCCGCCGCTGCCGTCTGGGCCCCAGATGACGAGGAGAATGGGGAAGAGCTTTGCGCAGCTGCTGACTAGCAGTGCGGTGCTGATGGCCGTTGGGCTTGCGGGTGCCGGAGGCGGGAGGGGTTGGACGTTTGTGATAGGGGCTGTGGACGCTCGTCTCAAGGGAGGTGCGACAGGGAGGGGTGGTGGAAGGGGAGGAGTAAGGTTTCCGGAGGCGCTGTTGGTGCGAACGAGAGATGGCGATGACAGCGAGGCTGGATCATGTTGCGAAGGTTTCGGTGGACTTGTCGCTGGCGGATTCGCGGCAGCTGTATGTGATTGCGCTTGCGGAGCCTTAGGCTGAACACCGGAAGACGAGCAGGTTGAGGGAGAAGGGTGAGATGTAGAGGGTTGGTTCGTCAAGGTGCCATCATTCGCGCTCCCTCCGCTGCTTTTACCAGTGTCACTATCGGCGGGACGACGTCTGGGGACCAACACGAACGCCAGCAAACGAACGGTAAGATGGTGCGCAAGCGTCGCGAGAGCGTTTAGAGTGAGGAAAAAGAAGTATTGGACGATGATCGGGGTGTGGATGAGGAAGCTGGACGTCACGGATTGCGATTTTTCGATGCGGGCCCAGGTCAGGTAGACGTCGAAGAGGAGAAGGAGGATACCAAGGCGGATAATGGAACGCTAAAGAGACGTTATATGTTAGCTTTGACTTGGTATAAGGTAAAAGACCGCGACTCACATCGAATTGGTTATCATCTCTTCCAAGCCGGTTGAAAAGGAGATGCCGGTACACCTGTCAAGTCAGCTTACCACTCTTTCCTCTTTCTACGAAGGGATGGTCTACACACCTGCGGCTTGATCAAAACCAGATCAATAAACAGCACGACAAAGTCATACTCGACGTATTTGTCCGCAAAGTGCTGGCAGCGCGGACATTGCGTCAGGCGCACGCCTTTGCCCAGCGATCGGTCATCGGCACGGCTGTAAGTGCTGTACAGGTGGGAAACCGGATAGGAGCATTCAATGCAGATAGGCATCGTGTCATTGGCGCATAATTATCCGGTCCATGGTACGGAGAAAGAAGTGAATTGGGAGAAGGTGCATCTACAGATTGTCGGAGTTGAAGCTCGTCCGAAGGCGGTGAAACATGTCAATATATTCAAGATAGCCCAGTCTTTAAATCTATGCTCGATGTCCAAATATATACAAGAACCTAATCAATCACACCAGTATTATCTGCCCAACTCGGCTCGATAGTGCGACAAACAGCCTCGTAATCCTGAAGCTTCTGCGCATCGTCAGGTAGACCCGGAGTCGTCCAAAACATCGTCCAATTAGTATCCGCCAACTTCCACGTCCCACGAGACCGCTCAAAGTACCATTTATTAACCGGGTTGTCCTTGCGACTGCGCCAGCAGAGTCCATTGGGGAAGCATGTGCGCACCATCGCATTGAATACCATATCCGCCACACCACCTGCGCCTTGGCTACGCTTCCGGACGGCGAACTTGTCCAGGTATGGGACCATTCGCGCGCGGCTGGCTTCGCTGTCGTCGTCTGGGATGCCGGGAGGTGTTTCCCAGGTGAGGATGGCACCGCCTTCGTACTCGCCTGCGATTATTACACCTGCTAAACGGTCGTTTACTCGTTTCAGGTAGTCCTGGACGTCGAGTTTGTGGTTAAAGGAGTCTTCGATTAAGTAGACCAAACGAGGCAGGTCAATACATGAATCAGTCAGCTTCACGCGACCTTCTTTGTTGGGAGCCCACACATGGACTCGTGTATCAGGCAGGACCGTCAGCGGCATGCCGCGTTTGACAAAGGTCGTGTGAGAGACAGGCGGGTTGAATGTGTTGTTGCCATCAAGGGCACTGCGCCGACTCATGGGCAGGGAAGACGAAAGCAATGGTTTGTCAGTGAGCAGATTGTGAATGAGCGGGTTCCGTTGTCGCCGCGTTCCCACGGCAGACACGGCCGAAACAGCAGTTTGCGGCGTCTGAGCCGAATTGGCTATGTCCATTGGCGACGAGATGATGCCGGATGATGTGGCGGGCAACATGGCAAGTGCCTTCTGAGACAGTCGGAGGTTTTCGATATGTCCATCAATCGCTTCTATTCCAGATCTTGCTTGGTTTGTTTGGTACGCTTGACCAGACGGCGTCGAGGAGACTTCCGAATTGACAAACTCCGTGAGAGGGTTACTATTGCCAATGGAAGTTGCCCCCTCATCAATTTTTGCGCCTTCAGGTGTCAGCAATGACTGTCCCACCCGCAGCAGTTCGTCTTCGATATCCTCAACCTCCTGCTCCATGTTGATGAAAACATGCGATGTCTGCGGTCCACTATATGCCGGGATGCCCCCTAGCGGATCCAACAGTATAACACGGTCTAAGGATACTTCTTTCTGAAAGCCCTTGATTCTATCGGCAGTGACCAATGGATCCTCATCAGGATTATGGGGGGGGTATGACAGCCCTGCAAACTCCTTGGTCAGAGCAAGCACGGCGTCGTTCGCAGGGATGAAAACCGCCCGGGGCGTATCCATGGTATACCCAATTGGAGGTACAATCACAGTATGTGCATCACGCAACGGATTCAGCAGCAGCTTTCGTGAGAACACCATGGGTTCCGTAGCAGTTGATGTAATGGAGAACCCCGAATCCAACCGGACGGACTTAGAATCAGGCTGCGCATCAATCGCGCTGGAAATGCGATCTGCTTGGTCTATGGCGATTTTCCGCAGCACATTAGGATCATCCTTTGTCCCCGGGTCCACTACAACACAACAGGGCAATCCCAGACGGCTCAGCTGGGCTAGGGTTTTGGCGACACCATCGATAATGGAGGCCTCGAGAAGCTGAGGTGTTGTGATCTTCACAAGAGCCAAGTGAAGCTTCTCCTCCACTACATCCTGTGGTTGAACTGCAGGAGTCGCATGCTGACGGAAGACGGGACTAGCGTAGACGGATCGCGAGGCACCATAAAACGAGCTGCCAGAAGATGACGGCTGAGGGATCAAAGCTGCTGCATTCTCTGTCGCCTTCGAAATCCCCGGTTCGGCTTTAAGTGTTGTAGGAGGGTTGTAATCTGTCTTCGGCTGCTGCTTGATTCGCGCCAGATATGATTTGGCTTCTCGCTTGGTCGGGGCCGAGCTCAACAGACTGAGGAAGAATTCCTAGCGACAACTATCAGCACATATTCCTATGGTGTATAGAATACCTAGGAGTTAGTTATACCCGATCAAGCAGCTTCTCCTTGGCCCGTCGGCCCAATCGATCGTTATTCTTACTAAAACTGGAAAATTCGGCGCTCTGGTGGACTGGCCGGTCGGCGCTGGAGGAAAAGGACCGGCACCATGGTCGAGGGAGGGGGTCGCGTTTAAGCAAATTATGATTATGTTGCTGGAGGTAGTCAGTATATAGGAATTCAATGCCGTACACAAGCATTGCGACGGATGAGGGAATGTATTTACCTGAAGCAACGAAGACTGAGCAGAGCGCGGCCACTTCAACGTGAAGGCGCTCATGTTTCATTATGGTCGCTCGAGGGAGAAACCAATGCCAAGAGGAGATGCATAGGAGAGAGAAAGAAGAAGAGGAAAAGAGTCAATTGAGAAGTTGGAGAAAAGAAAAAGCGTGGGGAGTCAAATTGATCTGAGTCGATGTGGGATAATGACGCATTGCCGCTTTCGGCCGTTCGGCGCCGATCCCGCTCTACTATGGAGTATAAACATGAAGATATTTCATTCATCTACTGAGCGATACAGCTACAGTCGGCTAGTCCCTCTGTCCGAAATCGACGGAATTCCATGTAGAATGCGATTCTCCTTGCTCTGCAACCTCTCCAGCGTTGCCTCGAATAACCGCGGAAGGCCGGTATTGCCATACTCTGTACCCTCGACTATCATCCGTGCAACCCCCAATGCTGACAAAAATATCTGGGGCATCCCATGACCGTTGAACCCGGCAATCACTGTCTGTTCAGGCTTCCCGGGTACAGGTCCGATGTGTGGGAGGAAATCCGTTGTATATCCCATGACTATACCCTCGGTTAGAACTATATATCCGACAAGAACAAGAGGGATGCAAAGAAGAGACATACTGCCTGTCCAGACTCGATCTGTGTACGCCCCCGTGTTCTCCCATCCATGAAAGTGCCGTTGCATGTAACCGTCAAAGTACTGCGCCGCCGATTCAACCAACCTGCTGTCATCTGTAACGTTGTACCAATTCCCCGGCTCACTCAGATACATTGACCGCGCGCCTCCAACGACGATACTTCCATCTGGCCGCGGGATCAGATAGTCATAATCCCAGTTGTTAAACCGTAATGTGTACGAGCTGTCCAACGGTTTTCTGGGCGGGTTAGGAACGACGATACGACTGCAGATGCCTCGCACCGGAATAATATGGTTTTGGAACTCCGGGGCTAGGGCTGACGTGTAAGCGTTGCAGGCGTACACGACTTTCTTTGCGCGGATTGAGCCCCGGTTGGTCGTTACTGCCCAACGTCCGTCCTTGTCTGGGGTATCGGATACTTGCAGGACGGGTGTGTATGTCTGCAGATTTGCCCTGCTGGCTATTGCCCTTTTGAGAAGGTGCATTATAAGTTTGTATGGCCAGAGTCGTCCGGCACCGTAGCTGAAGCAGCCCCGTGCGCCTTTGACGCCAGAGAACTGCCTGTTGTAAGTATGTCTTTTTACAACCGCCTCAGATGAAAGTAAACATACAGCTTCTGCCTTCTCTCCGGTATTAATCTCAACAAGCTTACTCGCTTCCAATCCATTTGCCACGAGCGATTCTAATCCAGCATTGAGTTTGGCACAGTGAGCATCATCCAGCTGAACATCAATGGCATGAGCCACTCTCAAATCGCACTCGACCTTCTCCTTCTCGACAAAAGACTGGACAGCCTGGAGATTCTGCATTTCAAACGCAGCTACTTCAGCTGCTGCTTCAATGCCGTGGTCGTTTGCTAGGGTGCTGGTGCCATTGTAGACGTCGGGTTTGAGGTGACCTCCTATTGTGTAGAAGCGTGATTAATAAATCACTTTCTCCTTCCATTCCACACAAATCAAGAGATTTAGGGAAAGCGGATGAAATGAGAGGAGTAACCTCACCATTTCTCCCCGTCGCTCCCGAGCAAGCCTGTCTAGCTTCTAGGATCACGATAGATGGCTTCTCTTTCCCCGTGCTCTGACTCTGCTCAATACAATGGTAAGCCGTTGCTGCCCCCGTATATCCAGCACCGATAATGACAATGTCGCTGGACTCGGGCAGCGTCTCGGTCGACCGATTATTGTCTAGAACATCTGGCTGGGAGCGCCAGAAAGAGGTCATACCTCCGCCGACGGGGAAGGGTTTGGCCATAGCTTGGTAGTCAATGTTCAACGTTGATAGTTCGGTGCAGTGGATGTAGCTGTTGATTCAAGATTGGGTGACACGGATGCTGTACACGTACTTATCAAGTGTCGTATACATTCGTCGTAGTCAATGATTGGCTAAGACCGCCGACATTGGACATGAAGATGCGGAGTAGATAATCTATCTGTACAAGGTATATCCGAAGATAAGCAAGGATCTATATGTACTCGTATGCACCATCTATTGGACAGGAACTAGACTGATATCGACCATTACAGTCTTGCTATATTTACCCCTCAGACGCAATAATCCCTGCTGCCATCTCCGGCAAGCTATCAGCCGTCACCTCCATCTCCCCAAACAACTCCGGAAGTGCCTGCTTCTCATACACAGTACAATACGCTCCTTTAAAGCTGTTTTTATCAGTTATCACATATATCACAGAGAGATTGTAAGGGAAAGATATGACCTACCCCGTGCGCCTCGCCGCAGAAACATCCCACATATGCGCCGCCGCAAACCACGGCTTCTCTCCACCCTCCGTCTTCAACCTCTCCAACAACGGCCGATAAGCCCCGGGATCCGGCTTCCCAACACCAGCCGTGTCACACGATAGGAGATTCTCCGAAGGCATCTCAACACCCGCATTGCGCAGATACGCACCGACCCGGTTCAAATCGCCGGCCGTGAGCGCCCAAACCGTAAACCCGGCCTCGCGGAGTTTCTGTACACATTCTAGTGCTCCAGGGCGGAGGTCTAGATTCGCGTATTCTTGCATGATATACGCGAGGTCTTCGTCTGTGCCGACGGTTGCGGGGTCCGCAATGCCTGCTTGGTAGAGCATGCGGTGGAAGATCTTTTCGAAAATGGTAGCATAGGGTGTGTAGGCGCCTGAGACACTGAGATAGGTGTATTCGCGCTCGGCGACTTCGACCCAGGTGTAGCCTAGGAAGGATGGTTGGACGCCGTGTTCGCGGAGTTTGGGGCCTAGGCGGGTGTCGATGGCGTTGTAGATGCGGTCGTAGGAGACAAGGGTTCCTACGACGTCGAATACGACGTTTTTGTTGGCTGGCATTGTGATATATTGATATAATGATTGCAATCCGGTTGGGCGGGATGGATTCGATAGATTTAATTGTGGTTGGCAGTCAATTTATATAGGGCTCAGTCATTGTCTTGGAGTCATTTCTCCGCCGGCTTATCTTGTGTGATGCGGGGAAGATCCGTAATGGTTACATCGGAGGATGTACTTTTGAACGCATATACCACGGGCTAAATAAAAATAAAATAAAAACAAGGTATTCAAGAATGGGGTTGACCTTATCTGGACTTGATGGACCTGACTCTATCGGCCAGGATCACTGTCCAGTCTGGATGTATACAGATATCACACTTATTAGATAGGCCGGAGTCCAAAACAAGATGAATATTCTTCCCTTCCACCAGAATGTATATAGAAGTCTGAAGATTCACTTACGTTTCTGGAAATCGTCTCTTATAACCATAACCAAATTAACATGGCAATCCAACAGGATATCTCAAAGTTATCCAAATATATACCCAAAACCTCTGATATCGAGAAAGAAGCAACGGACGTCAGCAATGGCACGACGGTGGTATTTGGAACGGCCATTGACAATGCCGGATATCATCGCAGACTCGGAAGAAGGCAGATCATGATGATGACCTTCGGAGCAGGCGTAGGCACTGGCTTGTAAGTTGTGCTGGTTGAAAACCGCCCCTGTTCTAACGAAGCGCAGGTGGATGGGAACAGGAACAGCCTTGAAATATGGTAAGTTTCCGGGGAAAGGGAGAGCGGTTCGCAATCTTGATGGCTAAGTCTTCACAGCGGGCCCTGCTGGAACTGCCATTGCCTATACCATCACTGCGTGAGAAACCCTTCAGCTTGTTCGGAGTGGCAGGCTGATTGTAAACCAGCATGATTGTGTATCTGCAGTTCACTTCCATTGGTGAGATGACCACATACAAGCCTGTTCATGGTGGCTTCATCCGCCAGTGTGTCGAATACGTCGAGCCGGCATTTGGTTTCGCAATTGGCATCAATTTTTGGTTTAGTGTGAGTCCATACAAACCACCATCTTGGCGTATCTTCAACATGAGCACAAGGCAATAGCTAACCTACTGCTATAGTGGGTTATATGCATCCCAGCCGAAATCACCGCCGCCGTATCAGTGCTTGAGTTCTGGCCACAAACCACTTCGGTGCCCTTGGCAGCATATATCACTATCTTTCTGGTAGCAATATCCCTTGCAAACGTTTTTGGGGTTCGTCTTTATGGCCACGTTGAGTACACGATGTCGTTCATCAAATGCCTAGCCATTTTTGCAGTCATTTTCTTCATGCTCATCATGACATCTGGCGGTATTCCTGCCACAAATGGGCCTATCGAATTCCGCTACTGGAAGAACCCCGGTGCATTCAACAATGGCATCAAAGGGATCGCCAAGGCGTTTGTCCAAGCTCTCTTCAGCTTTGGAGGAGGTGAGTATAGCAACGATTTTTTGTTAATCCAATTCCAACTTGCTAAGCATCTGACTAGGTGAGCACATTGCTATTATCGCCGGTGAGGCCAAGGAACCAAGAAAGACGGTCCGCAACGCCGTCAACCCTATATTTTGGCGGATGGCCACCTTCTTCGTGGTCAATATCTGGCTCGTTGGAATGTGCGTACCGTACGATGATGAAAATCTCATCAGTAGTAGTGGCACCTTGGGAAGCCCCTTCGTCATTGCCATTGAAAGGGCTGGTGTGATGTGGTTTGCCCATGTCATCAATGGTTTCATCTTCCTCACTGTCATCAGCTGTGGGATCACAAGCGCCTATATCGCCACTCGTAGTTTGGCTGCTTTGGCTGACCTGTCTATTATCCATCCATTTTTCGGCCGGAAGGATACAATGGGTCGACCGTATGTGGCCTTGGCAATCAGTATTGTTCTGGGAGGAGGTCTCTGTTACCTCAACTGTAGCAACCAGGGGGCTGTTGTGTACGAATGGTTTTCAGATTTGGTATGTTTCCAATTCTGTAGATGCAATAAAATCCAAGCTAACCATTGTCTAGGTGGGCATATCGACGCTCTTCCAGTGGGCAGGTATCTTTATTTCTCACATCCGGTTCCGAAGGGGCTTGAAGGCTCAAGGCATTGATTACCGCTCCCTTCCCTTCCGGGATTCTGTGGCACCATATGCTCAATATCTGGCATTGGTAGTAGTTGTCTTCATCGCTGGCTGCGAGTTCTATCTTGCCTGTTTCCCATTTGGTGAGAAAGGGTCGGCCAAGAGCTTCTTCTCGTCGTACATTGCAGCGCCTCTCTTCTTTGTTGATTATCTCGCATACAAGGTGAGTGTCTGCACCGTAATATTGATTCGAAGCATTGTATTGGCTAACAAAAGTCATTGTATTCCGCAGTTCTATTTCAAATCCAAGATTGTTCCAGCATCGGAGATGGACTTTAAGGAAGCCTTTGCATTTGACGAAGAAGATCGACTGAAAGCCGCAATGGTAAATCAAGATAGCCAGGATGGTTCGAAATCGAAACTGACGAAGAGACTCAAATATTTTACACTTGGATGATCTGGGTTTCAAGTTGAGGTGTTGTGTGCTGTCAACTGCCATACATATGTCCGGTGCAAAGCAAGGACCAACTCTGATGTCAACCCGTCAGAACCTTATTGTAACCTCTCTATATATGTAAGCTATTCCAGTCAGTTAATAAATCTATGTCTCAGTCTGTTTCCAATTGTGGTCCTGTCCAGCTCGGCCAAGCGCAGTATAGTGGGCCAGTAATCGGACGGAAGGATCCCCGATCCCTGTCTCGGATACTTGTGGCTTAAGCGACCTGGCAACGGAGACTCGACGTCATTCAGACAATGTCTTCCTCTGCAAATATGAGAATTGCTGTTGTAGTCGTGATGGTGGACGAGGAACTGCATTCCGTCGCTGGGCTGACTCAGCCGTAATCCCGGGCGGGCGATCTCGGCGTAGTGATAGTGGGAGGAGGAAGTATGGCTGCCCCGCGATTCACAGTGCTCTCTTCCCTAGAATTCTGCTGGGAATTGCATTGTCCAAGTTGAATCTTGCATAGAGTTCAAGTTAGAGTACTGTTGTTTCAATCCAAAGTTGTGCGCCTCCTCCACACTGAACGTCCCCGCACTCTTACCCGACGGTCGCAAATTCTTTGCCTCTGGGTCAAGCCTTTTGATCCCTTGCACGGTTCCTGAACGTCCCGAGAGCCCTTGGCCAGGGTCAGAACTTTTTCTCTACCTTAACCTACTTTCTCATTCACTGCTTCTAGACCAGAATAACACATTCAAGCGCATATTAAAGGTGGGATTGCAACCTCTCCTTGGTCTGTTCTCTTATCTTACCCGCATTAAGCTAACTGAGGCTCCCCACCGTTCCATTTCTTCTAGGCTCTCTTTCGGATCTCTCCGTGCAATTTTCAACTTCGCGGGCCATTTTTCATTGAACGTTCAGAACTCTCGACAGTTCTCCTAATTCCTCTATCCGAAAGGCGCATATTCGCATAAGAACAGAAACAAGAAGAGAGGGGTAAAAAGAACGAGAACCAAATCTACGGAAAATCCACCGAAATCGATCAGATCGCTACAACCATGACAGACCACACGGATAGACCAGCAGAGCCCATTTCCGAGGTCGAGCCCACCGATTTCAAGCCGATGTCGAATGTGGAGGAATTTTCGTTGCCGATGACCGCTGATGATATCGCTCGAATGGATCCGCGTCTCGGAGCCGCCATGGCCTCGGGCCTACCTCTCGAAGACGTTGATGACGACGATGAGGAAGATATGGATGAGGGCTACGTTGCTGTCGACCATGATGATACCAGTGATTTCTCCTATTGGTTCCGCCGTCCACCAGTGCACCAGCGCACCCAGTTGGATGAATTGCACCCGTTCGTGCAGGTCCTCTCCGTATCCAATGTCGACGATTGTGTCCGAGTGGAGAATGCCCTTCCGGAACCCGAGCGCTGCTCTCGCGAAAAAGTATGTTGAAATCGGACCTTGTTCCATTGCTGCGGAAAGGATGCGAGGTTTTTTTTTTTTTTTTTTTTTTTTTTTTTTCAGAAATTTTTATTTTGTGCCTATGGGACCCGTTTGGCTTTTCCGTGTGACCAGAGGCATCGTCGTGCATTATTACTCTTACTGACTGGTTTCTTTCTTCTCCAAAGTTCCTATACCGTCTTAACAAATGCCCCGAACTCTCCTTAGGTCTCTTCACTCTCCCTGTTATCCCGGAGGGAGAGCCGAAACCTCGCGCGACATTGGTGGGACATGTTGTCGCCACTCGGTCCTCGGCTCCTCGTGTGACAGACCACTCCATGCAGATGCCCGCCAACTGGAGGAACGAACGGTTGACCGTTGAGAATGGAGAGACAATTGGTCATGATGAATACAGCAACACCATTGCTGTGCACTCGCTTGCGGTGCTTCCAGAGCACCAAAACAAGCAAGTCGGTACCACTCTGATGAAATCTTACATTCAGCGGATCAAAGAAGCCGCCATTGCCGATCGCATTGTCCTCATTGCACACGACCACCTGGTGCCTTTCTACGAGGTATTGGGGTTTGAGAACCGTGGACCTAGCGAGTGCAAATATGGAGGCGGTAGTTGGTATGATATGGTAAGACTTTGTCTCTCCCTCCTTTTGTAATTGAATGAAGACTGATAGATGTAGTCGCTGGAACTCATGGATGAGTGATACGTTTTCTATCTTCTTAAACAGCTGCTTATTTCGTTCTGCATCGCTTGGTGGTATGGACATTGTCGGTTGCATTACCCCTTTCTGACTCGTACTTTGTCCTTTTGTCTTCCCTTTTTCGTTTATTTGCGGTTTGGTTTTACAGGGCTGGTCCAAGGAATCTAAGAGCAACGGAGTTTCGTGCTGGGCTATGACGACTAACTCTATGATGTCCGGGTTAAGCAGGGTGGTTATCTGGTGTACCATAGTGCACGGTAGTAGCAATGTACATGACGATATGAATGATTCTTTGCTATAGCACAAAAGGTTGACTTGTACTCTGTAGACTACTGCACTCTGTAGTAACAGTATCTCTGCGGAGTAGGTTAGTAACACAATCACCGCCCGGCAGAACAGCCCACCGCCCAGCAATTTTTTTTCCCGCTCATCCAACTTTTTTCGTCCTCACAACAACAATCAGCATTCAAGAGTCGTTTTACAGTGATTTCGACTCGGCCCATCATGAAGACGACGTGGAAAGATGTGAGTTTTTGATTGCTATTATATGCGTTAACTTGGACGGCGAGTCGTGGTGATGGCAGTGTACTGATTGCGAATTTTTCACCGCTCGATTAGATCGCACCTGTGCCCACCAGCCAGGAATTCCTGGACATTGTCCTGAGTCGCACGCAGCGACAGCTTCCTACGCAGATTCGTGCTGGATTCAAGATCAGCCGTATTCGAGGTATTTGGCGACCCAATTCGTTGCGTTAAAAAACCGTGGCGGATGCGATAAAATCCTGGGTTGAAAATTGGTCGCTGATAAAAAAATCTTTTTTCTGTCATGCAGGTTTCTATACTAGGAAGGTCAAGTACACACAGGAGACTTTCTGCGAGAAGTTCCAAGGGATTCTCGATGGATTCCCGAGATTGCAAGATATTCATCCTTTCCGTAAGACACCCGGGACTGTCAGTTTTTTGTTGATTGGGCATTTTCTGACCAATTGCCTCCAGACAAGGATTTGATGAACACTCTTTACGATGCCGACCATTTCAAGATCGCCCTGGGTCAGGTCTCAACCGCCAAGCACCTCATCGAAACCGTTTCTCGCGACTACGTCCGTTTGATTAAATATGCGCAGTCTTTGTTCCAGTGCAAACAGCTCAAGCGCGCTGCGCTGGGTCGTATGGCCACCATCTGCAGACGTCTGAAAGATCCTCTCGTCTACTTGGAGCAGGTCCGCCAGCACTTGGGTCGTCTGCCATCGATTGATCCCAACACTCGGACTCTGTTGATTTGCGGTTACCCTAACGTCGGAAAGTCCAGCTTCCTACGCAGCGTCACCCGTGCCGATGTCGATGTTCAGCCTTATGCTTTCACCACCAAGAGTTTGTTCGTCGGGCATTTCGATTACAAGTACCTGCGATTCCAGGCCATCGACACCCCTGGTATCCTGGACCACCCTCTGGAGGAAATGAACACCATTGAAATGCAGTCCATTACCGCAGTTGCTCACCTTCGTTCCGCCATTATGTACTTCATGGATCTGTCCGAGCAGTGTGGATACTCCGTTGCCGATCAGATCAAGCTCTTCCACAGCATCCGACCCCTTTTTGCCAACAAGATCGTGTTCCTTGTGATCAACAAGATTGATGTCAGACGGCCAGAGGACTTGGAGCCCGAATACCAGCAGGAGATCCAGAACATCCTCAACTCCGGCGATGTTGAAATCTTGCAGGTGTCTTGCACCACCACCGAAGGTGTGACTGGGGTGAAGAACGCTGCTTGCGACAAGCTTTTGGCTGAGAGAGTTTCGCAGAAACTCAAGTCTGGTTCCAACAGCGCCGGTACCCCTGGTGGACGACTTGGCGATGTCCTTTCCCGTATCCACGTCGCCCAGCCTACGGGTGGTGTGCAGCGTGAGACCTTCATTCCCGATGCTGTGAAGAACCTGAGGAAATACGCCAAGGACGACCCGGAGCGCAAGAAGCTCGAGCGGGACATCGAAGAAGAGAACGGTGGTGCTGGTGTCTACAACATCGACCTCAAGAAGACCTACGACCTGGCGGACGACGAGTGGAAACACGACAAGATCCCCGAAGTCTGGAACGGCAAGAACGTCTACGACTTTGTGGATCCGGATATCGAGGCCAAGCTCGCTACTCTGGAGGAGGAAGAAGAGAAACTGGAGCAGGACGGATACTACGAGTCCGACGAGAGTGTCGAAGACGTAGAGGAGGCGGACACCCGTATGAAGGCGGACCTGATCCGCGAGAAGCGCGTACTGATGCGCAACGAGGCCAAGATGCGCAAATCCCTCAAGAACCGCGCCCAGATCCCCCGTACCGCCAAGTCCAAGAAGCTCTCCCATATGGAGAAAGCCCTGGACTCTGCCGGATACGATGTCGACGCTGCTGCTGCCCGTGCCCGTTCGCAGAGCCAGACCCGCGGCCGCCCGCTTACTCGCGACACGGACGACAACAACGACGGCGACTCTATGGATGTCGACGCGGATCCCCGCCAGGCGATTGCCAAGGCCAAGGCTCGTGCTCGCAGCCAGGCTGCCACAAACCGTCTGGAGGATGGTGTTCAAGACGCAGAGCAGCGCACCAAGGCCGACCGTCTCAAGAAGCTGGGACAGAAGAAGATGAACCGGATGGCGAGAGCAGGAGAAGCAGACAGACACACGACGGCATCGCTGCCGAAGCACTTGGTATGTTCCCCTCACTTGTTTCTTCTGATACTTGTTCGTATACTAACCATGTTACAGTTCGCCGGAAAGCGCACAATCGGCAAGACACAACGTCGTTAAGGACTTGGGTGGGGACGTTGACGAAGCGACGAAGTCCGATCTTAATATTGTTCTTATTGACATTGGAATTCCGGGTATTCAAAAACTGGCGTTTGGGTTGACCTTTCTCGTTCTTCGTGCTTTTGTTCGTTTGGTACTACTTTATCTTGACAATACCTCATGGATGAATATTAACACAACTGTTGTCTGTGATCCGATCTCTATGGCATGTTGATGAGACTTTGCAATGTTGAGTGTTGTATATAGAAAAGAAGTTGTTGAGTTCTATGTTCATGAAAAATTGCAAGATTTGATCCTATTAATTCGTATGCTGCATTTACATCATCATCCAAGCCTATATTACACTTTAAACTAAACAAAACCAAAAAAGACTATAATGGTACAAACCCCTCCATCCTCTTCCTATCCTCCTGCTCCTCCCTCTTCAACCGATCAGACCTCTTTCTCTCATAAACAGCCCGAACAACCCTCTTCATCTGCTCCTCGCCCTGCGCGAAATTCGCTTTCGCAAGACCAACCACTGAATCGATCTGCTCCGGCGTATACACGAAATTCCACGTCGACAGAAAATCGTCAACGTCGGGATCAATAGACCCCGGATGAGGCGCCATCGGCCACGCAGGATTAGAAATCTCTTTGGCAACGGTTGAATTCTGTAACGTGCGTGTTGGAGCCGGAGACCGCGACATCGCTGAACCCTGCGGTAACTCAGGTGCAGAAGTGTTGGGAAGGAGGGGGAAGTAGACGACCGCGATACCTGCGTCGGGACGCATGAGGCGGAAGTCTGATTCGGCGTGGTTTGCGTGCTGTGGGTGGAAGAGGCGTTTCGAGGGTGGTGGTTCATCGCCCGAGACGCGCTCTTGCATTGTCCCTACCCAGATGTTACAGTAGCTTAGGTCTGTGTCCGAGGCGGCGGGGCGGTCTCCTGCTGGGTTTGTTTCGTTGTTGGACTCGGTTGTGCGGGGGATTTTGAGGTTGCGGCCATGCATGTGTTTGTCTTCGTGTTGGGCGCGGGTCATCTTGGAGTCTAGGGATTCATCGCTGATGTTTTGGGGTTCGCGGAGGATTTCAGAGGTTTGTTCGGGGTTGTCCTCTGCCTTGGGCCAGCCGGCTCCTACGGGCCAACCTTTGATGCCGCGTTGTCGGGCGTAGCCGTCTACCACGGAGAGCCAGTTCTCGCGCTTGATGTCGGCGGATGCATCGAAGGTGACGATAACGTCTACGTCTCTGCCTGGTCGGAGGAGGGGATAGATCGGTAGGTTGTTGCTCATTCCGGCGTCCATGAGCCGGAGATGTTGGTTGTTGAAAATTGACTCTGGGCAAGACTCTGGTAGCATATCCTTCATGCCCAACACGTAGTTTGGTATAGTAGCCGGGTCGATGGGGTGGACTCGAACGAGGTCTTTTGTCTTGCCTTGAATGAGAGAGTCGATACCACCGAACCCAGCTATGCCTCGGATCACTGGCCGTATCTCCTTGTAGTAGTGGGAGAGGGTTGCGCAGAAAGCGCTCCCCCATACGCCCATAAACTCAGGAATACGGGTCTCTGGGGTTGGGAGTTCTCCGCTAGAAAATAAATCCTTGCCCTCGTTGAAGTGTCTTCCTAAAGCCCAGGTTGGTATACCAGCACCGAGCTCTTCGCAGAAGAACTCGTAGGGGGTAAACTCGAACCACTGGAACCACGCCTCGCTTCTTGACTCCCTGATGAGTCTCTCTGGCTGTCGGCGTCTTTGCATGTTTGCATCGTCTTGGAGTTCCTCAAGAATTGGAATTTCATGACGCACAGCTGTGTAGATCGGGAGTGGATGGGCTCCGTTGTCAACGTTGGGCCGCTGATTTGATAATTTGAGGTCGCGATCAGATACCCCGAGTTCACCACGGGGCACGAGCAGTCTTGCTGACAGCAAGATTCCATAAATGTCCACCAGGCCAAAGTCCGCACCAGGGTCGCCTTTCAGCTTCTCGATCATCCCACTCAACAGATACTTGTTAGTGGGAGCCGTTGTGAGCAAGCTCAGGGCTTTGGGTGGAAATGCGATATGCACACCCAGTCTGTTTTTCAAATGGTTCATTAAGCGGTTGAAATTGCCCCGAGCGATAGACGAGTGGTATAGCGTCTGCAGCCAACAGCTTCCGCTAACCCCGGCCGTATAAGTGACGCAGTCCCAGAGACCGGCCTCTTGTGCGGCAAGATATGACCCTGTGCCAGCCACGAGGGCACGCAGGCCTCCTCCTGAGCCACACATGGCAATGATTGGGACATCCTCGGGGTGGATATCTGACTCGGGTATGTTAAGATAGACTGCCAGTGCTCTCACCGCGTGCTGTTGTCGTTTTTTCCGAAACGCCTGTTCCTCAGGACAGAGACTATCTCCAACACGGACCCTAGCTTCTCGCAGAATTTCTGGGTTGATGTCCGCATCTTTGGATTCCCGCCATACCTCGTCAGCCAGGGATCCAGGAGACATTGAGAGCTCTCGTTGAAGCTTCTGGACTGTGCCCGGCAAGTATTTGGTCCAGTCTGGGATAATGTATTGCTTGATATCAATATCCATCCATTCATTCGAACCAACGGCTTGCTTCACATCCCCGAACTTGTGTAAGATCCTCGTCCACATAGAATTGTCGTGGTGCGCTTCCTCGGAGTTCTTATCCGCATCGTTCCCACGCGAATCGCCCGCATTATGCCTGTTGAACGGGTAGAAAGCCTCTCGCGGAGCCGTAGTAGAAAATGCCTGCTTCTGGTCTGTAGGAAGTGATTGTCTGTTCAATTGAGCCGGATCTCCTGTTGCATACAGCGTCCCAGTACCCACAACTAGGGTGGCAGGAAGGGTTGTCCAACGAGAACGTAGTATAGCAATACCCATCTTGCCCTGGGTACTCCGTTGCGAGGAGGAAAAGCAAAGCGAGGGCAGCATCCAATTCCTCTTGTTGCCATTCCAGTCGAGTCAATTGGGCCCCTGAGCCTCTGTGATTCCAGCCTCTCTGCCAGGTTTCATTGATCAACGAATGCCACGATGACGAAATGTCACGTGAGAGGTTCGTCGGAGCGGCAGACGGGCCGAAGTCGACCGTTTTGGGACTAGCGCTGCCATTGCGGAGAATGAACAGGAGGACATGATTGATGATTATGCAGCGTTGCTACTGGATTGCTTGCGTGATGGGGCCCGGAGCCTCCTGAATTTAATCGCATTTATTGTTATTGACATTACCATGCCGGCATAATACGTCTACGCCTGCCTTGAGGCATGAGGATATTTGTTGTACTTATTTGATACTGATCGCAGGAACCGACTCGCTCGACTCGCCCGACTATGGTCGCCCCCAGGAATACTGCGTTCGCGGAGGAGAGCGCAGAGGTGGAGGTGCTATACGCCAACCTCGATAAGCTCAATGTCCTCACGAAGAAGATTCAGGGCTCGATGGTCCGGTTAGAGTCCGGAGGAAATGTGGTGAAGCATGCCATTGGGCCGATCTACAGCAACACCCAGTCGCTCCAAATTACCAACACCAATATCGACAAGGTCAATGAAGCTATTGAACGTCTTCGCCAGCCGCTCGATGCGAAAGGCCGGGAAGAGGGCGTCATCCGTGACGGGTGAGTATTTGACAGCTGGTACCTAGCTGGGTTGAACTATTTGCTGACTCCTAATAAAGCCCGGAGAGCGCTGGGTTGTCGCAGTACCTTACGGCGATGAGGCGCGTGGAAAAGGCGCTTGTGGACCTTAGCTCGACGAACTTGAAATCTAATCAGAAAGCCATCTCAGAATTTACTGGTTTATTGAACACGGGAAGTGGGAAGCTTCAAGAGATGTTCCGCGGCATGCTGAGCGATCATGTTACTCCTGTCGAACCCCTACACTATCTGACGAAAGGTATGTGCGTCTATTGGAAGTACAATGTATGAAGAGATAGTAGCTTACATGTTCCTCTCTGGTTCGCAGAACTTCCGTTCCCATCGATTCCTGAAGACACCCTCGCCGAACTCGCCCCTGTATGCGCAGCCATCAGCTCAGCAGCCAGCCATGGATCACGGGAAAACGAAGATGACAACCCCGCATTGCAGATATATGCCGAAATTCGTGGACCGTACATCAATTCGAGCCTACAAAACCTTGCCATAGCATCGCTCAATACTGTCAAGCGGAGGGCTACCGATGGTCCATACAAGCAGGGCACCAACGGTATCGGAATCTATTCCAATGCGCTGGAAGGCTTCATATATGCGGAGCATGAAAACATATCGCAACTTTTCACAGGAGATCAACGGGGATTGGCTCTGCAGGCAACGTGCCGCTCGGCGATGGCCGAGTATTCGAAGACTTTGCGTGAACTCAATCAGTACATCAAAGCCAATCTTATGACGGACTGCTTCCTCGCTTTTGAGATTATTGAAATCGTTACGGCCATGTCATACCGTGTGGAATCAAAGACTGGAGAGCTCAAGAGCTTGTTCATCGAAGCTCTCAGGCCCGTCCGCGAAACCGCGAAATCATCCTTGTCAGAGCTGCTCGAGGAGACAAAGCGCAAGGCGTCGAATCTACCTGTCCTTCCACCCGATGGCGGAACTGTACCGCTAGTCAACGAAGTCATGAGCTCGCTGTCCACGCTGACTGCCTATTCTGGGCCGCTGGCTTCCATTCTGACGTCCCTTGGGGATGGAAACTGGCGCTTCGCATCGAACACATCTGGAACTGCGCCATTAGATGTCAGTCCTGACAGCTCGACGCTTTTATCGCATTTCATCTTGGACATGATTGAGGCTCTCCTGTTTTCACTCGAGACACGGGGCCGTAACTTCCATCGCACAAAGGCTGCTCAAGGTGTTTTCCTCTCCAACGTCTTCTGTATCGTCGATCGCTTCATCCGACAGAGCCCCGAGTTAGCGCGCTACCTTGGTTCACCAGACAGCATTGCTCGAGTCGATAGTTTCCGGAAGCGTGCTACGTCCACCTATCTGGATGCCTGGAAGGAAACGTCGCATTTCCTTCTCGATGTGCAGTATACTTCTCGGGGAGCGGGCAGCTCAACCAGACCGACATCGAGCGGCGCTGTGGACTCCGCTGCTATTCTCAAGTCACTCCATTCCAAGGACAAAGACGCTATCAAGGACAAGTTCAAGTCATTCAATGCCAGCTTCGACGAGCTGGTGTCGCGGCATAAGTCGCTCTATATGGAACGAGAAGTGCGCTCGGTGTTGGCTCGCGAGATACAGGCTGTTCTGGAGCCGTTGTATGCGCGTTTCTGGGACCGGTACCATGAGGTCGACAAGGGCAGAGGCAAGTACGTCAAGTACGACAAGACGTCTCTGTCTGCGCAATTGGCAGCTTTGGCTTAGATGCACTATTCCGGTATTATTCTTATTCACTAGCCTATTTGATAGTCTTAATCCATAATCATTTGCAACCCTATTCCGGCAATAATGCCAAGAACCACATCACCTGACTGATCTGCTGGTCCCGCCTGATAACGTGACTGATAAGCGGCCTCCCCGCCAATCCCTCCAAAAAATTCGTCGAGGACGCGCACAACTCACTCTTCTACACCACCTCTTTCCCTTCAATTCGTCTTGCAATTCCCCCTCAGACCCCTTCCTGTCAGGATGGCTACCAGCAATGATTTCTACCAGACTCCTCTGAACTCGAGATATTCGAGTAAGTCTCTTCAATTTCATGTGAACTCCGTTTCCGTACTAATAAGGCGGGGTGATAGGTTCAGAGATGAAGTATCTCTTTTCGCCTAGAAACCGTTTCTCGACCTGGAGAAGCCTGTGGTTATGGCTTGCACAGTCTCAGAAAGGTACTGCTTTTTCTTGCTGGTTTTGCCCTTCGTCCGCGCCCCAGGCTAATCAATCGCAGAACTCGGTCTCCCGATCACCGACCAGGCAATTGAGCAGATGAAGGCTCACCTCACCATCCAGGACGACGAGTTCGCTGTTGCCGCTGAGGAGGAGAAGCGTCGGAGACACGATGTCATGGCCCACGTCCACGCCTACGGTCAAGTCGCCCCCGCCGCGGCCGGTATCATCCACTGGGGTGCTACTTCGTGCTACTGCACCGACAACGCCGATCTTATCTTCCTCCGTGACGGTCTCGACATCCTCATCCCCAAGCTCGCCGTTGTGGTTGACAAGTTGGCCGCATTTGCCAATGAATACAAGGACTTGCCCTGTCTGGGTTTCACCCACGGACAGCCCGCGCAGCTCGTGACGGTTGGCAAGCGTGCAACCCTGTGGATCCAGGATTTGCTAATGGATCTGCGCAACTTAGAGCGGGCGCGTGATGACTTGCGCTTCCGTGGTGTCAAGGGTACCACTGGTACTCAGGCCTCCTTCCTCCAGATCTTCAACGGTGACCACGACAAGGTTGAACAATTGGACGAGCTTGTTACTGAGAAGGCTGGTTTTAACTCCGCCTTCATCATCTCCAGCCAGACGTACTCGCGAAAGATCGATGTTGACGTTTCCAACGCCCTTGGCTCTTTCGGTTCGACATGCGAGCGTGTCGGTATTGACATCCGTCACCTTGCTATGCTTAAGGAGCTTGAGGAGCCTTTTGAGAAGGACCAGATTGGAAGCAGTGCTATGGTAAGTAGAAATTACGATTTGGTTTACCAAACCAAGCATTGGTGCAAATGCTGACCTGCGCAGGCCTACAAGCGTAACCCTATGCGGTCCGAGCGTCTGTGCTCGCTCGGAAGACACCTTCAGAACCTTCCCAAGGACGCTCTTGACACCTACTCGGCCCAGTGGTTTGAGCGTTCTCTGGATGACAGTGCCATTCGCCGTATCAGCATTCCCGAGCTGTACCTGTCCGCCGATGCCTGTCTCATCCTTCTGAACAACATCACTTCCGGTTTCGTTGTCTACCCTGAGGTCATCAAACGTCGGGTGAACGATGAGCTTCCTTTCATGGCCACGTAAGTTATCGCCGCTTTTACCTGAAATTTGAATCACGCCTAACTGTATTCTAGTGAGAACGTCATCATGGCCTGCGTGAAGAAGGGACTGTCCCGCCAGGACGCCCACGAGGAGATCCGTACGTTACACTATAAATGGAACATAAAGATCATGCGCTGACAATCACAGGTGTCCTCTCTCACCAAGCCGCCGACAATGTCAAGAAGCACGGCAAGAACAACGACCTCTTGGAGCGCATCCGTCGCACCGAGTTCTTCGCCCCCATCCTGGGCGAATTGGACGCCCTCCTCGACCCCAGCACCTTCACTGGCCGTTCTCCTCAGCAGGTCGAGAAGTTCGTCTCGACCGAGGTGAAGAACGCACTCAAGCCTTACGAGGCTGCCTTGGCCAAGGCGGAGACTTCCGCCCTGCACGTCTAATTTGGATATAAAGGGGCAAGGTGATCGCACATAGTTGCAGAGAGCAGCACATCCATTTGATCCATCTACCAGGAAAGGACTCGGTCTGAGGGACAAGTGCAAGTTTATACAAATGTTTTACGATGTATGAGGACGAAAAAGGGAAGGGGTCTTTTGGTTTAATTTCTTGGATTTGTAGATACAATAGATGGTTTGAATTTAAACATGATCTATATTTCTATGCTATTCTGCATAGCAATCGTTCAACTACCTCTTAACGAACAACGTTGTTGACTGGCATATAGTGCTCATCTATGCATCCTCATCATACGGTGGGAGATACTGCTCATCCTCGAACAACTCGACCAGGTAATACCGGCGATGGGCCGTACACAGCATAATCCAGCCCGTGACGAAATTCTTCACAGCCCGCAACAAATCTTCATTTCCGTCAAGAATCGAATAGACCGATTTGAGCAACTGCAGAGGTCAGCACACAATAATCACCTTTCTATCAAAAGCAGGAGAAAATATCACAAACCTTTGGCGTATAACCAGTCAAATGCTGCAACACATCCAACTGCTGCATCCTATGCGTATCCGCAAAATTCCCCACAAAGTTCCCCTTCTCCCCATGCAAAATAAACTCCTTATAATACGACAGAATATCATTCGTGAAGTCCGTAAACAGCACCAACTCCTGAATAACCGGGAAATACCGCATCAGATACTCGTCCTCTGGGAAAACGGACTGTGGAAACAGGAGATGCAGGAGGATCTCAGCGCCCCCGACTTTAGTTCGCAGGAACATGGGCATGAGCCGCGACTCGGAGTGGAACGTAAAGTTGGACTGCTCCATTTTATGCTCGATGATACGGCCGTTGACGTAGTCAAAGAGAGTCTTGATGATAGCCGCATAGCAGTATGGGCCATAGTAATTCGCGAGATTGCGCAGGTGGCCGTCGAAGGCGTCGAGGAGGGGATGGTTATGGGGTTTGTTTAGGGTGAAACTTGTCCCAAGTCAGCTATCCATATCCATTGTCTGAGAAAAAAAAGGGGGAATCTACTTCTGTCCAAACGACTGCAACTCCACCATAAATTCCTCGGCGATATCATCCACCAAAAACATATACAAAAACTGCGCCGCGCAGAGCACCTTGATCTCAAATGGATGCGCCGTATACGCCTGATGCGTCAAAGTCACAGACAGCTTCAGCGTCTTGCGCACAGCAGTCATGCTCTTGTTATCTAGACTCTGGCCCTGGAAGTACTTCCAGACTGCCTGCTCCAGCTCATGGTCCTTCAGGAAGGGCGTGGTGCGGTCGAACTGGATGCCCTCGAGGAAGGTCCTGATGAGGAACTTGACTTGGTCCGTTTGGGCCATCTGAGGGGAAGTTGGGAGGCCATGATAGGCGAAGGTGGTTTCGGCGACGGCAGCGGCCATGGTGGAATCAATTGAGTGGTATTAGGCAATAAGAGAATCTTTGGGAGACTTGTTGCTTTATTGCTTCAATATGGCGGTAGATGGCTAACAACCGAGGTTAATATAGGCTGTCGTTGCGGGCGCTGGGCGTCATGATGTTTGCTTTTTGATGTTTGTGATAACCACATACATAGCATTTGCATGCATTTGCCCAAATAGGAAAAAGCCTGATGCATCCAAAAGTACGTCTTTTCAGCTCAGGAACTCGCAAGAACACATGCGGGATTACATATTTTAAATTGACCTATGTGATCTAACTCGCCAGTTTTTCTGCTCATACCCACCGTTAAACTATGTTCATCCTTTAACTATCCCATCACAGCTGAAGTCAGCCCGCCACTCACGATGGAATACAACCAACTACACCGATAAGAACTCTAATCTATCTAGCAGTTAGCAACGCACTCGATCTCGGTAATGATAGTGGCTCTGGTGATTTCCTACTCCACAATTCTTCTCGTTCGCGACATCTACTAAACCCACGCTAATAGCTAGTCGACGGTTACAAGCTATAAATGCCGCAGTGGAACGAACAACCATGAACTATCACAATCACCAAAGAATCGTCGGCAATGGCCAGCTGCGCAAGATTCGAAGCCGTATTCCAGTCCCTGGTTGGGGAATTACGAGAAGAACTAGCCCAGAGAGGTTTGCCGAACGACCACAACGACCGGTTCCAGCAAGTATGTTTCTCAGCTTCGTATTTTACCCACGGATACTTACCATACTAGTGCTTGATTTCAAATACGCAAGGTGGCAAGCTCAACCGCGGACTCACGGTAGTCGATACCGGCCTGAGTCTCCTGCAGCGGTCTCTGAGCGATGACGAATTCCACCACCTAAGCATCCTAGGCTGGGCAACCGAGATTTTCCAAGCGTCCTATCTCGTCTGGGACGATATCATGGACAGCTCCGAGTACCGACGCGGAAAGCCCTGCTGGTATCGGCAGGAAGGAATTGGCTTGACTGCCGTAAATGACGCCGCCATGCTCCATTCCTCCATCTTCCGCATCCTCCGGAAACATTTCAAAACCCACCCGGCGTACTGCGACTTGCTAGAGCTTCTGCAGGAGGCGTCGTTCCGGACGGAGCTGGGTCAGCTGTGTGATACGCATGTGCGTGACATGGCTGACATGACGAGTGAGATGTATTCGTCCATTGCGATCAACAAGACTGCGTTTTACAGTTTCTTTTTGCCGGTGGCGCTAGCATTGCATTATCTCCAGCGTGCTAGCGAGGTGAATCTGAAACAAGCGGAAAGGATTCTTCTTCCGATGGGCGAGTACTTTCAGATTCAGGATGACTATCTTGATGTATTTGGAAATCCCGAGGTTACTGGAAAGGTGGGCATGGACATCCAGGATAACAAGTGCTCTTGGATTATTGTCCAGGCGCTACAACGCTGTAACGACGAGCAACGAGAAGTGTTATTCCCGTCATATGGTCAAAAGGGCGACATGCACGAAGCGAGAGTCAAGCAGGTCTTTGGCCAGATCGACATGGAAGAAGTATACCGGCAGTTCGAGGATGCGAAGATCAACGAGCTCCAAGCCGAGATTGGCCGCATTGAAGAAGGAGCAGGATTGAGGAAGGAGGTCTTTACGCTGCTTCTTTCAAAGATTATGCACAGGAACAAGTGAGCGTCATGGGTTCTCGCCAATTAGAATCATTCTTTGGCGCTCAGCTGTGATATCGGATTTAGTATATTGTCCGTGCTTGGAATTATGAATTTAAACTGAATCCTCGATCCTTTGCCGCTGTACTCCGTAGAGCAGTCTCCATAGTTCAACTCTTGTCTCAATTTTCATTCCTCACTCATAGCGTAAGGGCTGATCCTTCGCCCTAATGTTAGATCCGATTGGGCTTTAGCATATTCATTAGTTCAGATCCGCAGTTCTGCAGAACATCGAGTGAGAAATGTGACCATTACGAGATATTCGGTAGAACCAGCACTTTGTGATGAGATGAAGGAGACTATGAGTTTTTTCTTAGGTAAAAGAGGCAATGGAAGACATATACAAATAGCAAAGTATTCATCTGCTTCTGGCAATCCTTACGCATCCCACTTCGAAGAACAATCACAACCATGACTGAAGGAAATCAACAGAATAACTCTGGATTCGCCGAGGTGCCCTCAGCTTATCAGCTGTAAAATAACTCCGATACACTTCCTGGACTGGACTGACCTTGCCAGGAAACACCCGTCAACCCCCCATCTCCAAAGCCTCGATGAATACCACCAACTCTACCAGAAGTCCATCGCCTCTCCGGACACCTTCTGGTCAGACATGGCCACTTCGCTTCTGCATTGGGAGACCCCCTTCTACCATGTCCAACACGGAGCCCTCGAAAAAGGCGACCACGCCTGGTTCCTAGGCGGCAAGCTAAACGCATGCTACAACTGCGTCGACCGTCACGCATTGACAGACCCAGGCAAGGTAGCTATCATCTACGAACGCGATACACCCGACGAGTACCCCCGACATGTTACCTACGGGGAGCTCCTACGAGATATCTGCCAGTTAGCCTGGGTGCTGAAAGACATGGGCGTGCAAAAGGGCGATATAGTCACTGTGTACATGCCCAATATCCCCGAGGCGATAGTCGCAATGCTAGCCTGTGCTCGGATCGGAGCGATTCACTCGGCCGTGTTCGCGGGATTCTCTGCGCCAGCGTTGCGTGGGCGGATTGAGGATGCTCGCTCCAAGGTCGTCTTGACGGTCGACGAGAGCGTGAGAGGGGGAAAGGTCATTCCCATGAAGCGCATCGTTGATGAGGCACTGTCTACGTACGACAAGGGCCATCTGGTGCAGTGTTTTGTGCTCAGGAAGACTGGTAGCCCTATCCCTTGGTCCCCGGGAGGCGGTGATCGCTGGTGGCATGGAGAAAGCGCCCAATGGCCTACTTACATTGCGCCAGAGCCGATGGATTCTGAGGATCCGTTGTATCTGCTGTACACCTCTGGCTCGACGGGGAAGCCGAAAGGCCTCCTGCATTCGACGGCTGGATACCTGCTCGGCTGTGCGGTTACCGGGAAATACGTGCTAGACTTGCATCCGTCAGACACCATGTTCTGTGCGGGAGATGTGGGTTGGATCACCGGGAACAGTTATCTTGTTTATGCTCCGTTGGTCTGCGGTGTGACGACGGTGATATTCGAGGGAACGCCCTCATTCCCTGACTATGATCGCTACTGGGATATTCTAGATCGAAACAGGGCAACTCACTTCTATACGGCGCCTACCGCTCTACGAATGATGAAGAAGGCACGTCCAAATGGTGTCAGCAAGAGCATGGATAATTTGAGAGTTATTGCTTGTATTGGGGAACCATTGGCCCCGAATGTATGGGAGTGGTGCTATGAAGTGGTCGGTAGAAAGCAGGTGCATGTCCTGGATGTAAGTTCATTGACCGAAACAATCTCAAAACATACTAACTGCTCTATAGACGTACTTCCAGACAGAAACAGGATGTCATGCCTTTTCACCTCTCGCCGGAGTCTCACCCATCAAACCCGGCACAGTGGCTTTGCCTTTCTTTGGCATCAATCCAGCTCTGATTGATCCCATTACTGGGGAGGAGATTGGAGACAACGACTCAAAGGGCGTCCTGGCGTTCAAACGGCCTTGGCCAAGCATGGCGCGTACTGTCTGGGGTGATCACAGTCGGTATTTAAAGACTTATTTCGAGGTTTACCGCGGATACTATGTAAGAGCTCCTCATTCCGGTGAGGGATTATGGTGCTGACTAGAAGCAGACTACCGGTGATGCCGCCTATCGAGACCAAGATGGCTACTACCAGGTTCTGGGACGAGTAGATGATGTGGTCAATGTGTCTGGCCATAGACTGTCGACTGCTGAGATTGAGTCTGCTTTGTTAGGTCATGGTACGTTCCTGCTGCTTACCTTTGACAGATCTAGTACTAATGAGTATCATGTCCCAGGCTCGTTTTCTGAGGTTGCAGTTGTTGGGATTCCCGACGACATGACAGGACAGGCTCTGAACGTGTTTGCTTGTCTCAAGGACGGCGTCCGAGATGACAAGGAGCAACTGAAAGCGTCTTCCAAGCAACAAATTGGAAATACGATCGGACGATTCGCAGTTCCAAAGCGTGTCTTCATCATGAGTGATCTTCCAAAGACTCGATCTGGGAAGATCATGAGACGGATATTAAGAAAGGTCTTGGAGGGCGAGAGGCGGGACTTTGGGGATACATCTACTGTGAGTCTGCCGCTGTAGAGTAATGTCAACATAAAACCATACTGACAGAGACAGCTTATTCGTCCGGGTGTCGTAGAGGATATTATCAATGAAGTCGAAAGCCAAGCAGAGGCAAAGGAAACCGGTCCCGACACCCAGAAGCCGCCGCATCCTTTCAAGTCCTACAATTTGACGCCTCTCGACCATATTCTTCCACCGTGCCACATGTTCATGTTCCTTACGTTCGACAAATACACTGAAGAGGGTATTGAAGCCTTGAAGAGAGGCGTCTCACATCTAAACGCGCATCTCCCCTTCCTAACCGGCGTGGTCGTTCCATCCAGCCAGTCGGGTGGCAAAGAGAACGTATGCGAAGTACAACCAGCAAGCGCCTCCTTTTTGCAGACCTACCCGATGCTTCAAGTGGAATCCCATCCTGAACTGGACTACACCGCACCGGACGACTTCATCGACCAGAAATATCTTCCGCTGCCGTTTTTTATGTCCCCTGCGGAGCCGCAGCCTTTGATCCGCTTCAAGGCCAATGTGACAAACACCAAGGTTATCCTCTCTGTGGCCTATTTCCATAAAGCGCTGGATAGTACTGCCGTCTCTGTTGCGGTCAGGGCACTTGCAGAACTCTGCAAAGATCCCAATACGTCTCCCGAATTGCTGCCAACAAGTGTATCGGCTGAAGAGTCGTCTCGACAGCATTTGCTAGACTTTGCAGCGCAATCTCCTGTGCCCTTCAATTGGACACTGACACCGCCCACATTTGATCCGCCGCCAGAGGATCCGGGCAAGATTCCTGTCAGTCAGCATTTCAAACTGAGCGCTGAGAAGATCTCCTTTCTCAAAAACGCCTGCAACGCATCCCTTAGCAGCTCGGAAGTTGATCTACCCCCGCTTACATCGAACGACATTATCACGGCCCTTATAGGACTCTGCGGGAACAGAGCCCGATTGAGCACCGTACCCGACTATATCCCACCATCTCCTAAGGTCATTATCGCTGCCAATGTCCGCAAACAATCCCTCCTCTCTGCGACATATTCCGGAAATGCCCTTTCCGCGGTTGAAGCTTCCTATGACGCATCCATTTTTCCAGAAGGCACTACTCTCTCTGACGGACTCTCCGCGAGCTTAGACTCAGCCGACTTCACTCGTCTGGCAAATATAGCTTGCAACCTCCGCAAAGAAATCACCGCCTTAACAGAGGCCTACATCAGCGGTATCCTGCGCACCATCGCAGACACCCGCGACATGACCACTTTCTTCCCCGCCTACGGCCGCAGCATTATTGTGTCCAGTCTGCGGTGGATGGACTTCTATCTTGACTTTGGGGCGTTGGGGAGGGTACAAGAGTATGATATCCCTGAGACCAAGGTGAAGGGGGTTTGTTGGGTTTTGCCGGCGAAGGATTTGGGGGATATTAAGAGGACAGCGAAGCAGGCTTTTGAGCTGAGGTTTGTGTTGGAGAGGGCAGCGATGAAGCAGTTAAAGGGGGATAAGCTTTTTCAGTGGGTGTCGGAGGAGTAGGACTCTTTGGCGGAGTGGGATATGGGCCCAAGAGAACCAGGTTTATTCATCAGACAGTAAATAAAGGCCTACTTTGATGCTTGGTCAGATCAGCCCTAATATGGTCAGAATTCAACAAAGAAACTCATATGACAGTGAATGCTTGTGTTTAATCTCCAACAGAAGAATACTTTCTGCTTTTTCTCTTCTTTCCTCCTTGCCATACTTCCTTCATATTACTTTATGCCATGTGGTTACTATCACAACTATATGTCCTATCCTCTTCTCATTATGTTACTGTGTGTTTGGCAAGGAAAGATATCCAGCATCCCTAACCACAAGGAAAGCCAACACGTGAATTACGAACTATATTCAAGTCTGGTCTCCCAGAAGCGATGTCCCGAGGAGCCACAAGATACACTCCATGAGCAAATTATCCCTTTTATCCAAGCACAATAAATGTTTCAGTTATGACAAAAGTACAGAGTGGACACATATCGGTCTGAGGAAATTATGTATCTTTTCAGAGACACGAAAGCATGCAAGAGAATTCTACCGAAGTATTTCCAGGCATCATCCGTGGGTGTTTTTTGTGCGCGGGAATCCTTCACGGCCGTCAAATCACCGGATCAGGGCACAATAGCCATTGCGACGGGCATACAGGCACTTTTCTGGAATTTGTAAATGGCGTTTTGAAGGGAGTCCTGAAAAATTAGCGCAAAAAAAAAAAAAAAAGTCGCACGTACAACGTAGGCAACTTCCAGGGCTCTCTTATCTACCCACACAAAAAGATGCAATCATGAACAGCCATGATCACAGACGAAAATGACATGGTAAGAAAATCTTCTCATACCAAATCCTTTGTGATAAATACTGAAACAACCCTGGTCTCTGCATAGGGCAAATATCCCAGTACATATGTTTATATCAAATACACTATGGCCATTTCAGCACAACTAAAGTGTACGCCTCGCCACCCTAGATGATCTTCTTCCGCACCCCAGAGCATTGAAAAGGTATTGACCAGTTGAAGTCCAGTCCGGGGATGCGTCTCTTCAATTGTAAAATCTTTTGAGGTGATCTCGTCCGGTCAAATCTTCAAAAGCCACGAACAAGACCCGGAGTCTCTCCCCACTACAGCACACTGGCGTCTGACCTACGTGAAGCTGCAATTGAGATCATCAAAAGATGGGACGAACGGCATTAAGATGACAACCGTGACGAAGATGGAGAAAAAGTTAAAGACAAGGCGAGGAGGCGGCAACCAGGTTCACTTACGGTCATCGGTTCAATTGCAGTAGCTGCTAGCTACCCACCCCCAATAGACAACGAATCCATGTACTCGAGCAATTATCAGGTTGATTGGGTTGGTTATAAGTGCTGTTACAAGCTTGTATTCCCTAGAATTCCTCTGGTCATGAGGGTTTGTGTGAATCTACATAGCTACCATTTCAAAATCGCCAAGATACTGGTTCTTGCATAATGACAATAACCGGTAGTGTTCAAGTTAGGGTTATCATAGCCTAAAAAAACCTAAATCGTGCTACAATAATGAAGTCATCTCTTATTCACCTAACCCCGTCAATACCAACAACTTCTAAAATTTCTACACCAACCCCAACACCAAAATGAAATGGTTCGGAAACCACTGGGAAGGCAGCGAACACACCTTCCCAGTCCAAGAACAGCGCCAACCAACAACATGGATCCTAAAGCAAAAACTCTCCGAGACATCCGCCCAGAAGCCCCAAGAGACAGCAGCGAAACCCGGCGCAGCCCCAAGTAGCGCCTGGGCGGTTTTTCTCTGCGAAAAGAAAGAAGTACCTGATTCGAGATATGCTATGAAGGTTTATATGTAGTGCGTGCTACACCATTCCAACTATAGTAATGAATGCTGATGACAGAAGGGTTCCCTGGAAAGAAACTGAATCCGACGAGTCGGAGTTGAGAAGAAACCAAAAAATCTCGTTCCTTCCCAACAGCGCCAAAAACGAGCACCGGGGACTCACAGAGCTCACACAACGACAATGCCAATTAATCCCAAACTTGGTGGATTATTATCAAACACAGCAGTCGGATGAGATGTGTGTTCCGGGTGGGTATATCTTATTATTGCTATGAGTTATTGTCCGGGGAGACCGGTTGGTGGTGATAAGTTTCGGGGGTTGGGGGTTGAGGAGAGGGTGGGGATTCAAGAGGCGTTTAAAAGGACGTATGAGTATGTTTCTTTCTCTCTGCTAACATGCTGGATTATGGCTAATGGCTGGTGGATTAGGGGGTGTCTACGGTGCGAGGTGCTTAATGTAGCTCGTGGGTTGGATAATCTTTTCTGGGATGCTGAGAATAAGAAATGGTTGGTCCTCAGAGATCTTCGGTATGTGGCTGTCTGTGCTAACCAATGCAATTGTATCGTCGATTTCAAATTCTGGAGCAGACCCATTGCCTCTTTGTCAGAATGGGGTCCGCACATCTTGAAGCAATGGTGGCTACATGAGTGGTCTCCTCCGAGCTAACATTGCAGTCGCATATCAAAAAAAATGTTTCGTTCAACTTTTATTTTCCCTAGATAAACCCAATCGATCGCCAATAGCAACGAACACGCTGGCCTGCAAATCAAATCAATGTATATGTTTTTTAAAGAACCGGATCCGCGCCTACGCTGGTCTAAATGCTAACCATCATCATCACGCCATGCAAGAAAACCCATAATAGAAAAGTGCACTCTAAACTAAAGAGTATCTAACCAGTTGATCACCTAAAATGCGAAGGTCAGTTAAACAGCCCTTCTATGCAGTCGGGCCAGTGGGGCACTTACCATCATTGCCTGCATCAAAGCCACCTTCTCCCCATAGTGCGTCCCATCGAAGCTATCCGCCTGCAAAGTAGCATTATACATGCCAAGAACATCCATTCCCCTGTCGTGCGCAGCTTCAGCCGTGTCGATGGCATACTGCCACACAGCAGGAAGATCATCGTTACCCGCGGGCTTCTTCTGATGGCCGGGTGCTGTGGGGCCAATCCAGAGGAATGGGGCGTTGTTGGCAGTGCTTTTGGCCACAGCTTGCCATTCGTCCATGCTGGTTTGGGCAGTGGATAGGGAATACGAATTTGCGAGGGAAAGGCTGTGGATAATGGGAAGGGCCTTCTTATGACCCGCTCCCTGGGTTATTAACCGGTGGAACTTTTCGTGTGCGCTTTTTGAGGTTGGAGTGCCGCTGATCGAGAGGTATGCATGCGGGGTAGCTAAATAAGCGTGGTTATTAGCGTCTGTGTATGAGGGTTTATGACAATATGGGGTGGTATGCTTACAGGTCGAGCAGACATAGGGACTGCGGGTCAGGGCTGCGTCATCCTGGGCAGGCACTTGGCCACTAGAAGTGATCCGTTGGGGCCAGCAGGACTTGCTGGTGAGCTGCGAGTCACAACGACAAGTCTCGCGCTGTTCAGGGCTCATGTCCCATTCCTTCAGAGCACCAGATGCCAAGTTCTCTCGCAGGAGAAGATTGAATCCGGCATACACATTGGCCATGGTGTCATCGCCGACAAAGGCAATACCATCGAACTTTTGCAACACCTCACAGATCTGCGCCGTGGTGTACCATCTGTAGGAACAGCCTGTTACTGTCAGTGAGAGGCCATAACAGTATGACATTCGATATCTTACCCTGTGAGGTATACGCAGCATCAAAACCATGACGGCCACCATTGCTCATAGCACTGAGCAACGAGGCTCGGGTGCGGCAGAAGTCATGTTCATCGCCCACCTCTGGATGGTTGTAAAGGGATAGAGATGAGATCCCACACTCCTGGTGGCCCATGAAGTGAGCCAGAAAACTGGCCTTGTGAGTTGCTATCCATCGCGGGGCTGAAGACACCCGGAGATGCGGAAAAAGATGAAAACTCACTCGTCTGCTTTCGGGCTTGGTACCCCGTCGGACGGGGTGAATGGAAGATAGAAAAGGTCACGAATCAACCAGACGATATAGAAGACGCCCAGAACCCATAGCGAAGCCATAAGTTTGTAGGTCGACGACCGCCAGGTGACTCTCCGGATCAACCGGCGGCCATCGGGGCCCTCAATGGGCCCCCGGCGGGGCGGTTGATGGTATTGTTGTTGCTGTTGTTGTTGTTGAGTGCTGGAAAAGGGATATGCCGGAGACCCGTTGAGAGTCGACAATGAAGACAGTTGCTCACTATGAGAAGCCCTTCGACGAGACATTGTGTGTATAGTTTTAAAGTGTGTAAGTGGGCTGATTTGTGTCAGTTTGATTTGGCCGGAAGACTAAAGTCAAATTCCCGGATGCAGCTAGAACGGGGATGCAGCAGAATTACCGTGCATCCGAAGACCTTGAGTTAATGTCAGAATTGAGAGAAGAAGAGACAAGGAAAGAGAAGAGAGAGAGGGTTAGACAAAGCGAGAAAGAGAGAAAAAAAGATGTGTGCGTGTGCTTTTCCCCTTTTGGGTATTTTTGACTCCGTGGTGACAGCCGCACAAACCGAACTGGAAAACGGACGTCAACGGCGGGTATCAGCGAGCCCCAGTTTTTAGATTATTGTCTCTGTGTGTGGACCAGAAGGGAAATCCAAAGGAATTCTGGATGCTGAAAAAAGATGTGGTGGTGGGTTGTGGTGGTTGGGAAGTGGCAGAAATTTACGCGCAACAACCGAGATGACTTGCTTTAGCATAAGCAGTGGTCGTGTTAATGATTTTATCCCTGGAGATGTCGCAGAGAAGATTCTCAATGTATATCAGAGTCTATCACAGTTATTCCGGGGTCTGGTTTGTATACTTGTTAAGTCTTGTTAATACTTGAGAAGACTCGACAATCACGTGTTATCCAGGCTCGCCATTGATCCTTCGCAAAGCTTCATTTTCATATGCAATTAATTTGCTTTCAATTCCCATAATACTCTGTGCCAGTATCAATATAATGATCTAGTCTATCATATGTTATTTCTTTGATATTCCCCGGTCAATCGGGCGAAAGGGGAGCCAAGTGGTGACTCAACGCCGGCGTCCTTTACTCTGTACATATATAATTGGACCATCGCTACTCCGTCCTCCAGATTTCTTTGCTTCTTCTCCTTATTTTCTCTTATTCTAATCTATTATGCATATCTCACAATACCAAGAATCCTAATCTGCGCTGAGGCATCACCTGACATAACCCCCCACACGTGACTTCCCCGGTCCTCCGCAAAGTAGAGTCATTCCCACCTCCCACTTCCCTCGGCTTCTTCTTCTCTTTCTCAACTTTTTCTTCTCTTCAAATTCAGAGACGAGCTTCCTCTCGATTACAGCTTGCTCCATATGCTCTATAATTCCTCCTGACTCCCCATTGACGCCTCTATCAGCTGATTGCCTCTCCGGGGTATTGCTCTCCCGCCGTCCCGACTCTCAACCTCGGTAGAAAGAGAGCTCCGTGATTCTCCTGCCATCTTCCTGCCATTCCTCCCTATTCTTGAACTATCTATCCTTCTTCGTTCTCAATTCAAAACCACCTACACACTACTGCATTGCTCTGAACTTCTCCAGGCCTTTGGCCTGATCTTGTGACACCATGTGGAAGCCGTCGGAGCGCCTGATGGACACCATCAGACATTATGCCAGCTTCCCCGCCACGGGTGTCTCTCTGCGCCAAATGGTCCAATTTGGTGACAGACCTTCAACCGGTATGTGTGACCTAGCCCCCATCTCACAGACAGCTGTCAAGCTGACCGTTGTGTCGCATGTGGTTACAGGCACCCTCTTTCGCGCCTCGCAATTCATGTCCGAAGAACTCCCCATTCGCCTTGCCCACCGTGTCCAGGACCTTGGTCAACTTCCCGATGGTCTCAGTGAAATGCCCTCGATCAAAAAGGTCCAGGATTGGTATGCTCAATCTTTCGAGGTATGAACCCCTCATACCACCCATACAAGGCAAAAGACTCATGGCGCAGGAAATCATCACCCTCCCCCGCCCCACCTTGACGCAAGAAGTTAAAGCCCGTCTGCTCCGACCTGGTCGAATGAATGGCGGTGCTTCCAAGATCCTCTCCGAAACCACCCAGAATCCCAGTGTCCGTGAAGGACAGTACCGGTCCTCTCCTACGTCGAATGGCAAGAATGGCAATGGTCATAGCAAGGCCGCTGCCGCTGCCCGCAGATATTTCATTCCGTCTGATGATCAAGGCGACTGGCCACCCGAGTTGAAAGATTACAATGACCGCTTTGCAAAGACCCTCCAGCAGATCAAACGTCGTCACGATAGCGTTGTCACCACCGTCGCCCAGGGTATTCTCGAATGGAAACGGAAACGACAACGCTTGCAGATTGATTCAACCGTCCAGTCTTTCCTCGATCGGTTCTACATGTCGCGAATTGGTATACGGATGTTAATTGGTCAACACATCGCCTTAACGGAGCAAACGCATGTTCGCCATCCACACTATGTCGGCATCATCTGTACCAAGACCAACGTGCGCGAAGTCGCTCTCGAGGCCATCGAGAATGCGCGCTTCGTATGTGAGGACTACTACGGCCTGTTTGAAGCTCCCAAGGTGCAACTCGTCTGCAAAGAGGACCTGAACTTCATGTACGTCCCGGGCCATTTGTCGCACATGCTCTTCGAGACCCTGAAGAACTCTCTGCGTGCGGTGGTTGAACAACATGGAGCCGAAACCGAGAAATTCCCCATTACCAAGGTCATTATCGCCGAAGGCAAGGAAGACATCACGATCAAGGTCTCTGACGAGGGTGGCGGCATTGCGCGATCAGCCATTCCGTTGGTTTGGACGTACATGTACACCACTGTGGAGGAAACTCCCAGTTTGGACCCGGACTTCGACAAGAGTGACTTCAAGGCACCAATGGCTGGTTTTGGTTATGGATTGCCTATCAGTCGACTCTATGCTCGGTACTTTGGTGGTGATCTCAAGTTGATCAGCATGGAGGGGTACGTTTCTTTTCCCTTCCATTTTTTGATATCCTACTGATTGTAATAGATACGGAACTGATGTCTACCTTCATCTCAACCGACTATCCTCGAGTTCGGAACCCCTGCAATGACAATTACCAGTCATGAGGGATGGCCGAGTCCGGTTCACCACTTCCCACCGTCTTCACCCCTTCTACACGGAACCGGATCCACTACCATCTCAAGGATTGACGCCGATGAATATTCAAGCCGTCCGGGCACGGATGCGCAATCGGGAAGTACCTGAGCGCAAGCAAGTTGGGGATGTCGAGAGCTTGATCAATGCTGAGAAGATAGTTGGAATTTGGGAGGAGTAGTCGTGCGAATAGCTTCCACATTCTCCTGCTTGCTCAGAGTACAAAGTACAGAAGAAACACTCTTCTACAGTCACTGCGGTGATGTCCACGTTGACATCCAGCAGACTCGAATCAGATCAGCATGCCGGGACCAACCTGACAAGGTTGCAGGCCTGATCTACACATTGATACCCACCTAACATTGTAAATAGCGAATCCACGGGCGGGCGCAATAGTGTCTACAGCATCGGGTCTATCGGTTATCTGTTATATTGGTTGTCTTTTGTTTATGTTTGACGCGTGTATGTATAGTATGTTAATTGTCATGTTCGGTTTCACGTGTACACGTATCTTTTCGTTATTCGATACCTCCGTAAGAGTTCCTCGTAGGCGCAACCCTGTAATGATTTACCTCGCACCACTCCTCCGCCTGTTCGCAGACCCCGGCGTCGAAGCCCTCGGACGAGTAGGCGTCCGACTCTTCCCCTTCCCAAACGGCGACGCCGCCGGCGAAGCAGGCTGACTCCTCCCCTCCTTACTCCCCCACCCCTCATCCCCCGTCTCACACACATCCACCACGCCCCTCGGCACAGTAACATACTGCCCCGCCCCACCCCCACTGTTACTCCCCGGCACATGAATCGTATACCTCTCCGCCCTGATCACGCCCGTATCCGTGTTATCCTGCGGCGCCATCATTTTACTTAAGAATCGTCGTCGTGCTTGCGGGAGGGTCTCGTTGTGCGAGAGCGCTTGGAGCATGAGGAGTTCGCGGTCGAGGAGGATGCAGAGCGCTGCGTGGCGGTCTTCACGGGCGCGCGTGCGGAGTTTGTTGTTGTGTTGGTTTGATGGGGATTGGGTGTGGGTGTAGTAGGTATATGTGTAGTCTGATTGGGGGCGTGGTCGTTGCGGTGCGTGAGGATACGCCCGCTGGTGAGGATGGTGATGCGGCGCAAAATTAACAAGCTCGTGCGCGGAAAGATGCGAGTACGGTACGTTATTATCCGGATCGAGAAGGACGTCCGGGTCATTGTTTATATCGAAGTCGATACCCCCGTCATCTTCGTCCTCGTCCTCGTCCTCGTCATCATCCATGTCTTGGTCGCCGTCGTCGTAGTAGCCAAAGTTGGTGATGGGTTGCTGGCGCGGGGGAGGGTGGTTTCGGGGTGGTTGGCGGATGATGTCGTATGTTTCGTCGTCGTCGTCGATTAGGATGGGTTGGGTTTGTTGGCCGTGGGCGTGGCGCGGGTTTTGGCCGGGGCCGCGGCGGTTTGTGGGGTGCATGTGTGTTTCTTTTACGGGGTTGGATTGGTAGTATAGAGGATGGGAGGATGGAGAGAGAGGTGTGTCTGGATTTGTTGTTAGGCTTGTTTGCTTGCTCTTGCTTGGTGTGCGGATGGAATTGATGAAAGTCCAAGTTTGAGGGAGGATTCGACGGGATAGCGAGCCCAGTGGAGGTCAATTAGAGGAACTGAACGTCTTCCAGAAGAAAATCAGTCGTCTACTCGAGTGCGAGTGCTCGGTGGGTATCTTGAGCTGTGACGTGCCGGCGCGGGGAAGATACCAGAGAACCGGAAGTGAATCAGTATGGCAATTCCGATGTGTGTGAAATGTGTTAACGGATAAGCAGCGCTTTATCAGAGGTATCTCTCTGTCAAGATGCTGGAATTGGATCCAGTATAGTTATTTGATGGAGACGAGTGACGTGAGGTGAAGCTGCACAGGTGATTGATGCGATTAGTAATCTACTCTTATCCAACTCAAGTACGGCTGCTTATGACCAGAGAGAATTGGCAAATGCATCAATTAATATTGTACTGCTCTGTATATGTATATGTATAGTGGCAGCTTGGCCCTCGCTCGTACTTTAGTGTCAATATCATGTTCGAGCTCGAGGGCAGGATGTTATTCTGGGACAGGATGCATCAAATGGTCGAAATGGCGCAAATTTTCAGGCATGTGAAGAGATAAAAGAGAGATCGAGTGAGAAAAAGGAAAGAAAGGTGAAGAAAAGATAATATACACAGGCAGTCCAACATCCAACATATCCGATATACGCCCGACGCCATGATGCCGCTGAATGGTCCTCCAGGGGATCGGAGGATCCGGAGTGATTAAAGGAACGAAATGAGAAAGTGAAGAGAAGGGAAAAGAAAGGAAATAAGAGAAAGAAAAGCTCAAGCAGGACATCCATGCATGAATGAGTTCGTGGGCCATTCGTACCCGGCATCATTCCTAAATTCGATTGGCATGAGCAAAGACAACTTGAGGGAGCAAGAAAACATACCACGACGTCACATTCATATTCTGATACGCCACCGGGTGCTTCTCGATGTACTCCGTCGTCTCGAAGCCTGGCGGGTCACAAGTAACACTCTCCTCATCCGGGTCCTGATATATCCGCACATAATCCAATCTCATGTACCCCGGGAAATACTTGGAGATGATCTCATCAATCGGCGCGAAACTCCACGCCATACCCAAGTTCATAATAATCGACATGGGCTCGTTAGGGATCACACGCTGCCCGATGTTACCGTTGGGGCCTAGAGCGCGAGCGTCGAGTGTCCAAGTCTTGTCTTGGCCGACAAACCAGGTGATCTCGCCCTCTTCGCCGGGGGAATATTCGAAGGCGTATGTTTGGTAGGAGGTTCCGTTATACCATTTGTTGTTTAATGTGGTCATTCCGGACATGGCTTGTTGTAGAGGGCCACCGCGGTAGTCGTTGATGTATGTGATCGATTCATCGTAGACGGCAGCATAGTCTAACATCAATTAGTTAAGGTCACAAGCTTGTGACAGTCGTGCTTACCATAATCCGGCATATACCAGACATCAAACGGAGCCATCTGCAAACTCTGCGATACCGTTCCGACAACCTTTCCATCCCCGTTCAACGGCGCAACGCTGGCTTCAATAACATCGATTTCTGGCGCACCGCGCGAATGCCCCGGGCTCGGATGCTCACCACCTTTACATGTGCAAGCAGGCAAGCGCATTCCAGGCAGGGAGTTAAGACCATCAGGCGAACTCTGGTTAGGCGTGATACCAACGTCGCACTCGTCGTAGTAACTGTACGGCCACATACCGTCCGTGGTAGCCCGATAGCCGGGTCGACCAAGGTTACCCATAGCCCAGAAACCGGGCCAGAAACCAGATACGCTGCCGTCACCGGGAAGGGAGATACTAGCTTCGAGGCGGCCGCCTTTGAAACACAATTTGTTCCAGGATTGGAGCATGCCGGAGCGGTATTTGAGTTCGTGGTTGGGGAATTTGTCGAAGCGGATTTCTAGGACGCCGTCTCTTGTTGTCACCGCGTCAGGATCGTACCACTACACAGAATTAGCCCTATTCTTGTTCCCCAAAGGAGTTGGGAACGAACCTCCAGATCCTGCGTCACACCATACCAAAAGTCCATCGCCTGGAAGTACGGGTCGTCTCCGTCGTAAAATGTTCGCCCGTCGGTATTGAATTCGTCCGAGAACTAGCCTGTCAGTGCCTTCTCTAGACCCTCATACAGACTCGAACTTACCACCAACTTCCAATCCTTGCCATCTGCCGCCTTCTTGGTCATCACTGACTCCGGGGTGTCCGGATCAACGAGACCTGTGCGAAGATTCGAAAGTATCGGGCGTTCGCCAACGTCCAGACATAATGTGTCCCCAGGATCACAGTTGCCATGCTTTCCATTGTGTTTGAATGCAGTTCTGCGAAAATCAGTAACCGTTCACTTGGTCTCCGTGAGTGAAAAGACATACATAACAGGATACCCAATAAACAACGTCAAAAACCCCAACGTCAACAACGTCAATCCCCCAATATTCATAATCCCCCGTCGATTAAACAATTCACATCGACGGTCTCTCTCCCCAGCATCGGGGTTATGCAAATAATCATCCTTCTCCACATCCTCCGGAAACAACAACAACCCCTCCGTCGGCATAATGTTGTACTTCTCCGAGACTGTCTGCGTATTCACATCACTGTCATAGCTATCCGACCTCGACGGGGCCCTCGAGTCCACGAAAGGATTGAACCCATACGTCCGGGTATCATAGCTTCCCACCGCGGAGCTCCAGCTCGTCCGTCGAGACGGCATGATAGACAAGTCCGGCGAGCGAGTTGGAGTCGGCTGGTCCAGCTCATCGCGGAGACGATGTGAGGGCCGCGGGGGAATCAGGAACTCTGAGGACTCTTGGGGATAGGTGGGAGAAGCCAAACTGCTGTGAAAAGTTCCATTTGCTGAAGAGGGAGACGGTGGGATGGGTGGGATTTGGAGTCCGGGGGTTAGGGCGCGGCCGATTAGGTTCTGGGATGATGCGTTGGCGTCGCCTTCCTCTGCGTCTCTGAAGGGGTATTCGTCGCCTGAGTTGACTTCGATGTGGGGAGTGGTCCCGGTACCCATTTCGGGCGTGTGTTGGACGGAGTCATTTGGTGGGAGGTCGGCCATTTCGTTATCTGGCTGTTGGTTTTTGGGGCACACTTGATATTCGACCGTGCTGTTCTGATATCCTCAGTTAGAACTGTTTGAAACATGCGTCTGCTATGGCACTCACGAGGTGTATTAAAGATTATTGCAGTTAGCTGTCACGTATTAATTAGACGCTCCCTGGTATTAGGATTGCTATTGATGTCAACGCGAGTCGAAAGCGAGGGATCAAGGCACACGTCAAGTCACGCGTTGACCGTCAATGAACGGACAGACAATCTATATTGTCCTTGAGTTCGAGTCGAGGAAAAGGATAGATGTCGACTCGAGGGGAGAGGGTTGAAACAAAGAGTGGCAGGTCGAGAGAGAGAGAGCTGCCGTGAATGGAAGACGCTGCCACAGCACAACGAAGCAAACGAACGAAAAGCAAATGAAAGAAAGGAACAAAGAAAAGAAAAGACGAACAATCACATTACAAAATAATGGAAGAAAATAGAAAAGAAAAGGAAAAAACAGCGATACGCAAAGGAAAAGGAAAACAGTGACTGGAATGATGATCGAGGAAGAAATGCAGAGACGAGGGCAAGGGAGGAGGGGTCTGTCAGGGCCTTGCAGGGACCTGCATGGTTTATTATTATCAGTACTATCTGATTGTACTGTCAATGCAATTTGCACTGGAAGAGCCCTGTTTGGGTGTAGAATCTATGTTTTTCTTATTGTATCTACTTCCACTCTATACAATCATACTCTACCGGTAACCTCTACCACCAACACTATCCTACCATCATCACTCGAACAGACAAACGGTTGCTAGGCAAGGGAAGTCAGGAATCTACTCCTTCAACGGGTTTACATAGTAGAATAACCCTGGGATAAACGCTCACCGCGACTACACATTCCACACCACATTCCACCATCACTACAACAACAGCTACCCTGTTCAAAGAGGAACCTATTTCCTTGATCTACGTATTTATGTCAACAGAGGGCAAAAGATCAAGGATAAGGATGTACATATCGTTTCACCTGGTCTAGCTGTCAGACAATAGTCCTGTATACATGCGGAGTATATCCCCGAGTAAAGTCTACTTCTGCAGTGAAATATAACTCTACCTGCTCCCCTCTATTTTAATCAACGGTACTCTGTATCTGTGCTTGCGTAGTCCAGGCTCTTCGGGCGCTCGGTCTTTTTCCTCGCACCTACGCCGGCATCCCTTGCGTTGGCGATGTTTACTGTCCGCTTGAGAAGAAGGCCGGTACAGTTTACAGAGTATAAGAGTATATTTATCTATTCCATACATGCGATTGCTTTTTGAACTGTGATGTACATTGGGTGCTCTGTACTTCGTATTTAGTGTAGTATAAGTCTTGGACATGAGTCCTCATAAATCATCCGAACACATAGACAGCACTCCAACCTGGTACTATATATATCCGTCTCAAACTACACCTGGATCTGCAAGTCATACCATTGCATGTATACCCTCATAACTCCAAAAGCAAGATACCATATGCACATAACCATCATAAACCGTAATATATCAAGCTAAGTCTCAACAGCCCTCGCCCTAAACCCAACAACCCTCCCCTTCTCAGTATCCAACCCCAACACAAAATAATCCACTCGCGACGACCCAACATCCACCCGGTACACCTTCACTTCTACATTTTCGTCTTGCCCGGAAGCCGCCGCGCGAACCGCCTTGAACACACCGGGGTATTGATTCCGTGGATCGAAGGATGAGGCTGATAGCGTTGTGATGTTATTCGAAAGGTCGGTGGTAGTATCGGGAGCGATTAGGGACGATAATTGCGCTGCGATTATACCATTAGCCTCTTATCAAACATAGAGTATGCAGCATGGAAGAGGGGCATACAAGACCCAGGCCACTCCTCTCTCCCCGCCCCCTCAAATCCCAACACAACAGGCTCAAACGGCTCATCTGTTTCGGAAATGTAGAATGTGTCGATTGATTGCAAGCTCGCAGGGGTTTCTGCGTTAGCGTGGACGGTCTGCGTTTGTGTTCTTTGTGTCTGTGCCTGGGACTGTTGGCCTGCGGAGTGGTCGGTGTTGGCTTTTTCGAGGAAGGAGAGGTAGGCGTCGTCGGAGGACATGGTTCGTGTTGTGTTTATTTGGAAGAGACTGGTTCTGTAGATGTGGTTTCTGGTGAATGTATTTCGCTGGAGTAAAGAGTAGTTGCGATGTGAGAGAAAGAAGTTGTGACTGGATCGCAGGGTAGACGTTGGGCGCAAGGCAGGGCCCATGACGCAATACACTCCGCGAGAGGGCCGCATTGATTTGATTATTCTTGATAATAATAGTATTTGATCTAATAATTCACGGGAAATCAATCAATGGATAGGTTGTACTAAAATTGGAGAGATAAAGTAGGTTATGTTCTGTCATGCTCGATATATATCTTGAACCAAAACCGAAAATTTCTGACCCGACACCGCCATCTACAAAAAAATCTCCAGTCTCCTAGAAAAATAATAAATTATACGCTTTACTGGAACATTTTGAAGGTATTGTCACTTTTTATTGAAAAGGAAAATAAACGGAAAATACATCTCACTCCATCCCAACACCTTAAACAGTAGTAACAAGATCCTTCTTGAGGGTACCCAGGAAGGCCTTCTTCTCCTCGGCGGTCTGGAAAGCACCGTGACCGAACTTGGACGAGGTGTCGATCCATTTGAGCTCGATCTTCTCGGTGGCTCTCCGGTTGACCTGGGGGTAGAGGGACTTGCGCAGGGTCATGACACGCTTCTTAACACCGGGAACGGAACCCTTGAGGAGGATGAAGTCGTTCTTGACCTCACCGTAGCGGACGAAACCACCCATACTGTTTATCATTAGCACGTCATCTGGATTGAAAGTCAAGGGGGAGCAACGTACGGAGTGATCTGCTTCTTGGAGATGTCGAACTCAGTCGAGGCGTTACCCTCGTCGGTACCCTTTCCGACACGGAAAACCTTGTGGTTGCACGATGTACGGTGGTGGTAACCCATTTGACCAGCACGGGCAACAGTCCACTGGACGTGGTTAGGATGCCAGGCACCAATACAGGCGACCTTACGCAGACCCTTGTGAGTCTTACGGGGCAGCTTGGTGGTACCCCAACGGCTGGTGACACCCTGGAAACCGTGACCCTTGGTGACGGCAATGACATCGATCATCTCGTCCTTCTCGAAGACGCTGTCGATCTCAATGGGCTTCTCGAACAGGTTGCGGGCAAAGTCAACCTTGTCGGCAATGGCGCCACCGTTGACCTGGACCTCCATGAGGTGGGCCTTCTTTTGCTTGACGGGGGTCTTGCGGATCTGGGTGTGGGCGAGCACACGGACGACAGTGCAGTACTTCTTGATGCGCTCGAGCTCACGGGTGATGGCAGCGCCGCTGTTGTCGGCGTGCTTCTTGGCGTACTTGGTGAAAGCCTTCTTCTTGCTCTTGTACCAGTTCTTGTAGAAGCGGCGCTTGACCTCGTCGCTCAGGTGCTCGGCCCAGACAGTAGTGAGCGAGCGGAGACCACGGGGAGTCTCAATGTATCCGACAACACCGACAGCGACAAGCTAGAATCTCGTAAGCCTCCATCTCTCCCCATCTCCTCGATAAAACTAAAACATACCGGAGGAGTCTCGATGACGGTAGCAGCCTCGACAACCTCCTTCTTGTGCATCTTGGCACCGGGTCTGTCAAGGTCACGGACGATAGTGGTCATACCGGCCTTGTAGCCCATGGCGGCCGTCAGGTGGACGGGCTTCTTGGAGTCATCCTTGGGGAAGCTGTCGTAAAAGTCTCAGTATACCGTTCCCAATCCGAAAAATTTTCCTGATGTCGCCAATACTAACCTCTTGACCTTTCCACGGTGACGGGTCGCGCGCTTCCGGGGAAGGAAGGCAAGCGAACCTATAAACACAATTGTATCAGTATACCATCGCACACATAACCGGCCGACTAGGTGATGAAAAATTCGAAACGGGCGTTGTATAGGAAAAGGATTTCACGAACCGTGCCGAGGCGCTTCGTACTTCCGGTGACTCCTGTAAAAGAAAATCGTCAATGTCTGCTTCTTCGCATTCGAATTGTAGTCGTTCCGGGCAGCACTTACATCGTGACCCTGTTGTCGTTAGTCGTTGAAGTGGTGAGAGAGTCTGGTCTGAATTTGACCGGGTCGTATTTTGCACCCGCTTGTCGAGTGTGGGCTGATCTAAGCGAAGTCTTGGCGCAGCCCTGCCTCTTTGGGGCTAAGCGACTTGCCGTCCCTGCCTCAGGCAGCTTTATTTTTTTTCTCCCGCATTTACTGTGCAGTCACGTGAAAAACTACGTCAACGCTCGGGTAGTGGTAATAGTATAGCGATTTCATTTCCAAGGGTAATATCAAGCATTCACAGAGAATCAAACAACTCAAACTAAAACAGATAGCCCCCCACACATGGGAGAAAAGAAAATTTGGATATGAAAAGATCAAACATTGAGCCACAAGCCGCCACCGTGGCTTCGCCACAAATGCCAGGCCAAAACGTAAAGTACAAAAAAAGAGGACAAGAAGAAAAGAGAAGAAAAGAAGGGAAGTAGATAATGAAAAATGAAACAAAAAGAGACATCCGCGTAGGGTAATGAATGAATACAAAGTTTTTCTCATCATATTCATTCAAAGTTCTTGCTTTCCATCCAACCAAAAACAGAAATCACTTAAAACACCTATTTAAAGCCCGCTTCCGTCAACCGTGTACATCAAGGGAGTGAGAAGAGAAAAGAGAATTGAGTATATAACAGGGGTTTCTTAAGCTGCGGGCTCCTGCTTAGCCTGAGAAGATTGCACACCGTTGCTGTTGCCGTTGGCATTGCTACCGTTGGGGCTTCCCTTGGCGGCAGTGCTGGCCCGCTTCTCATCATCGCCATCGTCATCATAATCTTCATCCACGTCCATCTTCCGCGCGGCAGGCTCGTGGGCAGGAGGCTGTTCGGGGCGAGCAGGCTCCTCCTTGACCTGAGCCGACGGCGGTCCAGACTGAGATCCGTTCGAGGCTGGAGCAGAGCTCTCAGCCATGGGAGGAAGACTCGAGCCGGATTGAGGGGGCATGTGTTGGATGGATGGAAGCGTCGGGGGATGATGGGCGGCCTCGGACGGATGGTACTCTTCGTTCGCGCGACGCTGCTCCTCGCGTCTAGCTTCCGATGAGCTGCGGCGCTGCATTTCTCCGGGGGACGGCATGCGGTTGGGTGGGGTGACGCGACGACTGGCTTGGTCGTCGAGACGAGCACGGCTCTCTTCATTGGCGATCTTCTTGATAGGACCAGTATCAGCTTCCCATTCCCTGCTACGCTTCATTGCCGACGCGGGACGATCCTCACGCTCCCGAGCAGCTGCTTCGGCGGCGGCGATCGCGGATGCCGGCGGCGGAGCACCCCCTGCGATGCCACTGTTGCCGCTTGCTGGGATAGGACCATAGTGGAACTGTTGGTGGGGATAAGTCGAGCCAGGCGAAGAAGGCCGCTCATCGCGAATTGGCCGGATATCTGGGTTTGGAGAGAACGGTCGGTGGTAAGGAGGCATCGGGCCAGACGAAGGAGGACCGCTAGGCGCACCAGGACCGCTGGGAGCAGCAGCAGGGGGCAAGGGTCCGCGGGTGGCGGATGGGAAGGCACCCGAACCGCTGGGGACTCGCTCGTGGGATGGTGCGGGAGCGTTGGTGATTTGAGGCAAATGATACGCGCCGGCCATGGCCGTCTTGGGAGAACGAACGGCAGATGGGGCGCGGACGGCATCGGGGAACACCCTGCCGGGCTCCTGGCGCGGGCTAGGTTGGGCCGGGCCACGGACAGCATCACGGTGATCGAAGCCATTGGCAGCTTGGACCTGAGCCTGAGCCTGCGCCTGCGCTTGTGCCTGGGCTTGGGCTTGAGCCTGTGCCTGTGCCTGTGCCTGTGCCTGAGCTTGAGCTTGCGCCTGGGCTTGGGCTTGGGCTTGGGCTTGGGCTTGGGCTTGAGCCTGAGCAGCGTGGGCAGCCTGAGCTTGCGCCTGAGCTTGAGCTTGAGCATGTGATTGGAGTTCATTGATGCCGCGGTTCCAATCCGCAATCTGCCTGGGAGGGGCCGGAGGCTGCGGAGGAGGACCGCCAGTGGGAGCCGGCGCACCCCATTGCGGAGGACCGCCAACACCAGTCTGATAGGCTTGGGGATGGACATCCTGCGGCTGAGGAGGAGCACTGCTCTGGTTGGATCCTGAAAGCTGGCTCTGGAGCAGTTGCAAGCGTGCCTTGATGTGAACGTTCGCGGGATCAAGATCGGCAGCGCGGCCATAGGCGTCAAGAGCATCGGCAATTTGGTTGTTGCAGGATTCGTACAGAGTACCAAGATCATACCAAACTTCCGAGATGTACGGGTTCAGACGGATAGCACGAGAGTAGGCGTCCAAGGCATCACGGTACTGGTTGATTTGGTAGTAGAGCACACCAATCGAGCACCAGAAGGTAGGGTTCCGTCCATCGCGGTAGACGGCTTGCTGGTAAGCTTCGTACGCCTTGGGGTACTTGGCCTGCGACATGTAACAACGGCCAAGTAGATACCAACTCTGTGCGTCAGTGTTGTCTGCGTTAACCGACTTCTCAAGGTATTCAATGGCCTTTTCTTGGCTTGCATAGCTAGCGCTCTGCTGGTGGTAAAGCCAGCCGAGTTGCTGCAAGACCTTGGCATGGTTGGGGTCACGGTCCAACACTCGTCGGTAGGCAGCCTGGGCCGATTCGAACTATTGAAGCCGTCAGAATCTGCACGGGCCTGCAAGTAGTATGGGGGGGGGGAAGCATCACATACATCCTTCTGCTGTTCATGAACGTGGCCAATCTGGAACCAAATATCCTCCTCAGTAAGAGGGCGAGGAGGGTCGTTGACGATATACTTGAAGCACTAGAAATGATCAGCAAGGATTCAATCAAAACAAAGGCTTTGTCATCGATCCATACCTCCAGACTGTTGCTGAACTTTTGCTGCTGCTTGTATATTATGCCCAAGCGAAAGTAGATTTCGTTGGCTTTTTCAAAGTCCGGGGCCATACGCATAACCTGGGAAAAAGCCTCCTCGGCATGGTCGAGAGAACCGTAGCGGTCGTAGAGTATACCAATTCCATACCAGAGTTTCGGCTCCTACAAAGCACAGCCGCGGTTAGTGTAACGCGTCTACGACACGTGACAGAACAAATACCGACCTTAGGATCCCGAAGGTGATACAGGGCTTGTTGGTAGGAGGTATACGCATCTTGCAGATTGTCCATCATCAGATGACAGTGGCCTGCAGCCATGGTTAGTTGGTTTCTTAATGCAGCACACCAATGGGAATAATTCTTACCCAAGCTGCCCCAGGTTTCCCCGCTCGTCGGATCCAATTTCAAAATATTTTGGAGATATTCAACTGCCTTGGCGAATTGTTCTTTGGTTCGAAGAATGCACGAAATGGCGTTCATCGCAGGAATGGACCACTGGTTATGTCGCAGTGCCTGTTCATACGCGTTCATGGCGCCTTCGAGATCGCCCATCAATTCCGTCAAGCTGCCTATCGCAAAATTGTCAGCCATACACGATACACGTCATCGAGGGGAAAAAAAAAAAAAAAAAAAAAATTGCAAGGACCAAGGACGTAAGCACATACCGATTTGAAGCCAGACCTGCTCATTGAGCGCGGCGATTTTCTGCGCGGTGTTCAGCGGCGGGCCCTTTTGGCCCTGCGATTGCAGGGGAATGTGGCCATTGACTTGAGCATGAGCCGCGATGTGGGCATGATGAGGGGTGACAGCCCCGGTGGGTGACGGCTGAGTGTGAGCCATATTGTCCGAGAAGGGTCCTTTTTTTGGAATGGCTTGCGCTACCGTCCAAGTCGACCGATCAGGGACTCTGCGACACGGTGATGCAATGCGGTGCGCGTGTCACTAGTCAGAGTTGCACAGTCCAGGGAGTCCCAAGGTGTTGCGCGGGAACCTACGGTTTGACTCTGTCTCGTGTCGGTGTGTATGTGTGTCAAGGCCCGATTTGGCTGTGTTGTTTCGCGCCCAATCGCACAAATACCGAAGGAACCGGAGATGGTTGCGAAATTGAGGAAAATATATTTTGGACACGTTTACTCGAATTCAGCTGAAAAGGAACGCGACTGATCGCACTTCCAGAGCGCCGCGGTCAGGTGTGTCGGAGTTGGCAGGCGGCGGTGCAGGCGCACCAATTCACACGAACAAGTTCAAAAAAAAAAAAAAAAAAAAAAAAAAAAAGACAAGTTAAAATAAACAAGAAGTGAAGCTAAAAAGTACTAAAAGGATAGGATAAGAAGCGATCAAGTGTGTAGTAGTAGTACTGATGGCGGTGGTGGTAGTACTCCGTAGAGCTAAAGGGAAGATCTTGGGTGAAGCCAGCCGACCGAAGCCGGTTAGTATGGAGATGGCCAAGAGGGGAAAAGAGATGAGATGAGCAAACGAAGAGGAGCAGATGAGAATCAGGGGGATAAGACAAGGTCAACAAGAACGGGAAGAGGCAAGGAAGGAAAAGGAAAGAAAGAAGGGAAAAGGAAGAGAGAGAGGAGAGAGAGAAGAGAAGAGAGAAAGGGTCGAGGGGCTGACAGAGAGTAGAGAGAGAGGCCAGAGAGGGTGATTTAGTGCCAAGACCAGCTAGTGGTTGTGCAGCTCATGGAGCAGGCATACAGAACAGTAAAAAAGTAAAAAAAAAAGGCGCTGGGATGACGGTCGCCCGGGCAGGCTTTGGCAGCCGCTTGTCCAGGAACGGTCTAGTGTCAGTGGATCCCCACGGATCTGGAGGCGCGTCCGCGGGTATTTTAGTCGCTTAGCTCAGCAGCAGGTGTGTTTTTATTTTCCGGTGCCGGCTTTCGGTCGGGCGGGTGACATAACTACGACGCATTCTGTACAATTACTACAGAGTACATATTAATTTTAATATTGACTGATGAATGCAAGTACAACTACAGATGCATCGCGTGTTTGCTAGAGGCACGCTTAGCGCCACGCTGGCATGGGTCTAGCATGGCTCAACGGGTATTCTCCGTATGGGGTTCTACTATTACGAGTCTCGGATATCCGTACGCTACTGTCTGAAATAAGGATATTACAAAAGTACCTTTTTAAAAAGTAGACCGTACTTGTCATAGTACAGTTGTACTAATCTACACCCGCGGCAACCCAAATAAAACCCAATCTGCCAGTGATGCATATGTGTACAAGTATTATGTGTGGGAGGAGTCGGGGGCCAAAAACCGAAAATAAGCAAATTAAGGGAAAAAAAAAAAAAAAGAAAAAGAAAAAAGTTCAAGCACGAACCCCCGGTTGTGACTCGCCGAGGAAAACACACTACTAGTGTGACTGCAAGTGGGTCATGGATCCTTTCTTAGTTAGGTACTCCCCGTGCCATTGTTGACCTTTCCCAAATCGAGTAATAGTCTTTGCTTTTCTCGGATCTCCACCCTTTTGACTTAGTTTCATTGGCTGTGCACAGACCAACTGCAGAGAGCTGTCTTAGGTAAGTGTGGGGCTAGCTGCTAAGCTACTGGAAGCGACTAGAATTGGACAGGCATGAGATGAGGCTCCACTCGGACCACCTGCACTGTTGCAGTTCTTTCGACAGGGGTAGTTTTACCCCTGTATGTGTCAGTACGAGGTACGGAGTACTTAGTACGGAGTACTTAGTACAGAGTACAAGTACATGTGCACTGAGTACTCCGCGTATCAGTCGATCCAACTTAATACCCCTCTTCACTGCTGTCATATGCCTGACACAACACATACTCGACACTTTCCATGATCACTACAATGTACACTAATGCAATTCATACAGTCTAGCATAGATATAGAGATATCGTGTCTGTAATCCATGTTTTCGGTTATGATGATTGACGTCTCCGGCCGTGAGCCACACCTGCCTACCCGCACTAGCCACCGCCACAAATCCCTAACGGATTCCGGTCATTTTTCTTGGTGGAGCACCAGCCGATGCTGATCCGTCGTCGGCTTTTCGAGCGATGGTGTGGACTGTGGATGATGATCTGGATACATCACCGAGGGGCGAGTGGGGCTTCGTACATATTACAGCGCATATGTTGCTCCCACCATCAGAGTACAAGTAATGTGTGCGAGGATTTATGGATTCTTCCTGCCAACAATGCAATGCAATGGTGTTGATCTGGTATTCTATCAGAAGGATTTTATTTTATTTATATTTCAATGTCAATTATTTTGGTGCCATTTCCGCGGTTGTTATTGTTCCAGCCAATTTCTAGAGCCCGTGTTCTCCCCACCCCTATTTACGGAGTACATACGTAGTACGTCTCCTCCGTATTGGCATCCGATCTAACTCCGACTTTTTTTTCTTTTTCCTTATTTTCTTTTTCTCTACCTTTCCCTACAGCTCTAGCAGGAATAATGCAGATATGCAGATATACAGATATGCACTCCGTACTCCATACAGACAGCCCGTAAGGAGCAAGCGGCCCACCGACATACCGCAACCGCCAGTTCCTCCTTCATTCTTCACCCGTTGCCTATCGCCTTATTTACTCGATCGCACTGAAACCTACTAAAAGTAACACCCCCTCCAATAAGCTTTCCTAATAATGCAATGGTCACAGCACTGACCTTATTCTGGTCCTACACATACATATTACTACAGCTGGACCCCGGTTGCATATGGGCTATCTGTATGGCCGGAATCGTGCGGGATTCAAAATCAATCACCGAATAAATCCACCTCTCTCCTCGTCCATCATTCTCGTGCATAATATAGTGTCACGGCACATGATAATCACAACAAAGCAAATTAAAGCAAATAACACATGCAATATCCTGGTTTTTATTGGTGGTTGATTGCTGTTGCTCTTTGTTCTCTATCACTTCTGGCATACTATGATGCATGTATGATTTGGCTACTCTGAAGGTTACTGGAGTTTGGGCTGAGACTATCGCACCGCACCGGCCCTAGTCTTGGTCTTTGCGCGCGTCTACGGTGGATTTGGGTGTGGATCTTTATTTGTTCACAAAGTACGGAGTACGGAGTCATTCCAGTAGAGTATTTATTTAGACTCGCCTTATACGGAGTACAGAGTAGGAACTCATGCAAAATGCTATGTGGCATCATGTGTCAATTCTCGCTCAGTAATCGTACTATATCGATAAGAAAATATGTCATTGCTTCGTGGTTTTAAGAAACTTGGTGGTAACCAGATGCGGCGATATATCTCATCGCCCGATAACACAATATGACTAGGTCTCGTCACTTGATTAGGCACGACATCGCCATGCGACTACACTCCGGAATATATAAATAGATATAGTGAACTGGTGGTGTTACAAACTAGATAAACTTACCTGATGACAGTTCATCATCAACCAAGATCCTTGACTTCTCACCATCCGTCTTCCGGACATTACGCAATACCTTCTTATTCTTACTCTTGAGTAACAGCATACCTACTTGTAGAGTGAGAGCTCATAGGCGGCAGGTACTTCCACCACGTTGGAATATATAGCCCTGACCTCATGAATATCGCCACCATGGCTTCGGAAATCCCGAGAGCAATAAACTACAAGGAACTTCGGCAGAACAGCAAATCCGCCTAGCAGACTCCGTTAAACCGTTGAATGTACCAAGGAACGATGGCAAGACGATCAGTCTGGATAACCCCTTGTCCCCTCTCGGTAACCAGGTTTGCGGGGAGTTGATCATTGATATACCGAATGAAACCAGCCAGAGGGGGCCAGAGGGGGTGGCGGAATTAGCGACTCGTATCGAGGTTGGTATGGGTTGCACTCTCATGTTGATCACAGCGTTCAATTATTGTGGATAATGAATATTGGACCTGGCGAATATGTCGAGATTTATATACAGAGTATAGAGTACTCCTGAGGACCTTGCTAGGGGCTGTGTCACTTAACACGTCTCGGCCGACACACACTTTCAGATTACGGTAAGTAGGCCCGAGTGGTGACGCTTCATATTCACATAAAATTGCAGCTACCTGCATTCTGCACCAAGTTAGCCAGTTGTACGGAGGACTATCCTGTCGGTTGAACTGTATATGTCACATGATCTGACTGTACCATGTACTCCAACTCATGGCACGGAGTAAGAGTCATATACATCTAACTGTTGGGAAGGCCGCGTTCTCTGTCCAATGAATACCCCGATAGCCAATGTAGCGTTGAGATTCAACGATAATCCCGAGATCTAACTTCCGACGCCATGGCGTTAGATGACGAATGCGATGCTCAGACCGACATCACGCTCTTTGTCCAACACTTAACAACACCCTCGGCCAAGGAGCAGGCCAAGAGTGCAGTGTCAAATCCCGCGGCATATACCGCTCATTTTCCAGTATATATAGACCAACATTCCGCCGGCCAAGAGAGGATGATGAATTTGCCCAGCAAGCCCTGTGACAATTTACCTAAGAGATACCACTGTGTAGAGCGGCCTGCACTTGGCGTCTTTGCCGTTTTAAGCGGTTCGGAACCAGTCCTTCTTCTGCCAAGCCTCGCCAACCAACTCCGAACGCGGATCCCGGAGAGTTAGTCAGCGCTATTGAGCCAATAAATAGCCTGTATCTCAGCCTGGAAATCCCCGCAGAGACTTGGCGACTTGGCATCTGTTTCCTCTTCGATTCAGTTCCCCCTCCTATACACATCTTATCAGTAAACTAAAGGGTAAACAAACATGGAAAAGTCCAGGAATGACCCTGCAGCGGCGGAGAAATAACCTGCATCCAGATAGGCCACATCTCCGGCGCCAATCGAACAGTGATGAGCCATCCTGACATCCGCCAAGGCCTCGGCATCTGGGCGATCTTGGCAGGAAGCCCCAGAACCCTCCGCTGTCTCCCTCTGTCTTCGTTTCCCCCCTTCTGCCGCTGTTCCGCTCTTTTTTTTTTTTTCTTTTCTTCTTTTCCTCTCATTTTTCTTGTCATGCGCGCCTGGTATAATAAGTCTCCTCTCCCTCTTTATATTCCTCCCCCTCCGCCGTCGTTGCTCCTCTCCTCCCCCTTTCCCCTTATCACTACGGTCACTACCAAATACTGCCATTTCCTATTCGGGCGATTTTGAATGCCTTCGTCTACAGAGAACGTGATGTCCCTTGCGCTTGAAACCATGCGGTGAGCCCTGTCCTGGTTTGCTCTGTGTGCGCTGTCTGTACCACAAGTGCCGTGTTCTCTTATCTCTCTTGAACTCCCTGTCGCAACTTTTATTCTCTCGATTATCTGGAGCCTCTCTCTCTCCCTTTCTTTGTCATCCCTCTTTTTAGAATATTCCTCCGAGAATATTAAGAAATTTATCTGCCGGCCCTACCCGTTCGTTCCCTTGCATTCGCAATGCGACAGCCGGAGATGGCCCACACGCCGGCCTATCACCACGACAATGGTCAGCTCATGACGACCTTTCTCCAAGATCCTCGGACCCCGGAAATCACCACTACACCAGCTCCTGCTCCTCACTCCCCTCCCGCTCCAGTCGCCGCCGCACATCGATTATCGGGGGTTTCGTCCGTACATGAGGGTCCCTACCATTCATACCGTCATCATTATCCCCATCATTCCTTGTCTGGGTCCATGGGTTCGCAGTTGGAACCACCGGCTCCGGCGTCATCTCATTTGGAGAATGGTTCGGTAGTCACTCGCGAGTCGAATAGTTCCAAGCGGAAAGAGCGTGCTCGGGGGAGTTTATCGGAGCGCTCGTCGTATATGTCCGGGGAGCGTCCATCGCGTACCCCCAAACGACCCGTTTACGACGATGCGCCTGTTTCGGATGACAATCAGGATGCTCTGGTAATGCTAGTGAGTTTTCCATTCCTCTATCTTCTTCTTATGGTTATTAATTGGTTAGTTTCGTCTGTCCATCCCCGTGCCGATCGTCGCGTTCGCTACCTCCTTGTATACCATATTCGGACTCCTTTTTGCGATCCTCGTTTCTCCCCTTCGTCTCTGTCCTCCGACTGCATACCTTAAAGAAACATCGTTCCGGACACAGATTTGCGATCTGTTGACCCCTGCATTACATGTGCACGAACGCTTAGTCGGTCCGAAACCGTCCCCTCGTCGCTCCTCCAGCCAGTGGGTCTACGATGACGACCCTGACACTTCAACTTCGTCGCCGCCGCCTGAGGACCGCAGCCAGGCCTATTCCGTTGGTGGTTTGATCATTGTGCTTTTGCTGTCGCCATTCTTGTCTCTTGCATTGCTTCTGACTGTGTGGATTGCCGCATCTTTTTGGATATTCGCCATGGTGTTGGGCAATCCCGATGGCACAGAACGCAGAGACGACGGTCGGGCCGCGGTCCTCGGAGTCTGTCGATGGTGGCAGAAATGGTTAGGCAAGGCGCGAAGGAAATCTCGTTGATTTATTTGGGTTGATTTGATTTGATTTGCACTGCCCCACTTTGCATTTGTTCTGTTTGCTATTTGCCATGATACCATTTGAGATATGTGGAATGACCTCGTGTTTTTGGGTTTGGGAGTATTATATGGGTTGGGTTGCTGGCGCTGGATTCCTTTTTATTTTTATTTTTTATTTTTTATTTTTTATTTTTTTCATTTTTCTGAGTGGGATTGTATTTTTATGGAGTATTCGTTTGCGCGAATTGATACCCGGTTGGTTTAGGTTGAGAGAACGATTGCATCCCTAATGTTTGATAGCCTTTGTGGGGTATTATTCAATTTAATGTAGCTCTAACTCTATCCCCGACTTTTCTATGCATTATAATACTCATACGATGGAAATGTAAGGGTAGAGTCATCATTCTTCACAAAGCCTTAATATGTCTTGCCGCGCCATTCTATGCACCAAAGTGACATGCTACATCTACCAGTTTCGAACTGAACGGCCACAAGACTCCATCTCATACCCAGCAACAAAGCGACAGTCCTTCGCATTGGCATAGTACCCTCTTATGATATGCCATAAACCTTGATTTCAGGTGCCATCTCTCCGAGTAGGTCGCGTCCTGGTTCCACCTCGTCAAGGTATCGGTCGAATTCTTCTCCTATGCTAGACGTTGGCGCTCGCCAGGTGAGGATTGAGGAGTTCTGCGCTGGGTAACTCGGTTCCGTTTGCAGATTCCGGCTCAGCGATTTTGTCCTCTGGTAGGAAGATATCGCAAATTTTGGGAAAGTCTTGAGCCTATACCGAGATATGTCGTCGTATTAGGGGTTTCTTTGTAGGGTCGGGACTATCTTGTATGATGATTGGGTAGCGAACACCAATGTCCTTAAGCGCCATTTTGATGCGCATAATTCATCGTCATTGAACGACGCCATGGTCATGGCATTGCGCAGTGTATTAATTGTCTATCGGCGTTATCAACCGAGGGAAATAACGGAATCGCTCATTTTCGGGCTTTCTGACCCAACTAGCATCGACCATGAACGAACCATTAGCCATAGGTGAAGGCTATCAGCTGAGTTGAAACAGCGTGTTGCGTACATATCTGGGCCTGGCTGACTTTCCCATAGGCCACTTTAGGCGTGGAAAAGTATGGGATAATGTGTGCACAGATGATTCAAAAGGTGGACATATCATCTTGGTCCTCGGGTGACGATTTAATGGCTTTGTGGATATCATATCCTCCCGTGTTTATGCATTTTCGCTATCTCGCGACAGGTAGTTCTTGGTTTCTTGGTTGGATTATGCTCGGATGAGAATTTCAACGACGACCATGCGAGGTGTCACATCCTGCTGTATTTCACGGTGATTAACCCTGGCATGGCAACTGGCAACTTTCTGAGCAAAGACGAACAGGGGTAGGATATAAATCTCATACGGTCGTCATCACGAATGATCTCGTGTATTAAATTCGTTTGTCCTTTCTGTGCTGAGGCAACCCGTTGCGCCTGGTCCTCTCTCTTGCCTTTGCTCTTACCCTCTCCCTTACCTTTATACTTACATCTTGGAGGAACCGCAAAGCCCCATCATTCCCCCGAGTGGGATTTTAGCCATACTATCTCTGTTCTCTTGGTTGACTGGCGAATAGGCTTTTGATCTCGCGATAGCTTGAACCGATATTCCACCAGGCGCCACGGTCGTCGCTGCTTGTGCGAGCACTCACTGTTTGAACTGGGAGTCTGTTTTTGCTGTTTCCGGGGATTTCAATAGTCGAGCCCGTGTCCAGCCTCTTTTTCATGTCGTGCAATCTGCTTCGTGAGATTGTCTCTCGCGGCTTCTAAATCGTACCTGCTATGCATATTAGTGAACAGGATGAAGTCAGAGACCATGTGGTTGTAATAATAGCATGCTTGATTGAAATTGTCAGGTAAATTAACATGACACTTCCGCATCTCACAAGGCAAGTAAGAAGCGTATTGCTTCTTGGCCCTAATCTGTATTGGCGAGCCAGGCCATATCTGTATCATCCATTTCTTCTGCATCATGGGCAATATTGGCATTTGTATGGAGTGTTCTGCGTGCTTTAACAGCCTGTCCCATTAATCTGGCACTGGGAGGACCGAAAAGGTTCTCAGACGGGCGAAAAGGTGTATTCTCTGGGAGAATTGGGTTTTTCGAGACTCTTCTTTCAAAGGATTGCCGCCTTGCTTGTACTGGTGTTCCCACCAGTGTTTACCTCCGTTTATGGATCTGATGTCAATGAATGCACTCAATAATGCCTGATACATATCTCACTTTCTCACTATAGTGTTATAGAAAGGAGAGCCATGCCTCCACAAAACCTGTGCACACAGTGTGAGAGGACTTTGAAGGCCTTTGGGAACCCACAGCCTCCGCAACGAAGTGGATGCTTTTAGCGGCACCACGCATTGCTGGAGACTGAAAGTCAACGGAATTGTCCCTGTTCAAACAGCAGCGGAGCCGACCGCAACCTCTTTCTCCCTCCTTGCTTTAGTGGAGCAAGCTTGGGAAAGATGTAGCAAGCTTCGATAGTGGAAAGCCCTGCAGTTCCCGCCGCGATCCATGTCATTTTCTAATGGTGGAAGCTTCTGGATTCTGTCGCTTTCCATGTGAGAGAATTTACATCCTTTGCTCTTTTGATTGCAGACTTCGTTCAACCAATAAACCCAGGTTCCATCTATGGCGTTAAGGGACCTCCCCCTCTCTTCTGGGTCGTGTATAAAGTGACACTTTCGTCGGAATCCAGTCTCGGAAAGGCGATGCTCGAGTATCTTCGGGTCTTTCTGTCGCACCTCGTCTATGAATGACCTGCTCAGTCTTTTGTTTCGCTCGGCCTGACTCCTAGGGACCGGTGGCAGTTCAAGCTCATCCGGGCACATGATAAATTCAGACGTCGCGGATAGATATACCATTCTTGTCAGTTTCCACTGCATTTTGGGCAGTCTCTAGATTGAAAGAGGCAGATTGTTGGGGCCTTATTCGTCTGTATATCTGCTTCGTTTTGACGAAATCTCTCTTGGCATTAGCCCTGCATCGCTAGATGCCAACTCCTTGTCTGGTGGCAGCGGACCGGGTGTTGGTGGTAGCCCATTAATTGCGATTTCAAATATTTCTTTCTTCTGAAATACATCACACCTGCCATCGCACCGATACTCGCGGCGTTCGGGTGGCTGAACGTATACAGTAGTTCATGCATTTTGATCAGGAGATTTTTGTTCTTGACCAACCTGAGTCGCCATTTCCAAATGTATTGAAAATGCTTGCATTATGCTTATCCAAGCCTATCTCAAGTGGGATATGTCCCGAATGAATTCTTTGTGTCCACTCAGAATGGAGGAACCTATCACCAAAGCCCACCACTTATGCTCTTTTCATTGAGTAGATCGTTGGATAGGTATGGCATACATGATACATGCATCTGTGCCTTTTGCCCCCCCCTCTTCTGCCATAGGTCCTTGTTCCGCATGAAGGAGGCTATCAACCTAAGCAGTGTTGATACCATCGAAAGTTTGTACCTAACTTTCTATCCGTTCCCAACTGGGTCGTTTTGTTCAAGATGGTATCTGAGGGACCCCGGGTGATTTCGCTGGATCTGATAAGTTTCGTCAATGGTGACCTGCGAGGCAGCACACTGAGTATGATTCGGTGATTCGTGGCGTTTCCTCAAGCCAGCAAATCAGTGATGAATGAGGTTTCTCCCTTTTCGTGGACGTTGACGGCGCAACGCATTTGTGTCACGGTTTATATTCCGACTATATCAAACAGCCTATCATGAAAATCGTTTGTTGTTGACTGACGGCTGAATCTAGAGCTGTAGCAGCGCAGAAGCATTTGATTATAGGGTTAATGCCTATGCTTAATAAACCAGGCGCTCAAAGGCTTGTGAGGTCAAAGACCTTCACCATTCCCAGAAGGCGGGCACTTCTGTGGATGCAATTGCATACATTCATTCCCCAGTTCAATGTGTGTGTGTGTGTCGAAAAGGCGTAGCCTATGTAAGCCCCAGTGGTTTTGTCGATGGGTTGGTTTATATAACGTTCGTAGAAGACAGAAGGACACTTGCAGTGGGCGATACTTTTCCACTATCTAGGGCTTTAGTAAAGCCCACTGTTACCACAGGTAGGTCGAATTTGCGCATCATGTAAGTGTTTCTTTCAGTGAATAGCTGCGGAAGGAGCTGGTATTTCAGCTAGGCTTCTGGGACTTCCATAGCATGATGGTGAATCGAAAAGCAGCGCTACCACTCCTGTCGGTCTTATGGACCGGAAAAACAACCAGTCCAGCGTGGCAAGGGACATGTCCCATGGGGCGAAACGCATGGTGGAGCATCTTGATCGATTGAAAGATAGATCATTTTGTGGACGATAGCACCAGAGATACAGAAAGATGGTCTGCGCTGACTAGCAGCAGATAGATGGTAGAAAGATAGAAAAGAAGAGACAAAAGAAAGATGCCTTTTAAACGAACAGTTGTGGTCACATGACATTCATTCAATGAAGCGCTTTTTTATACCCTAACCTGAAGAACAAGAACGTCTATATAACTAGCTGACATAGAGAAAAGGGTATACATATGAAATATGAGAATACCACAACAAAACAAAAGAAAAGACAACAACTGAAACCAATATATTCAAGTAATCAGTCATCAACCATCATAATCTAACAAAAAAGACAAGCCATCATCATCAAGCTTTTAACTTAACGCCTCCTCCGCTGCGGCTGCTGCCTATTCCCTCCATGATTCCCCTTCTTCTTCTGCACCCGCGCAGCACTGGGACCATGAGCCTTGGCTGCTCCCAGTCCCTTTCTCCCAGAATTAGCATTAGCCTTGGCAGCCGCAGCCTGCAAATCCTCCTTGGACACTCCACCATCCTCATCGATATCCATCCCATCACCGCCCTTGTTCTTCTGCGAGAACTTGACCTTACCCTTCTGTCCGCGGCGCGCGGCGTCGGGGCCGCTAACTGCCGCGAGATAGGCATTCACACCACCACCACCAGAGGGATCGTTTCCGGCGATATCGGCATCTTCATCCTCGTCATCGCCGAAGATGAGACGGCCATCAGGACCGACCTTGGCGTTGCGCTGCTTCTTTCTCGAACCAGGGCCGGTGTTGAGGAAGCGCACGCTGGGCTTTGTGGTGGAGATGTTGGCGAGGGCGTTCGGGGCGAGGAGGTCGAGCGGGTTATCCTCTGGCGAGAGTTCGCGGATGTATTGTTCGCTTTGCTTGCCTGCGGCTGCCTTTTTGTTGGGTTTTTTGCCGCCCTTGTGGAGGGAGCCTTGCTCGTCGACTTCGATTTCGCTGGCGTCCGCGTCGGAGTCCAGGTCGGAGTCTGAGAAGTCGGAGTCGTAGACTGCTTTGTCGAAGGCGTTGTTGTAGGATTTTTCTTGCTCGGCGGGGGCAGTCTTGGTGTTGGTGTTGGCGTTGGCGTTGGCGGTGGTGTCGTCTTCGTCTTCGTCTTCGTCGTCGCCGGCGGCCTTCTTCTTCTTCTTGCTTCGCTCGCGCTGTTTGCGGATGTTCACGACGAGCTTGCGGTCTGCTTCGCCGACGAGACTCTCGATGAGGGGTGCGCCGAAGCGACGCATCAATCGGTCGAGGATACCCTTGACCTTACTGCGGAGACGGCCCTTGTGCTCCTTGTTCCAGGCCATGAGGTTCGGGACGAGCGAAGCCAGTCGCGAGCGGAGGAGGTCCTCCGGCAACACGACAACAGCGACCTTAACGAATCCCAGAACCGACCGGACGATTTCGCGGTTGTTGCTGGTCAGGAACAGCTCGATGGTCTGCACGAGGTCCGAGCGCACGTTTGGCTGCAGTTCTGTGTGAAACTCGAAGAACAGTCGCGACATCGCTGTCACTGACGCGGCGACCATGTGCGGAGAGCTACCCGCCAGACCGGCGGACACCATGGTGAAGAACTCTTCGACCGTGGCGAGAGCATCGGGTGCGTTGTCGGGCATGTGGGGGACCAGCGAGTTGCGGATCTTGGTGCCTGGTGGGTTCTGTTCGGTGTCGATGGTGCGCTTGGCCAGGTGAATGAGAAGCTCGAAGGAAGCGGTGCGTGCCTTCTCGTTGCTTTCCTTGCAGCCCAGAACGACCTCAGACAGGACACTGGGGATGAAGTGCAGGTCCGAGCTGGGGAGGTGTGCGACCAACTCATGGATGGCCAGCATACGATCGCGACGGGCCGACGAGGGCGTCTTGTCTGCCGTGGTCAAGATGAGAGACTGCAATTCACCGCTGCGTTCGCGGAGAGCAGCTGCGCCGGTTTCCGTCGAGGCAAGACGGGGAATCAGCTTGTAGGCCTTCTTGATGAGTTGCTGGTCGCCGGTCTGGCCGTTCAGGATGGCCGCGGCCATGGCGAACAGGCTGGTGAAGCTGGACCGGGGGAGGTAGACTGACATCGCGATCACCAGGTCGATCAGGGTGTGCGATGTAGGCGGCATCTTGTCACCACCGCTCGATTGCTGCTTGCCCTGCTTCTGGGCTTCTTCCTGCTCCGAGGCCACGGAAGAATCCAGCATCGAGGCGACACGGGTGAATGTATCGTTGAGCTCCTTCTCAGGAGTAATGCTCAAGTAAGCATTGATACACTGCAGGATGAAACCTCTGTAGTGAGGCAGGGTCTGGCTGTAGACGTTGAACAGTACAGCCAACAGATTACTAGCAAACCCACTAAGATGCTTGATATTCTTAGCCGCGGCAGCCTTGGTGATTCTCCTCTGCAGAATCAAATCATCCTCCTCCTTCTCCAACTCCAGAACGGCCTGGTTCGACTCCACCAATGTCTGCAAACCGCGGCAGAGATCAGCCCGCAGCTCAGTCTGCTTGTACAACACATTAGAGAGCAGCTCCGCAAAGCCCTGGTCAAACGATTCAACCAAGTCCAGCGGCAGCTCACAGTATCCCGGGAGGGTGGCCCAGGTCTGCTGCACGAGGGTTTCGAAGATCTTGGCCTCGACCGTCTTCTCAGCGGCGCCGTAGGACATAAGTCTCTGGTACAAAGATTGACTGAGAGGGACCATCTCGGTGCGGAAATGTGCGAGGTTGGTGTTCGTAACGTGATCTCTGATCACAGGCAGGAACCAAACGCGGCCGGATTGGCCGGCCTTCTGCTCAACGATGTTCAAGGGGAGAATTTCGAGAACTGCGGCGGGGCCCATGGCTTCGATGGCGCTGCCCAGGACCTCGTCGGCTTCCTTCTTACCCTGGAAAGCGTCGTTGCCGCGCAATTCGCCGACTGTCTTGACGATGTCGGTTAGGTAGGGGCTCGAGCGCCACTTGAAGCTGTCGAACATGGCGGAGCAAACATTGAAGACTTCCGCCCAGGCAGCCTGGTACTTGATCGAGAGCAGGTCGGTGGTGGCCTTGGCCAGCTTCTCCAGCGTCTTCTCGTCGTACACGGAGGGCTCGATGATCACGCTGGCAGGCACACAGTTGGCTAGGAAGGAAATCAGACATTCCGAAGCCGAAATGCGAATGTTGCTCGAAGGCGACGCCAAGAAACTCGAGATCAGACCGAACAACTCCGGCAGCTTCGCAAATGTATCCTCGGGGCTAACCTGCGCCGCAACGTCGTATCCACGCGAAATCACCGCGATCCAAGGCGGCAACAGCTGCGAGTCGTTCTGCGCAGGCTTCAATTCCGAAATCGCATCCAGCAGACGCGGCAACTTCGACGACGAAAAGTCATCCGCCATACTCGAAAAGATAACCTCAAAGACCTCAAACGCACCCATCGTAATGAACTCATTGCTCGACCGCGACGCGTGCATTAACAGCTCGCACAGCGGCTCAATCTTCTTACTCGGCCAGCCGTTCGCCGCCGCCGCAACCGTTTTCACTAGCTGCAACGAATGAATCACAAGCGGGTCTTGGTTGTCGCGCTGGTTGCCCTTCTTCTGCTTCGACACCGCAGCAATGCCATCGCCCAACGTCCGCAGTGCAGACTCCGCGCACATATCCGCAGCCGGGTGGTCGAGCGATGGACTTGGGGGAGGATTCTGCAAAACTTTAACAAGAGCATCCTGGGCCCTCTTCCGCACCTTGGGACGGTGGTCCACGGCCAGACTCAGCAAGCCGGCCGTCGCCCGGCGCGGTCCAACCTGGGTATGAGGGAGATTCCACGAAGCAGCATCCTGGCCGATCAAAAGCGATTCCAAGCAGCCAATCGAGGGTCTGAGGAGCGGGGCTTCGACTTCGGGGAGGGAGAGCGCGGGTGCGAGACTGGTGAGGATCTGGGAGAATTTGGAACGGAGGATTGGCTCGGGGGCAAAGGGGCTTGTGATGTCGAGGAGATAGACCACGGACGTTGCCAGATCCTTATTGACAATGCCTTGTTCAGCGGATAGTGATTGGGAGAGGAGAGCGAGAAGCGCCGCGAAATATGCCGTTGGTGAGAAATCTGCTTTTTGGTCGCGCAGTGTGTCTTCCACTGCAGAAAGCACCACAGCAGTCTATATTAACCATCAATTAGCCTCGTATTCTCTCTTCCTTCATTAGATTCTCTTGAACAGAAGAATGACTTACGTGATGTTGATTCTGCAACTTGGGCGACTTGATCTTCTCAAGCTTCTCCGCCAGGGTCGCCATGATGGTACAATCGCCCAGCCGGCAGGGGAGAAGTCGACTATAAAAGAGAAGAAATGCGCAAGCTGTTTGCCTTCAAAAAGAGGAAGACAGGGACAGAATAAGTATTGTTGAAGATTAAGATTGAAGAATCGGTGGATGCGGAGACTTTTTTTTTTTTTTTTTAGGTGGTGCCGCATTTCTTGGCATTGCTATCGATAGCAGCACTACGAATAGAACTATTACATACAAACACAGTGAGAACAGTAGAAGAGAATCAATTGGTATATTCATGAATGTTCAAGCAGTCATATCTGATGCCAGGCATGTGTTCATTCCTCATATCATGAACATTCGTCAAGACATCAGAATGGACATAACAATCGTCAAAAGGCCTCTGGCCTCATTTGATTCCTCCCAAGACATGGACTAAAGCCATGTATCAGTGTACCATTTTCTCGTGACGTTTACCAAGTGTGTTGTCGTAATGGTTCGCAGCAGGCGACGCTTCCGTGGTTTTTCTTCCCCTCTGTTGTAACCCATGGCCCGAGTCAATAACTCCAGAGCAACCCAAGCAATGCTGAAGAAGACATGTCGAAATGTAAAGAAATGACAAACTAAAACAAAAGAGTCTCTCCACTATGCTCAGCCTCAAATCCCAGTTTTTGTAGATTGCCATGTCGTTTCTTGTCGCCGGTCTGCCGTTCTGAGTCCTCTTTTTTCTTCAATGCATAGACTTCTTCGAATGGCGCTCTTTGAACACTCGGGGGGACATCGTCTTCCCTGTCTAGGTCCTATTCACGAGATGAATGGTTAATATCAGTGAACATCTCATAGGTGAAACGGCGACATACAATTTCCCCAAGCAGCAAGACATTCTCTCCCCGAATAATGAAGATCCCCCGAGGAATATCGGCGTAAAGGCTTCCGGCGTAAAGTCGTTCGACAGTATCTTGAAGGACGAGGTTTGCTGCACACACCAGTCAACCATCCACTCATCCACCGCAAGCATTCACATCTCGTCCAGAACATACCAAACTGATCCCAACTCCTCAATACACCAAACAATTTCCTTCCATCACGCAGGACCAAAACCAACTTCTCTAAAGCAAACAACACCCGTCAGCTTTCTCTTCTCTCCTCCCTTTCTTTCATTCCCTTTCCCGCCTCCCATCCACATCCAGGTCCCGCACTTACTATCCGTCAAATCCAGCAACTGAGCAGCAGTCGTAAACATCTGCGGCGGTAATTGAGGCGGCCCTTGTGTGACCATCGAGGCTGGTCCGAGGTTCTGTTGTTGCTGTTGGGGTTGTTGTTGTTGTTGCGACTGTTGCGCACCAGCAGGTGGGGGGTCGTGGATCGAGAGGCGCTCCATTGTGGTTGTTGTTATGCGCGGCACGTATTTATAGATTCTTTTATTCGATATCGGGGCGATGCGAAGAGGAAATTCAAGTCAAGGAATGTAGATGTAGACGTAGGGATTGTGGGACAGCGGCTTGGTGGGGTGCGGTGCGGTGCGGTGCGATGGTTTTCAAACCAGGCGGAGAATCGTATTCAGAGACGTGGTTGAGAAGGTGTGGATAGAGATATTATCATTCTCCGATAGCATGGAATAGCCTGTTTGCAGAACGATTGGGGCGATCGCAATAGCGTTGCAGTTGAGGAAAGTCGATTTGATGTTGGATAGGCTGGGTATGTTTGTTCTGTTTGTTCAACGCCGATTTTATACAAGGCTGAGAAGAGGCAGAATAAGTCGAGAAATGTATCATGTGGATAATAAAATCGGTTATTATGTTCTTTTAGCTACTGTAGGCTACATCCTAATTTTAATACATGAACTCCCGTCTCATCTCACCATAGTTCACAACTTCACATCGATCTACTTGTACTCCGACATACCATAATCACAACCGGGGAAGATAACTTAAGCAACACCCCATCCCCTCCTCCTCTCCTCCGTCATCCTCCTCTCCCTCCTTCTACTATAAGACGCACAAAACGGTTCCTCCGCGCTTCCCATCCTCGCCCTCGCAGGTTCTATCCCCCGCTGATACCCCGGACTCCCCGCCCCCGGCACCACCTGCACCAACTTAAACTGCTCCTCGCTGATAATGCGCAGCCGAAACAGGTAGCGCAGGAGCTCAAAATCCGGGCGGGTGTTGGCTAGAGTGTGGCCGTGCTGGTAGTGGGCTGTGTCGATGTGGTCGAGGAGGGCGTCCCAGGCGCGGATGTGGGGAGTGTCTGTGAAGATGTTATTGGGGGTGTTTGTGGTGGGAGAGGTAAATGAGGTGATTGTGGGACAGATAGGGCAGCGCGCTGTTGGAGGCGGCTGGTGCGTGCGGAAGTGGCTCAGCACATGAGTTTTCCAGTGGTCGATGTCGGTGAATGTCTCGTGGCAGTTTAGGACGTGGAAGAGACAGGCGTAGTTGTAATTGTAGTTGTTGGTTGCGTTATCGTAGTCATCGTAATCGTAATAAGCGCGTGGCGAATAGAAGATCGGACGGGTATTTGAGATCCTAGGCGCCGGGGTTTGGATAAAGGACTGGCTCTCACTTGGAGATTGGGTCTGAGGCACGACGAGGACCCCATTGCCGTCGTCTTCGAGGATATCGTGTCTGGCGAGATCGGAGGCGAGTCCTGTATCCACGGACGAGGTAGATAGAGTGGTGGAGGATGGGTAGTAGTCGGTGACGCTGGATAGCGACGGAGCGGGAGGTGGGATCATCATCTTGTAAAAACCAATGATGGGTGAAGCACTGATAGCTTTTTCTATTCCTGAAGGCAGTTGTTAGCATTTCATCGCATTTCATCTCATCTTCAAAACCGCCGTGTTCCTTACCAGCTCATAACCAAGCAAACACAAGAAGAGGGGCAATCATTCCAGCGCCCATATCGTCCAACTAACCAGACATGGGGGTCTTTTTTTCTTTTTTTTTTTTTCCCCCTTGATTCCGTGATTGCTACTTAAGATGACCAACAGACAGGCAAGCAGAAGTCCAGCCGCTGCACGACAAAAGATCAGTGAAATTTTTCTTTTTAGCGTTAGTTTGCGGTGGTGCTGGTCGAGAGGATTTATTGGACCACGTCCAAGCGGGGTTTTCTTTCTTAAGACGTAGAGTCGCATACCTACAGATACCTACAGAATAATACAGCAGAAGTACGTACAGACTGCGTCTGCTGTTATCCTACAAAATATGCACTCCATACTCTACCCGGTATTGTTGATATCACCCGCAGTTACACCGAGTGAGCCCTGCTGAGGCCCTGGCGTTGGCCGGGGTAGCGATAACAGGGGATCCTGGTCTGCCAGGCAAAATGATAACGAATGCGCAATGCCGAATAGTCCGTTGGTAGTACATGCTTCGTATCTTGTTGTGAAAGTTTTGTATTGATCAAATAAAAACTGTCTATGTCAAACATGACCCGGTGCAACTGCAGGGGTATTACTTGTTCATTTCCGTTACAACATCCAGTCAAACCAAAGAGAGAAGTGAAACAGAGTCAAAAAGGCAGGTGGTGATATTATCGAGGCCGTAGCCTCAGGAGAGGAGAAACCACGAGATAAGCACAAAACTGCAGTGTGTATCAAAATATTTGTGAAAATTTATAGCGAAAGGAAATTGTAGAGAAGAGAAGAAAGGTTATAAAGAACAAGAAGGGTAAATAAAAGCACACAAAATCCCATCCATCTATTTAGTAATGACGCCGAAACGAAGAATTAAGGAAACGAAGAAAGCCAATAAACCACCGACACCATGGATGCCCGTTAAACCACTGTAAATGCAAAAAAAGAGAAGTCTAATCGTTTCGTGACACACATGAGAAGTAATATTTTTTTTTTTTTTTTTTTTGTTTTTGTTTTGTTGTTTTTCTTTTTTGGAATCCTTTTTTGAATTTGATCGAAAAAGAAAAGTGAAAATCAAATTGCTTTTAAAAGCGGTCTGCCAGGTCACCACCAGCGACCGAATTGTTGGTCGACGAGGACATGGACGAAAAGCCACTCGTAGGATTCAACATGTCCTGAACAGCCACCTTAGGGACCTGCGGTACTGGAAGCTTCCGCTGTGTGCCATCTGGCCTCGACATAATGTCGGAGATGCTCGGGCCAGCGTGGCCCTGACCGGGGTTGTAGTACTGAGGACCCTCGGCCTGGGGCTCCATCGGTGCCAAGGCCGGCGTGTGGATCGACAGGTGACGTATCGACGGCAAGTGCAACTCACTCGAACCCAGCGGCCTCAAACGCGGCGAGTGGGCCGGAGTGGCCAGGGGAGTGTGGTCAGGGGTTGGGGAGAGAGAGTCGTGGGAGAAGGTAGGAGAAGAGGGTGCAGTCGAGTTAGGCGAGTTCGGCCTCGAACGCTTGATGCGATGCGAGGAGTCATCTTCCTCGTGCGAATGCGAGCGAGACATGCTCTGAGAGATGGCATACGCAGAGAGAGAAGGAAGACGACTACTGCTGTTGTGGTGCCGCGAACTGAGCAGAGGGTGGTGGCTGCGCGGAGGGTTTTGGAATCCAAAGTGATCATCGCGCTCGACTTGCGAGGCTGCAGTGGCCAGGAGGTTGATGTCCATACCCGATGATGCCCGCTCGCTGTTGCGAGGGAAGGGACCCAGATTCGAACGCATGTGGCCGGCGAAGTTGGCGTAAGAGTGAGGAGGAGAGACGTCGGGCGAACCGACCTGAGAGACGGGAGCAGAGCGGGTGATAGGCTTGCTAGGCGGGGGCATCATGGAACCAGCTGCATTGTTCACGACGGCATGAGGGTTGTCCTGAGCACCTGCAGCCGCTGCAGCTGCTGCGGCCAGATGCTGCGCCTTGTTGCTACGTCTCGAGTTGGGGTTGTTGTGGATTCTCGAGTGACGGGTCAGCTCATCGGAGCGACTGAAACGCTTTGTGCACCCCGGGAACTGGCAAGCATGTGGCTTCTCACCAGTATGCGTTCGAATATGACGGGTCTGGTGTTCCAAACGGTGGAACGCGCGGTCACAGAGGGGGCACTTGTAAGGTCGAGGGAGGTCCTGGCGCACCTCCTCGGTGGCCGGACGAGCACCCTTCATCAGAGGAGGCAGTAGGCTGACGGAAGAGGCCATGTTGGTCGAAGGAGGACCAGGAGTAGCTGGTGCTGACGTGGTCTGTTGACGAGAAGCGGCGAGAGGGTCTGAATCCGAGGATTGAGGATTCAGTAGATTGGAGAAATCGACTGAAGACGCCGGCGATGGCATCTGAAGCTGTGACGTGGGTGTGTTGAGGTTGAGGTGGAGGAAGAGGAGAGAAGAGGGAAAAGGCGGGTGTGGAAGTAGGGCAATTGGGGGGGATTTATAAAAGAAGGGTCGGTTCGGAAGGGGGAGAGAGTGGGTTGTGGGGGTGAAAAGCCGAGGCGCAAAGGAAGAGGAAGAAGAAAGATAGATGAATGGCCCAGCACAGGGGGAGTGCAGCAAAAAAAACCGGGAAGACGTGATCAACACCCGATATAAGGCCAAACTTTGTTTTTTTTTTTTTTTTTTTTTTTTTGCTTTGATTTTAATTTTTTGCGTTTCGGTTTTTTCAGTTTAGAGCGTGACGAGTTGCAGGTGATTTGACGACACTCTTTTCTCTGTGGTATGTAGTCCTGGTAGGAATACAAAATAGAGATTGACAGATTGACAGATAAGGGAGACCTGGGATAGTGGAGGAGGGATAGAAGGGACGCCAGGAGAGGTGCAGTGCAGAAAATCTGGAGATGACGATCTGGAGAAAAAGAGACAAAAATGGATGATTTGTTGATGAAGTCAGGAAGAGAATACTAAGAAAAAGAGTAGGAAAAGACCGAAGTAAAAATAAAAAGAGAGAGGAAGAAAAGATGGAGGAATGGAGAAGAAAAAAAGTAGATCGGAGGAGGGGAGCAGCAGGGCGGGATTGCGAAAGTCGCAGCAGGTACAATACGGGCGGATACAGTCACTCGGAATCGGAGAAGGAAAGGGTAAAATAAAATAAATAAAAATAAAAATAAAAAATAAATCGTACTTTGTGTGGGGATGTAAGAAAAAAATAAAATAAAAATTGAAAAAGAAAAAAAAGAACGTGTGCTCCGGTAAGGTAGATCGTCTGGTTGATTTGGAGATGTCTGGTTTAGTGGGGGTATTTATCTTTTTTTTTTTTTTTTTTTTTTTTTGTCCTCTTTTTCCTATTGAATATACCAAGAAATGATTACCCAAGACTAAGAGTCCAAGAGTCTACTTTACAAAGAAATATCAATATTACGCAGCATCTGATTATGTACAAGTATATCTCCATGTATACCCCGTACGGAGATACGTAAGAATACGGAGTACAGGCACATGGAAAAATTGAAAATTTGAAAAAGAATGTGGGGCAGACTAGAGTCGATAGGGATTCCGTAGACCGTAGACGGCACTGCAAAAGTGGCTGTGGACCCGTGCGTGGCGGTATAGTATCTTACATTACCGTATTACTTACACCCCATTATAGACGGTTATCGCGGGTGGAAGTAGTCAATATGATTCACTACTATCCATATTCGAAGTATATAATAGAGTTAATCGATAGCTAAAGAAGACAGCTGTCCATGATGAACGATGACGGGAGCAAATGCTTCAGGCAAGACGATGTATTATTCTTGTATCGTCGCAGGAGTCCAGACCAGTCAGTGATCGCCAGTGATTCAATCGGATGATGGACAGCGGGCAGGGAATATACAAATACCTCTACAAATAAAATGTCCCCAGCCCACACCGTGACGAGATCATATGTTCCATTCTTATCATCCTGGCATCATGGCCCTCAATCCGGGGAACTGAGGGCTGCCACGAAAATGTCCCGGGATGACGCCGGTAAGCCTCACCAGTAGTCTATACGAGTAAGTAACTAGTAGACAAGGCTTACTACTTGCCAACACAGCCCCTGGTCTCAAGTAGTTACACCCGTTGAACATCATCACACCACCCCCCAGAGTAGAGGGGAGGGGGAGGGGGAGGGGAGAGAGACTCGTACACGTGCCCTGCATATACGTTTCACCTTCAATCAAAGGAGAAGACGACACACAATCTTTCTTTTCCCCCTGGGGTACGGAAATGAACCTCCGCAACCATCATCCCATCCCCCATCCCTCCTTAGTATCCACATTCCAACATGTCAGAATAATTACTTTTCTCGGACAAACACATTGGCATTGTTCTGGAGTCATGTCGTGATTGATTTACGTACATATTTTACCTACGACTTACCCGGGAGTCTATTCCCCAGATGAGATCATGAATTTACTACAGAAAAAAAGTCACCGGATGGTTCGGAACCGACCTGGGGAAATCATCAGTCATCATTCTCATTCTCCGTTCTCCGTACCCGTTCTCCGGACGGAATTATCTGGGGTGGATTTCGCCGAGATTTTAGCGATCCGGTAAACTCTCGGTATTTCTAGTCATGTCTCTACGCCACCTGAACCTTGGTGCTATCGAAGGTGAGAAGCAAGGGTGACTCTACTGTACAAGAGATCAGGGGAACTGTGTACAGAGTACGAAGTAAAGCAACCATACGTAGGTAACGACACTGAAAACAATCACAAGATGAGAACATGCCATTGATAATAGATACAGTAGTAGTACACATTCCACCGATAGGCGTACGTAATCCAATCCCCGCAATACTCCAGGACTTTCCCCCCTGCGATCAGCAACCGGCGCATCAATTGACCCTGTTCGTCTGCCAAGGTCCTCATGATTTGCCGAATCAGGTGAATCTCTGCCTTCAAAGGGAAAAAGGGACGGACCAATGGCGATTGAGATTTCCAGATAAACCCGACAGCAGAAGCACAAGTAACATATTGCGTGCCGACTGCCGAGACTCACTTCTATGTACCCTGCTCACAAGCGAGGCGAGGCGAGACTTGTACATAATGCCATCACCAAGCAGGTACGCAGCTGATGAATCAATACCCGCGATTTGCCGAGGCCAAGTCGGTTCGGGGGTTCGTTTTGCCGCTGACAGTAGATGCTACGAGTAATGAGGTGTAAATAGAGGCTGTGAGTGTTTGCTCTGTTCGTCCAATAACAGGTACCCGGACAACTATTCTGTAACACTGCTCCGTGCATTGTACGGAGTGCTCTGCATTGTGCACTCTACCGGTACAGCACTCGCAAGTAGGGCATCGGCTCTCCTCCGATCCATATCTGGAGATCTTTCCCGTGGTGATCACCCTTCCGTAACCGATCCGGTAGGTATTGACTCTGCATCTCCATCAACTGGTTAGAGATATGGGCTTTCACCGCTATGCTAGTACAGCAGTACGTAGTGGCGCGTAGAAAGTGGGATACCACCAGATCACACGACAACTCTGGTGATAGACACTGAAAAAATTTTCACTCCCCCACTATGGAGCTGTGATCAGCATGATCGAGTTTTCCCATAATCAAGCTGGCTGGTGCCTGCATGGGGAAGAAGCGAGGGCGAGAAGAATGAACACATGACGACCGGGACGTGTCTCCGGTTCCGATCATTTGGGGTTGGTCGAATCTTTTTCTTTGCAAAGTCTTTCCGAAATCGCTGCTTTGCTTTGCTGCTCTTTACTATGTGTCATTCCGGTCTCGCATGGATATATACCACTACTGTGGTGTACGCGCATACAATTACTCGTAGCTGAATAGAATTTACAATTGCACCGATGACGAGATATTGAGTCATCATTATGCATTTAACTATCACAAGAGTAAAGTTGCACAACATCTTGATATCAAAAACCTTCCTTTTCCGTCTCTCCCCGCAATATCCCCGTACAGATTACAGATTGCCGCGCAAGCTATCCGGATTCATTATCTGAGGGATCCAAAGATAACCCATAGTTAACCGACTTATCTTGATAATCATTCAGCGATCCAGGCAGCATTCAGCATTCCTTATCTTACAGTACAGAGTTACCGATGGCGTACTACGTACTCCATACTTCTCCGTACATTGACAACCCCATGCGGGGAATCCGGGGTTGGTTGGTTGCCAAGCAGCAACAGTAGCACAAACGATATCATAATTCACACCACAATACGTCGCATCCTTATTTCCCGCAATCAATCTATTCACCACTAGTGCTACTAACGCTGGTCTACCTGAAACCGAATACTGTTGTCAGTGTAACTCTGCAGAGTACCCAGTTCACCACTAACGAATTCAGCTGTACGTAACACATTAGTTACCGTACAGAGGCTTACGGTACCGTAATGCCACGCACTGCCGCTGCCAAGACCGCCGAGAATAGATTCCCACAGCTTCTGGAACATTAGGCTCGGTGATGTCATTGGCGGCTTGCTGCCTGTCATGTCGCTTTGTGGAGATCGATCCAGACTGCGTCGTGTGATGCTGGGCTTCTCTATGATTAATATTGTCTTCAACATTTCGACTAATATAGCGAGAAGAGGATTGATTCTTGTCAAGGGAGACCACAGTATCCGAGAAACTTCACAGAGTCACAAGTGGTTCGACTACCAGCGTTTGCAGCAGGACTTTTGAGACTAATCAAACACTCTTACTAATTATACACGCACGATGTCTGTATCTATTAACTCATTAATCGCCGCCAAAATAGCCAGCGGCCCAGCCATACCAGAGATATCCTTCACAGGCCTAGAGAGTCTCGAAAACTTCGCTGACAAACAAGTATCGGCATTTCACGAATCCACCACAGAAAGCCAATACATCCTCATCCGAAAGATACCCAGACACATCTTTGAGGAGATTGACGAGACCGATCACGGCCTCTCTGGTACCCGAATGCACTATGACTACAAAACGGGTGATCTCATCGCCAAGCTGGTGCCCAGCTTGGAGCAACATGCGGTCCCTCTACATTTGGCCTATTCTCTCTACAGAAGGATAGACGCAATGGACACTGACAGAGATACACTTGAATATTTCCTTGTGGGGCGCGCCACGTTCAGAGGCTCAGATTTGGCAAAGCAAGGAGATTGGGGATTCAAACCTTTACCAGAACGTGAATTTTGCGACGACTGGCCAACGTTTGTCATGGAAGTTGGGTGTCCATGAGAGTCTTGAGAGACTTCGGCTTGATGCGGAATGGTGGCTCTTGAATTCGAAAGGTGCTGTCAAGATTGTTTTACTCATAGTATACCTTGGAAAGGAAAGATTTACAGTTGAGAAATGGAAAATGGATACAGCCCCCGCCGGAGAAAGCGCTGCTACTGATTTACCAGAAATGACTTTGTCAATTTCTATATCTCGGCGTGAATATAGCGACAAATATGTTGCATCTGACAATATTATTCGAGAATTCGAGGATCTCTTCTTGCGCAAACCGTTACCACTTGAAGGAGACGTTGTCCTGAGCAAACGGGACCTCGCAAAGTGGATTGCTTCTGTGATAGCTGGCCTGCAATAATACAGTAGCCGGGTGTCAATATATTAGAGATAGCTTTAGCTTATGATAATCACATAGAGACGGTATCTGTGGGGCAAACATACGGCGTAAAATACATACACCTGGGGAAGGACCACAGTACGGAGTACAAATCTTATTATCTAATTCCGAATGCCCCAATGCCCCTGAGCATCAGCATTGGTTAGGCTACACACTCCGTAATTAATGCGAATCGGGAGTTGGATTTTGGGGTATTTCCGGGCCACTCATTCCATCACGTGCTCCCATCTGGACTTCACATGCCGGAAAGCTACACGACTAGCACTTCCTACAGAGTTCCGTACCTGGCGAAAATCGGATGATAGTCCAGCTCTCCTACTCTATCTTTTTCTTCCGCTTTGTTGTTGCCGTTGTTGTGCCGGACCTTGGGGCGTAAGGAGAAATTTTCAGGTACTCCGTACTCTCCGCGGAGGATGTCCGGATGGCGTCATGTTAGACGAGCATGATTTGCAGCTAGTAATGTTCTTTGTACAGCGATACAGTGTTCTTCTGTACAGTGCTCTGTACAGAATAACGGGGCTCCTTGTAGGGGCGATTCAAGCAGACAAAGTGGCAAGTCTAATAAGACCATCTTGGGAGCAACAGACGACATTCAACAAGGGAGACTGAGAGAGACATCGGACGATCTCGGAAAAACACCGGAAATTCTCTTAGTGCGGGGCGAGAAACTGTTAACCTGGAGAAAAAAAACCCGTCCATCCCCAAGGAGGCACCTCGGTGAGTCTTCCCCTGACTAAGCACCCCAGATCACAGCAATCAGTGAATAATTCCCTCGGCATCGCCGGTCCGAGTCCGGTCGGCCTCCCAGGTCCTCTGGCCCGACTCGATCCCGACTGGGGCCGAATCCCGTGTGGTGGTCTGAGAACTGGCCATTACTTTACTGCTTTGGGAATCGTTGGTATCAGATTTCTTTAGCGACATGGACGATTGTACTCCGGACTTCCCTGCCCTCCACGGAGTTTGAATGGAGGAGTTTCCCCATCGATCCATCATCACGACAGCCCCGTTTCGTTCTCCTGGCCGTATTATGTATTCGGTACGGGGGCGTGGATGCGCTGTCTGGTGGCGGTGAAGAATTTTCTTCTTTCAGTACAATATTACGTACCCCATACACTTATAACATTCCATACGTGTTCTATCGTGGATGTGCCTGAATCGACTTTGGACAACTCACTGATCTACCAGCAATCACCGCTCTCCTGTAAATCTGATTCTTCTCCGGAATCTCTCCAGTGAAAGTCACATGTCTCAAGTCATGTGATATAACTATACTAATCACATGATCATGACTAAGACACGGACATCACCTGACTAGGGCTCTGAACCCGTCAGACACGTGATGTCGCGCCTCAGGATTCTGCCGCGTCTCGCCGCCCTCCGAAGCACCGGCTCAGAAAAGTTGCATTCAGAGATGACTTACCATAGCGCTAGCATCATAGTCGTTTACCTTGTTGTCATTTGATTCGATCATTGGAATAGTATTCTCTCAATTTATTGCATTTGTTCTTTTGCATTTATATTTCTCATTTTGGTCTTATTGGATCTACCCGCCATGGCACCCCCGCGACAGCAGCGGACGGCTACAGTAGTCGATGACTCGAGATCAGAAGCATCCAGCGGTCCCAGAGAACCCAAAATGACGACAGGAAAGGGTCGCAAGGGAGCAAATGGGACGAATTCATCATCAAGAGTGGACGGGAGAGCTTCAGCGGTTGTCAATGCTGCGAATGCGAATGTGACCAGTGCCCCCGCTCAACAACAATCACTGGAGGAATTGCCGAATGTAAGTACATCATTCTTCACTTTTGGACTATATGTGTTTGATATACTTTTCTCGGAATGCGCGGTTCCATTGCCAGTACTAACGCAGTCAGATCCCCTGGTCCGACATGCCCCTCGACATCCTCCACTCCTACCGCCACGCCTACAGCCTTCCCATCCCAAGCGCCTACTCCAAAACCTACTCGCACATCCTCCTCTCGCAAGGCATCGGCCTCCGATCACCAACCTCACTAGCCGTCCAACGCTCCCAGATCCTTGCGCAGCATCCGCACCCGCAACCGCACCGCCCGCAACCCGCCTCTTCCTCTTCTTCCTCGGCTATGACCAATGGCATCATCCACCGCAACCACAACCACAACCGCAACCATAACCACAGCTCCCGAAAGCATAACAGCGGTTCTCCGTATCATGAGAAAAATGCGCTTAATCGGATAATCGGTCAGAGTCGGGTGAGCAAGGAGCAGCTTGCGTTGGCGGTGCGCAAACATTTCAATAGTGCCGGGCTGGCGGAGCAGGAGACTATTGCGAGGTTTCTGTACAAGGTCCGTGAGGAGGGGAAGGGGAGGCAGTTTCGGTTGAGGTTTCAGCCTTAGCCGTTTTCTTTTCTCTCCCCTATCTCGTTTCTTTCTTTCTTTCTTTCTTTTCTTTTTCTTTTCTTTTTCTTTTTGGTTTATTGGGGCGGCGTTTTTTCGAGTTGGTATTAGTGTTGGTATAGTTCTTCCTGGGAACAGCCCCTCTTGCTGTTTATATTCATGATACCCATGATGTTTGTCTGTATTGATTTGCTTGCTTGTATATAGACCTTTTTTGGGTACTCATTTTTTGCTTATATTTGACATTTTGGACATTGGCTAAGCTAGTTGACCGAATTCATTTCATAAGTCTATATATCATACGTCATAACCTCCATAAAAAAAAGCAACTAGCCCTGATACTATATATTATCACTTCCACGCATTCAGCCCCGCCCAAGGATCACCTCCCTGTGCCTGTCCTTGACCCTGAGGCTGCGACTGCGACTGTGCCCTATGATGCGCACTGGATCCATACGGCCGACCCTGCGCATATCCTCCCGGCCCCGAGGGGAATGGGCCCGTCGACGGCGGATACGCAGTTCCACTGCCACTACCACCAGTCTGGGGCCGTGGCGGTGGCGGCGGAGGAACATAGCCCGGTGGTATGTACTGCCCTGGTGCCGGGGAAGGGTGGTAGGGCATAGGGGTTGAGGAGAAATATTGGTTAGGGGGCTGCGGTGGTGGGGATACCGTGTTTTTCGGGAAGGGGTAGGCCATTGGGTTGTAACCTTCTGAGAGTGGGGCGGCGGCGCCTTGTTGGTATGGTTGTTGGTGGGGCTGGGCTGGATGGTAGGAGGGCATGCTGGGGTTGTATTGAGCGTAGGGTGCTGGTGAGTGCGAGTTGGGGATGTTGGGTTGGGATTGAAGTTGAGGTGGTTGCTGAGCTGGGGCTATAGGGTAAGGTTTTGGTGAGGATACGCTAGGGTATGCGGGTGTTTGGCCCGGAGGAGGTGGTGATTTGGCATGTGCCGAGACAGCTGGTGAGGTCGAAGACGGTCTGGGATCGGTGGATAGGCGTTCCATGAGTTGTCGTAGTTTCTCGCGTTCTCGATCCTCCTGGTCTGCTGAACCGCTCGCCTTGTCGCGTTCGATGTGGCTCAGTAGTTGGGCTCCTTCGGACCTCCGGTTGTTGATGAAGGTTTCGACGTTCTTCTTTAGGCTTTCCACTGTGTCGCTCATTTCAGTGTAGAACGTCTGCGCTTGAAAGATTCCTGACAGGAGGCCGTTGAATGCATCGTACACCTTCTTATATCGACCCATCACGGCGTTGCGCTGACGTGTGATCGTCTCATATTTCGATTGTTCGGCTCTGACTCGTTTGTCTTGCAGCAAGTCGCCGTATATCTTGGTGAGTTCTTTCATCAAAGAAGCCTGCTTGTGGTTCGCTTGGAGAAGCCGGTTCTGATGCGGACGGAACTTCTCCAGTTCAGCCTCAAAGAGCTGGCCTTCCTGCCCTGCAATGGATTTCTTATTCAAGATCAGGACATTCGAGATATCGTCGTTGTGAACCTGTTCGTCAGTCAGTTACTGTTTTCCAAAGGCTTCGCTAAAGTAACTGAACGTACCTTGTCCTTCAAGTCCTTCAGCACCTGCGACCGCTCTCTCTTGACCAGGTTCAACTTTTTCAATATCGACTCAACCCGAGAAATCTGATCGGCCACTGAAAGGCCCCCCTCATCAATATCATCCAGCAAGTTGCCCTCCGCCGCAGGGCTGCCCATTCCATTCTTGCCCTTTCCATGTTTGGAGCCAGCCTTGAGCATCGCTCGCTGGAAAAGGACATCGGCCTCATCCGTTTCTCCGGCTGCTTTTATCTCGTCAAATTCTGCTTCGTACTGGTTGAGAGTGGACATGAGTTGCGAGTCGCTGGCGCTGGCCTCATTGACGGTATCGCGGTACGTTCGCACATCACCACGCAGGGTCGTGTTCAGCTTGGCACTTGGCTGCTGACTCCAATCGGCACCGTACTTGGAACGCATCTTCTCACACACGCTTTCTTCCAGGTCGAGCTGCTTGGAGCAATGATCCAGCTGTGTCAGCACGTCTGCCTTGCGTTCTTGTAACTCATCAAAGTCCTTGGTAAAGGGCTTGTGGCCCGCCAGCTCCTGACACCATTGCCGAAATTCATCGTCCACTGTCACTTCCTGATCCATTCCACCCTTGAGAATACTGAGGCTGCCAGGCAGTTTCAGGTAATCCAAACTGGCTGCCATTTCCCCATTAGCGGTTTCGACCTTTTCCGTTTCCGCGCGAATGAGCTTGGCCTTCTCCTCATCGTAAAGACTGGCCGTCTCTGTGACAGACATAGGGACCAGCTTCTGGAAAATATCTGGCCCGATGATTCGTTGAATATCTTGACCCTGATACAGCTCACTAACGGGGATGGCCTTCGCGGCTGGAAGCTTGGCAACGGTTGACAGACTGGCTTCATTCGGGACAGGTTGGTGGTAGATAAAGTCGTTGTCTTTGTTGAACGTAGAGAGGTTGGTCTGCACGATCGCGAGTTGGTGTTTAATGAGATCCAAGAGACTAGAGCCCGACTCGGTACTTAGGTTCGAATTTGCAGAGACGGACGACGGAAACGACTTGGCCCAGCTCAGGGCGACGTTTGAATGCTTCTCAGCCAGCTGGAGCCTACCAATAGCTATCCCGTGCTGGTTGGCTTGACTGTCTGCTAAAGCTTGGTAGTATGAAGCGACAGAGTTCATGTGCGCCGCCTTGGCCTGGATGACAAGCGACCACACCTTCTCAAAAACGCCCTTGGAGACATAATCTTGCATAGCTTCCGCCGCTTGGGTATAGAGGTACGCCGCTTGACTGGCCAGCTTCGCAAGGAGCCCGGGCTTCTTCCCATCGACCACCTGCTTCTCAAAGAAGACCTCCTGGGCCTGAGCAAGAGTAATGTTGATCAAAGTCTTGACAGTTTCGCGGTTCAAGTCGGTTGATGGTGCGTGTAGGAAGTTCTCGTTGATATAGGTGAACATGCCGGCAGATGCCTGGAACGAGTGGTAAGCGGTCTTCAAACCGATGTCTTCGGCGCGATTCTGGTCCGCGGCATGACACGAGAGGACGGCGGAGATGTTGAAGATAATGGAAGCCTTTTCGTAGGCCAAAGAGTATTGCGAGGTTGGCTTATGAGTAAAAGCATCATACCTATTGTCAAGCGCGCAACCTTGTTAGCAGGATTCCCGGAAGGGAGGGTTTTCCGGCCACACAGGAAACAACACTTCATCCATACCAGGTAAAAGAAATCTTGATGTGATTCTCGTCCACAGGAAACCTCAAGTCCAAGAGTTCCAGCTGCCCATAATACCGATATAGCAGATCGCGCCCTGTCGCACTATCCTTGCCAGCACCCCTCATGTCCTGGCGTAACCGGTTGAGCGTCGCGCATTCTTGTGAATATCGTTCGGGGTCTTCGCCGTAGCTCTGGCGAATGTAATCTTTCAGAGGTCGTATCCAGTCGATTTCGTTGGTCTGCTTGAGAGGACACGAGATCATCGGCGATTGAATCATCTTGATGGGCGTCAAGGAGCGGGAAGCGCTCCCATTCAAACGAGACGGAGAAAGCGGACAGAGTTGCTGGTAGGTAACTAGGATGCGAAAAGGGCGAATATGAGTATTCTCAGAGAATCTAGAGCTGGTTGACTGAGGGAGCCGGAGCTGTGGTGTTAGTGAGGAAAGTGCTGATGGTGAGGTCGGAGGTGGAAGTTGTGGGGTATGACGACCGCACGTGGGATGGAATATACTAACAGCGGGCACTATATGACCCGAACGTTTACTATGAAAGTCATAACAAATAAGAAGCAGAGATTTTTTTGTCTATATAGTACAGTACAATATGAGTACAGAGGACAACACCCCAAGATCAAAACACCCATGCTCGCCGACGCTATGATATCGTTTCGTAAATACATCCCGAGAATGTCCCAAAATACACATAAGTAGAAAGTCACGATTAGATGGTAGAGCGTTTCTCAACTCGAACCCGAGGACTTCTTGTCGTCTTTGTCTTTCTGGTCACTCTTGTCGCCGGATTGGCCCTCGTCTTTCTTGCTCTGCTCACCCTCAGATTTGTTCTGGTTCATGAGCTTTTGCCAGGCAGATTTGAGGAATCCTTCGTTTTGTTGAGAGTTGCCGCCTGATGTGCCGTCGGGACTGGGTGGGTTGCTATTGATATTGTCAGTGTCCCCTTCCCTCCTTGTACATGAGACTACAGGAATGTCACAACTTACTCTTTCCCGAGGTCCATAACCCTCTTTGCCGACTTATCACCCATCTCGTCCGCCAGAACCTCCAGGATAGTTCGCTGGTTGCTCGTGAGGTACTTCGGCATGGCGACCTTGAATTCCACCCTCAGATCACCCTTCAGGCCCCGCCGGGGGCTGCCGAGTTTCTGCATACCCATTCCAGAAAGAGTGATGCGCTCGCCGGTGCCGGTACCGGTGGCAACCCGGACCTTGACATCGCCGTCCAACGTTGGGATATTCACTTCGCCACCCAAGAGAGCGGTGGTGAGGGGGACCGATGCGGTATATAGGATATCGGATCCGGAACGACTGAATCGTTGGTCAGGCGAAACTCGAATCGATACGTATAGGTCACCCTTCTGGGTACGAGAGCCCGGCGCGGCATTGGTTCCAGTAGGAGGAGCGTCACCTTCCCCGCTCACTCTCATCCGCATGCCGTCCTCCACGCCAGCGGGAACATCGATTTGCACTGTCTTGCGATCCCGTACGACTCCATTACCGTGACACGAACCGCACTGAGAGCCAGGAGGAACAGTAAGGCCTGCTCCACCGCAAGCGTCACAGGTGGCAGCCAGCTGGAAGCCACCCTGCATGAAGTGTACCCGGGTTCCGGACCCGTTACATTGGCGACATTGGGTGCGCTTGGCACCTTGCTTCAGTCCATCACCATTGCAAGTACCACAATCTGTCAAGGGAGTGATAGCAATGTCTCTGGATGTGCCCTTCGCAGCCTCCATGAAGGAAATACTGGTCTGCACCTCGATGTCTTCACCAACCAATACTTCCTGGAAGGGACCTCGTCTACCCCGTCCAGAACGGCGTGCGCCACCCGTAAAAGCACCAAAAAGATCCTCGAAATTGATATCCCCTGAAAAACCACCGCCAAAACCACCACCGAAGGGACCGCCAAAACCACCTCCGAAGCCACCGAAACCTCCCGCACCGGAAAACGGGTTCCCACCCGCGGCACTCGGATCGAAACCGCCGTTTTGATCGAACGCAGAAGCACCAAACTTGTCGTAGTTTTCTCTCTTCTTGGGGTCGGAAAGCATTTCATAAGCCGTCTGAGCCTCTGCAAACTTGTCCTTGGCGCCGGCTTCCTTGTTCGTATCGGGATGGTATTTCTTCGCCAATCCATAGTAGGCTTTTTTGATGTCACCTGCGGAAGCACCCTTGTCGACACCTAGGGTCTTGTACGGATCCGAAATTGCCTTGAGGGGAGTAGTCGAATGGAATGTCTATGAGCAAGAAAAAAAATCGGTTAGCCGACGGTTATATACATAATTCATCACCACCAACGTACCCTTGACGAAGTAGGCGCCGGATTGTGTCTCTTCTGGTTCGGATTGGACTCTCGTAGGCGACCAGTAGCAAAAGCCGTGGGGGCATGATAGCCCCGGACCTGGGAAGACGAGCGGACATAGTTGGTCGCAGGACTCTGGCTCGAACATTGTCGCGATGTCCGCAAAAGACGAGCGGGGATAGCCGCAGCCTTGGGCATTGCGGAGGGAGCCGGATTCATGATGGGAAAGCGATGAGCGCCAACAATCGAAGCAAATCGACAATGCTGAATGAACGGACGAAATGAAAACCTGGAGTACCGGACGACTGACAAACTCCGGATCACTAATCCAGCGTTGAGGCCGACAGAAGCTTCGAGTCGAAAAAGTTTCCCACTCGGGACCCGGAGAAACAGAAACACCGACGATGATGAAAGCCTTCGATGCTTCGGTAATCGACCTTGGGATCTCTTCACACGACAAGTTGCCGCATTGTTGCTTTGCATTGATTGCTCTCTTGCTTTTGCTGCTGGCTTTATTGATAGAAGAGTCTATCTTGTTTCCTTATTTTTACTGCCCCTACCCATTACCCCCCGTTCTCGTTCCCCGTCGCCTTCCCCTCATACATATAGCATGCTCCGCGGCCAGACACTCCCCTGGAGAGCCGCGCTCCAACAAACATCGCGTCCCCTTGCTGCTAGACCTCTGCTTGCATCTTCGAGATGTCATGCCAGTCTCCGTTCAGTTATAATCGCTTCGCGAGTTTCCCGCTCTCTTCCATCCTCTCCCCGCACCTTCTCGTCGAGCTCCATCCGGCGGCGGGAAAAGCCTCCGCCGGGTGATGACAAGACTGACCCAGAATCCAAAGAGCAAAATGATAACAACGAAGAGAAAGACGTGGAACAAGTTCCTGAATCTCGACGCAAAACGACAGATCGCTCGTCAGGGAAGCGTGGCTCGTCACCTGAACCGGGAGCTCCGACATCGGGATCCGCGCGGCGGAAAGATAAGTCCACCGCAAACAAGGAGAGCCAGGCTGTCGACGAAAATGCGAAGAAGGATAATAATGCTGTGGAAGGAAAAGGGGATTCGACGGATACCCCATCTCCAATTCCCGTCAATGGCAACGGTTCATCGGACTCGAGACCTAGCGGCGCGAGCAATGGCGGCAACGAGGATGGCGGCAATGGCAAGAAAGGAAAGAAGGGATCTAATGATAAGGCCTTGCAAAAGCCAGCAGTCCCTGAAGTATATCCCCAGGTTATGGCAATCCCTATCGCCAAGCGCCCACTGTTCCCGGGCTTCTACAAGGCCATTACCATCAAGGACCCGAACGTGGCAGTCGCCATTCAGGATATGATGAAACGAGGACAGCCTTACGTTGGCGCTTTTCTGTTCAAGGACGAAAACGCCGACGGCGACGTGATTGAGAAACTCGATGACGTTTATGATACTGGTGTGTTTGCTCAGATCACTGCTGCGTACCCGCTTCGGGGTGAAGCCAACGGCGTGACCGCTGTACTTTATCCCCATCGTCGCATTAAGATCTCGTCACTGCTGCCACCCTCTGATCAGACGAAAGCTTCTACTTCGGAGGACAAGGCCACAGAGAAGCGAGGCGATGTGGTCGCTAGCTTTGAAGAAGGTACCCTCGAATCGACGCCCAAGGATCACTACGAGCCAACATCCTTCCTACGGAAATACCCAGTCAGCCTGGTCAATGTGGAGAACATGGTGGAGGAGCCCTTTGACAAGAAGAGTGCCATCATCCGTGCCGTTACGAGCGAAATCGTCAACGTCTGCAAGGAGATTGCTAGCCTCAACCCCCTGTTCCGAGACCAAATCTCTGCCTTCTACACCGACCAATTCCCCGGAAACCTCAGCGATGAGCCAGCTAAACTGGCCGACTTTGCCGCTGCGGTCTCCGCCGGAGAGTTACACGAGATGCAAGAAGTTCTCGAAATTATGAACATCGAAGAGCGACTGCCTAAGGCGCTCGTGGTTCTGAAGAAGGAATTGATGAACGCTCAGCTTCAATCCAAGATTTCGAAGGATGTGGAGGCCAAGATCCAAAAGCGGCAGCGCGAATACTGGTTGATGGAGCAGATGAAGGGTATCAAGAGAGAGTTGGGCATCGAGTCTGATGGCAAAGACAAGCTGGTCGAGAAATTCAAGGAGAAGGCGGAGAAGCTTGCAATGCCCGAGGCAGTCAAGAAGGTGTTCGACGAGGAGATCAACAAGCTGGCGCACCTGGAGCCGGCCGCGTCCGAGTTCAACGTTACCCGCAATTACTTGGACTGGCTGACCCAGATCCCATGGGGTCAGAAGAGTGTGGAGAACTTCGGAATCAAGAATGCGACCACTGTTCTGGATGAAGATCACTACGGCTTGAAGGATGTCAAAGACCGGATTCTCGAGTTTATCGCGGTTGGCAAGCTTCGTGGTACCGTCGAAGGCAAGATCCTTTGTCTTGTCGGACCTCCGGGTGTCGGAAAGACCAGTATCGGAAAGTCGATCGCTCGCGCGCTCAACCGACAATACTACCGATTCTCCGTTGGAGGCTTGACGGATGTTGCTGAGATCAAGGGACACCGGAGGACATACGTCGGTGCGCTTCCCGGTCGCATCATCCAAGCACTCAAGAAGTGCCAGACCGAGAACCCACTCGTCCTGATTGATGAAGTGGACAAGATCGGTCGCGGTCACCAAGGTGACCCATCGTCCGCACTTCTGGAGCTCCTCGACCCCGAGCAAAACAACTCATTCCTGGACCACTACATGGATGTTCCGGTGGACCTGTCCAAGGTTCTCTTTGTCTGCACGGCCAACATCACTGACACCATTCCCCGACCGCTGCTCGATCGGATGGAAATCATTGAGCTCTCGGGGTACGTTGCGGATGAGAAGATGGCCATTGCAGACCGGTACCTGGCTCCCGCCGCGAAAGAACTGACTGGTCTGAAAGATGTCGATGTTGCCTTGAAGCAGGATGCGATTGAAGAGCTTATCAAGTCGTACTGCCGTGAGAGTGGTGTGCGAAACTTGAAGAAGCAGATCGAGAAGGTGTACCGCAAGGCTGCATTCAAGATCGTCCAGGATCTTGGCGAGGATGTACTTGGGGAAGAGAAGGCTATCACCAATGAAGGCAGGGCTGCACAAGAGGAAACGAAGAAGGAACATCAGGATCACCCGACAACAAATGACCCTGCAGAGCCACCCCTTGAACCGGAGAAGGCGACGACGGAGCACCCACGCCTCGCATTGAAGGTTCCTGACAGCGTGCACCTCAATATCGGTAAGGATAGCCTTAAGGATTACGTTGGGCCTCCAGTCTACACGACGGATCGTCTGTATGACACCTTCCCACCTGGCGTGACAATGGGTCTTGCATGGACCAGCATGGGCGGCGCTGCGCTGTATGTGGAATCTATCCTGGAGAATGCTTTGACTCCCAAGTCACGACCGGGTGTCGAAATCACGGGTAACCTCCAAAACGTCATGAAGGAGTCGAGTCAGATCGCATACTCGTTTGCCAAGTCAGTCATGGCCAAGAGATTCCCGGAAAACAGGTTCTTTGAGAAGGCCAAGCTGCATATGCATTGTCCTGAGGGAGCTGTGCCGAAGGATGGTATGTTATTGATCCTTGCCCGACCTACCCGTGACGAAGAAAACTAACATTGCGTCATAGGTCCTTCGGCTGGTATTACGATGGCCAGCGCACTTTTGTCGCTGGCATTGAACCACCCTCTTGAGCCGACCATTGCTATGACCGGAGAATTGACGGTCACGGGTAAAGTGCTGCGTATCGGGGGTCTGCGCGAGAAGACCGTGGCGGCCCGCCGTGCTGGCGCCACGAACATCATTTTCCCTGCAGACAACATGTCTGACTGGCTGGAGCTTCCTGAGGTGAGTTCATCGTGCTTTTTACCATCGTCTGTTCGCAGCAATGTGGATCGAGTGCAAGGATGCCGAGTGTAATAGGATCTGCTGGCTAACCTTTTTCCGATTACAGAACATCAAGGACGGCATTGAAGGTCACGCTGTGAGCTGGTATTCGGACGTGTTCAACATTCTCTTTGCCAAGTTGGACAAGGAAGCGGCCCGCCATGTGTGGCAGAAGCAGCTTACCGATACGTTGTCCAAGAAGTCGTCCAAGGCTGACGAAGATGAACTGGATTAATTGAACTGGTCACGTTGAAGGGTCCAGGGTCCAGTCTTTGACTCATGGGTTCTATTTTCCTCCTTTTGCCCCCATTTCTCTTTTTTTTTTTTTTTTTTTTCTTTTCTATGTGTTGGTATATACTCCACTCTGTTTTGTTGCCATGATCTTGTGATTTCGTGTATCTTATTCTTTTTTCTGGGGGGGGCCACCACTGTGTATCCTTAGTTGTACATGGCGTTTTCATCATGGAAATGCATGGATCGGAGTTTTTTTTTTTTTTGTTTTGTTTTCTTTTTCTTGATTATTGATTATTCCTCCTTTGTTGTCGCTGCTTCGCAGACGATGAGGATGATATAGAATTCTGGTCATCTCATTCTCTACCAGCGTCGGATATTCTGCACATGTCCAGTGAGCTGTTATGACTTGAGGAAAATTCTGAAGAACCACTCCACTCTCGAAAAAAGAAATCAACACAAGAAAAAGCAAAAAGAGAAAACAACAATGCATTGGAGACGCCCTGAGCTGGCCATCGTCACCGTCATTATCGATGGCGATAACCGAAGGACCGAGGAAGACCACGGGGAAAAGGTGCCACCGCATCGGAAAGGCATTGGCTGATCTAGAAAAAAGAGGTGTGTATGAGAGCAGATTTTTTTTTTGTATGTATTGGCTATGTATGTGTACAAGAGTTCGGTTGTATGTAAGTGTATGTGTGGGCATCGGCGATTGATTGAATTTTGGAGCCCCGTCATGATTTCATCCAACTGTCAAAACTCCACGATGCAAATGCAGCCAGAATCAGAAGATGAAGAAAACCTTGACTTCCTCCACCAACGAAAAGCCACACGAGAGATTTTTCGTGTCCCCATGTTGCCTGTCAGCCAGTCGAAGCGTTGAAACCGAATGCAGCCGAATGCCCACCGTTTTATGATATGCCCACCGAATCGAATCTGTGCGCCAGCGGATCGTGATTGGACGCATCGCCGGAGCATCACTTTGAAACGAACCCTTGGAGGGGTATTGTTACCTTGTTTACCATTCTTTCCTATTCCTTACAATTGCATGTTTGGGTTGTCGGGCGGTTAGAGCGTTACTCGGGATATTTGAAATTGCATCGGGTTGAACCAACGCATGAAATACCATCGGTTGGGATTGGGATGGTTTATTTCGTGATATGTATTTTATTTCCATTGTTGTCGGGGTAATGGGCAATTTCATAATACATATGACAGTTATCTGTTTCCAGGCTTCGAGAAGGTCCTTGGACTGTGCAGCTGCAGGAAGTCTACAGTAGTGGATGGAGACGGTGATTCATATAGCAGATACGATATAGCAGACCCAAGAGCATGGTAGATTGATATAACCAACTTGGCTGTGATGTAATCATGTATGTCTGGGATGTTAATCAACAGAGGTATTCATGAGATATCCTGAATACAGGGAGCGTAGATGGTCAGTAGCGATATGACATCGTCGCATCGGAGTGACATTGAGTCATAGGTGGATTATATGGAGACCCAGGTATTCCCGATGCATGGCGATATCCAGAGTACTGCCCACTGGACCCTCCTACGTACTCCGTATACCCAAGTACCAGTACACGGTCACCGCACAGATAAAGATCTTGCCTGTCAAAAAACTCCAGGTCCCCGAAGAGAGCCAGGTCGAACATAGTTATAGAGGATGTACATCAGGCATGGCTGTGTCAGGCCGCCGTGCATCGCACTTAGCGGTCTACTCTGTACTTGTAAGATGACAGACTTTTGAGAGCTAATGCTAAGAGATGAGCCCTGTATATGTATGTATGTATGTAGCTGTATCCATAACTGGATAGTCAATAGCGGTGTTTTTATGGCTGCATCGTGGTGCGTCTTATAATAAGAAGAAATGGCATCCTCTTGTCATTTCGGCGCTGAATTCCTTCAGTGCAGAATTGCATTGCAATTCTAACTCAACCAACGGCTTACAAGACTATTGATTGATATTTTATTCTGACAACAGGCAGAAGATCTTCTGTTATTTTCACCGATTTCTATTATTTTTTATTTTTCGCTGTCTTGGACATGGATTGAGGGCTGTCCAAGTGGTGACCTCCAACTTCACCTCTCTCCTTTTTTGAACAAATATATTCTTATATCAGACCATTTCCTCTGCTGTCAACTACATCTGTGTTGTTCTTCTCTCCTTTGAGGAAATGGTGGTGCCTTTATACTAAAAGTGTCACTCCATACTCCATACTACTAAGTGCTATACAACATCCTCACCGACTCTCAACTCACTCATTTTTCCCTCTCTCTCTTCCAATTATCTTCCACCAACGACAATTTCTGTGCGAAGAAAAAACTCTGATCTTTCATTCTGACTCCGACTCTGATTTTCATTATTTTTCAGCTATTTTTCCTTTTTGGTGGTGAGCAATAACACACAACAAACAAAACCACCGAGGGAGGGAAAAAAAAAAAAAGCCTCACGCTACCCCAGCCTCCTGACTGAAAGATTCGAGCCTCTTTCTCTCTCTCTCTTTCTCTCTCTCCCTCTCTCTCTCTCTCTCTTTCATTCCTTCTGGAACTTCTATCGCAGCGACTCGAATTGTATCACCCGCACCTCTTCATTGTCTACGCTTTCGTCTCAATTTCTATGGACACACCCCCTGTACCCTCAACCTGCAGGGTGTCCTCTTTGACTTTTTCACCACCAGCCACCAGTGATTCAAACCTGCAGAATGGCCATCAGAATCGCAGATTCGTCCTCTTCCAGCCCCTCGCGGCGACCTTCTCTGAGTCTTTGTCCTGAACCGGACCGAAAAGCCTCTCTCCCCCCTCCGAAGAAGAAAAAGGCCAAGCATAGCATGTGGCATCGCCTAGGCTTGCGCAAGTTGCTAGGCCGTGAACAACGCGATACTTCTTCTTCCTGTTCGCCTTGCCAGTCCCGTCCTCAATCCTATCCCGTCTCCGGCGCTTCCTCTCCCGATACTACGCCCAATGGCAGCACCGCCAATGTCAAACCCCATGAAACCATGACCCGCAGATTGACGCGCCGGGTCGGTGTTGTATCCCGTGCCACCACCTTCAAACGCCAGGTCTCCGAACAGAGAGATCGTCTGGAACCCTTCGAGCCGCCCGAACCCCGCCGTGCCGCGTCCGCCGACCGTCGCCGCCCAGTCAGTTCTCAGACCCAGGGAACCAAAACTCCACAGCCCGCTCCGGGCCCGCGGACGTCCGCCCCCGAAATACAATGGCGCGAGCAAGGCGAAAAACACGGAGAGGGAGAGGACGCATCAGCGGTGATAGCAGAAGCCGCAGAGGAAACCGAGACTACGGTGCCAACAGAAAAAACAACAGAACCGGAGGAAGCAACGGAGCGAACCATGGTTGATGAATCTTCCGAAGCAAATCACAATCACCCCAACCATACAGAGGGCGTTGATGACCGTAGCGATCTCCGGTCCGAGCGGAGCCGCCGTCCCCCGGAACCAGACCCAAACATGGAGACTATGGATCCCGCGGAGGAGAGTCGCATCATCGAAATGGAGCTGGAGAAGCGATGGATCTTGAACCTGACCATGCACTTCCGTGATCGCTCGCGGCGTGAGAAACTGTTCGTCACCTATGCTGAGACCCCTACACTCTGGCGCCGGGTCACCGTCTCGTGTGACTACCGGAGTCCAGAGCCGGATTCGCTGGAACAGGATCTGAGTGAAATGTGGAACCAGAAAGACCGCTGCGCGCGCATCTACGAGTCGCTCCGCGAATCGCTGGCTGAGATCCAGTTCTACGACACGGTTACGAATCTCAAGCTAGAGACTCGCGATGGCCGTCTGCATGTGCATGTGACAGAGGACGTGAACGAGACCATTGCCTATCCTGCGATTTTCCACATTGGGCATTTGCCAGGGATCAAGCTTGTCTCTGAAGACCATCTACACTTCGTGAGACATGAATCTGGATTTGTCTACCACGTGGAATTGAACGGTCGATCCTTTATCAAAAAGGAAATCCCCGGCCCCGACATGGTCGATGAGTTTCTCTACGAAATCAACGCGCTTCATGAGCTCCTGGGTGCGCAGAATGTCATCCAGCTCGAGGCTATTGTGGTGGATGAGGAGCGCCAAGTTATCAAGGGTCTGTTGATCGGCTACGCAGACAAGGGAGCTTTGGTCGACATGCTCTACTACCGCGATGGCAAGAACACCATCTCCTGGAAGCGGCGGGAACGCTGGGCGAAGCAGATTGTTCAGGGCTTGGCTGAAATCCACGAAGCCGGCTTCGTGCAAGGAGACTTTACCCTGTCGAATATCGTGCTCGATGGCAACGACGATGCAAAGATCATTGATATCAATCGCCGGGGTTGCCCTGTCGGCTGGGAGCCGCCGGAGATTGTGGCTAAGCTTGAAAGCAAGCAGCGGATCTCCATGTACATTGGTGTCAAAACAGATCTTTTTCAGTTGGGAATGACCCTGTGGGCCGTCGCAACTGAGAACGACGAGCCCGAACGACAATGCCGTCCATTGCTCATCCCCGACGACATAGACATCCCAGACTACTATCGAAGACTGGTAGCCATTTGCATGAGCCCATATCCTCAGCAAAGACTCTCGGCCAAGGAACTCTTGACCCTGTTCCCACCCTTTATCCCTCCGACATCGCACGCATTGCCGATGGTATACTACCCACCGCCCACAGGCATGGGCGTCGGGCCACGCACCAGCCATCCTCATCCTCATCCTCCTTTGGAGAATGGGTTTGCTTATCTCCATTCGCGGGCTGGTTCCGCCGAGGAGAGCCAGCAACCTCAATCCCCGGGCCAACAGCACCCACAGGATGATGGGTACTCATCCATGAGCCGCCAGTCTCATTCCGACACCGGGCCGCGTCGTGTCAGCTATATCCAGTCTGATGGCGAGAAAACGCGGCCTGTATCTCCGGAGGCCGTCGAGGAGGAACCGAAGCCCATCGAGGCTTCCATGCAGCTTGTTCCTCGGGTAGATCCGTTGGATTTTCTGAGGAGGCAGGCGGCGAATACAGATGCAAATACGAATAATACAAACAACAACAACTAATTGGAGGGCGCGATATGGCCTCTCGACCCTGAAATTGTTATCATTGGCGATGGAGTTTGGATATGGAGTTTTGGACTTGGAGCTTGATTTTCACCTATTTGTCTCCTTTTTTGTGATTTGAATTTGTTTTCTCTTATTATATCCCCAAGATTGAAGCTCTCTTGACGACGATACGCTTTCCTATGTCTATTTATTTGTATTTCCTTGTGTTCTCGGCGATCTGTTGGTTGGTTGATTGATTGATTGGTGTCAATACTTCACTTCTCCTTCTTCCATAAGGACTGTATTAGTCTTAGTATTCTGCCATTCCTGTCTCATACAATAGACGTGATTCACTGTATACACGCAATATATGCACCATGTGCCAAGAAAAGAAAAGGGCACAACGCCCTAAATATCTCTCTAACTAATTAAGGACTAACGCCCTCCACCTTTCCCCTCTCCCCTCTCCCCTCTTCCCCAATCTCCATTCCTTCTCCATTCTGTCCTTCCTCTTCAGGTAACCACTACGAGCGTGGACTGAAGAAAGCCGCCAGTGCCAATTAAAATCCTTCAAACGGCGAGGTTGAGAGGTTTTTGACATAGATTGCTCGCATATGTATGTGCTTGCATCCACAGCTGTTCCTGCATGTTGTAGACGTGCCTGAATGCTTATGATGGATATTGAAGCCCAACACCGTGCAAGTCTCTGAAAACTCGGTGCATGTCACTATACGAAAACACTCATGTGGCATGCCGTGCTATATCTGAGTCCTGGAGATAGCGACTCAAACGACGAGCCTCTACAAATCGTGGACTAGGTCGTCGAATTCAAGGCAGCCCACGAAGGTGCTCTGCGGTGCCTTAGTACGAAGAGGTAGTGGAATTTCGTCTGTTATCGCTGTGCTTTCTACAATTAAAGTATGCCACATCTATCTGCGTGGTCTCCTGAAAGGAAACCTGCGCCACCGTTTTGGAAAGTATTTGGAACAGGTTGAAACCCTGGCAAAAGGAACTTTTTTTTTTTTTTTTTTTTTTGGAAGACGACCGGAATGTCTGAGCTGATTTATCTAATGTATACTAAGCTGAACACATGCAGGCCTGTCATTCTCCAATCTTTGGAAAAGGCGATAAAAGCGGCAATTCATAGGAATACCTGACTGGCTAAAGGGTATCACGTTTTCGGATTGTGAGTGGACATACAATCCTCACAAATCGATCTAGGTACGGAGTACTTAGCATGCAATCGAGCAAAATTTCCTGGTCAAATTGCATACACTATACTGCATATCACAAACAACGCCCTTTCGTTAGCTTCACGCTCATGAAGAAGACACACTTTCCGGTCATTACAGCTGTCAACAGACAAGCAGACCACAGGGCTCGAGTCTGGAAGACTTATCATCTGCCCATATAAAAGCACATCCACTGATCCTGAATTCTGGAAAAATCCCACTTAAGGAGATGTCAGCTGAGACATCGTCAACTGAAAAAACCTGTCAGCGCCCACAGCGCAAAAAGAAGACAAGGCGAGCTCGAGTGTGTCTCGCTTTTCTCTCATTGTATGCTCCACGAAATAGGGTCTGAATACTGTTCTGCCGCTATTCGCTCCCTTCACTGCTAATAAATCCGGATCGGGGGAAGCCTGCATCTCGAGATCCATCATGTATCAATGCAAGGTTATTATTGATTGCTTCTTCTACCCGCACATTGTTTTCATTTCTTGCAGCCATTATATTTGGGCACTTTTTTCCAGCCTCAAGGCTCATTACTGGTGGGGACTATGTGAGATTTCCTGCTTTGGATGACACGGCGCCAATCAAGAGACAGAGGTTTATACAAGCCTATATTTACGATGAAGGAGTAATGGCTTACAGAAGGAGGGCCCGAGTTGGTAGAATTTCAGAGATCCATATAACTAGGGTACATACCTACGGTATTGGATATGGCAACCAGAAAAGACCAAAATAGTGGTCTAGTGGGGCATGTGTCGGATCTATAACAAACATGAGCCGTGTATTTTAGCTTTCAATATGACAATGCACCACCTGATAATCGAAAGTGCAACATAATCTTACCTACTCATCACCCACCAAGAAAGCCTCAAAACTGTCCTGCCACGGCTTCGCATCCGTTCCCAGCCCCCGTCCAATAAGCACAATCTTACAGCAAGCAGGTTCCTCAGGATCAGATTGTGGTGGCTGCTCCGAGTCTCTAATCTCAAAAATTTCGCGCACAGCTTGGATGATCTTTGCTGATTTCTCGTCGTCGCTCAGTGCCAGGATACCCTTTAAGCGGTGAACTTCAAAATCGGTAGGTTGAGTCTGAGACGGTTTGGAAGCAGCAGGGAGGGGAAGCTTAGAGTCCCAAAGGACGGACTGCAGCCAGGCGTCTACATGGGGGACTTTGTGGGTGGGGATTGGGGGTGTTATAATCGAGACAGTTGAGATGGCCTGCATCCGTCAGTAATCTGCATCAAAAGAGTTCTGTTGAAAGAAATAAAATACCGGATCGATATGACTATGCCCCTTCTCGCCAAAGTCCAAGCTAGCAAGATGATCATACGCATGCAAATCCAACACAACGCCCTCGATCTGCGGCGTCTTGCTGTGATCCGTAACATGAATCTTGGCGACGCTGTTAATCGCTAAGATGCGGTCACGGACGGCATCCAGTTCCTCGGCTGTTACCAGATCCGCCTTGTTGAGAATGATCACATCCGCGTGCGAGATTTGCATATGGGCCATGGATAGCACGGGACCGGTGTGCTCATGCCCATGTCCATTGTCGTTGCCATCAGGCGCACCACCATGTCCCGAAGAAGCGGTCTCTTCAGGCGCCGGCTGGTCAAGAAGACGGAGGATATTCTTGGCGTCGACGAGTGTGACGATTCCATCGAGATAGATAGAGCTGCCTAGATTATCGTCGACCCAGAATACGGGAGCGATGTTGCCCGGGTCCGCTAGGCCTGTGGTCTCGAGGAGAATGTAGTCGAAGGTGCCGCGGCGTTCCATTAGGGATTCGATAGCCATAACGCCGGAATCTCTGTTCTTGTTAGACGATTTCTGAAAAATTGCCGGGGTATGTATAGGGAAAGTACTTGACGGAGCAGCAGATGCAGCCGTTCCCGACGTCCATCCATTCGGTGACTTCTTTTCCGTCTTCGTTGACGGTGAGAGGTTTTTCGATGTCGGAGGCTTTGGTTTATACAGTTACTTATCTGTGCATATCGTATAATCTCGATTCAGCTTGCGTACTCACAGTCTCCGAATTCTACAAACAAGCCTTAGTATAGATGTCCTAGATTCATGTTCCGGAAAACAAACCATTCATGATCACGGCTATCTTCTTTCCATGTTTCTCTGTGAGAATATAGTTCAACAGCGTTGTCTTTCCAGCACCCAGATACCCTGTATGCGTTGGTTAGTCCATTCCCTTCGCTTTGGTCCATATCTCAGGTGCTTGTATACCAGTTACCAGCGTGATCGGCACTCGACTCTGCGCCGGAGTGTCTGTTGTCGTAGTTGGCGTGGACGAGATCGGATTCTCCGAAACATCGACCAGCGCGGGGGGCGCATCATCGTCTTCTATATCTGCCATATTGTCCTTTCCATTCAAGCAAAATGATCTAGATAAGATGCACGTACAAATCGGAGATGTCAGCGGAGACGATGAATGACGTTGCCCAGAGCGGATGCATTAGGGCATAGGGCTTCCCCGGTCACTGGGTTTGGTTTGTTTGATACAGTTTTCCGTATCGGGTTATCCTTCAATCCCGCCCGTCACTCGTTCGCTGCCCCCCTATTCCCTTTTCTCTCTTTTATTATAGAATTTCTCTACAATGGCAACTGCGGGAGTCCAATCGTCAACCTCCCCGCGCTTACCCAGTCCCCCACCGCTCACAGAGGTCCAGATTGGGCCCCCGTCTCCATCGGTCGGCGACGAGTCCTCCGGCCAGGATGCAGAGCAATCACTAGGATACACCCCGGCCAACAACAACGATGAAGCTAGTGCGACGCGGAGAGTTCGACCCGGGAGTAAAGCAATTGATATGGCTGCTGGTCCGCCATTGATTCCTCTCGCGCAGGTTAGTTGACTCCGATGGCAAACAAAGAGTTGCATTCGGCAATTGCGTGCTAACAGGAGAGAGGAACAGCTCGACTCCCCATTCCAACTCCAAGAACACCTGAAAGCCCTGCACAACCACTATACCCGACCTGAAGGCTCCGAAACAGTTATTCCGATCCACCGCGACATCGCGATCCAGCTTGCGGAACCCCCTGAAGGCGTTGACCGGGCGCTCTGGCTCTACGAACTATGCCGCTTCCTCACGATGAAAGTCAACAACCTTATCGTTGCCTTCTTCGCCGAGAACCCACCCTGCTCCATCCAGACGTGTCCCGAAATGCAAGCCTCGGAATGGCAGTACCTCTGCGCCGTCCACGATCCCCCAAAGACCTGCTGCGCTATCGATTACTGCTGTCACACGCTCGACTGGGCTACGAACATCCTTACCTCTCCCAAACACTTCCCCAGTCGGTTGACGCTGGGCTCAGAAGCAAGCGGTGGACCGCAGGCGAGTATGAGACACTTGATCAATATTTTCCGTCGGGTGTATCGAATCTTCGCGCATGCTTGGTTCAAGCACCGGGAGGTGTTCTGGCAGGTGGAGGGTAACGAGGGACTTTATATCTTCTTCAAGACGGTTTGCGATGTGTACCATCTTATGCCGGAGGATAGCTACACAGTTCCCGCGGAGGCAGAGGGTATCGAGCCGGCTGCGGAGCAGCCCGCGGAGAAGCCGGCGGAGGGACTACGAGTTACGATACTGCGAAAGGAGGATGAAGGATCCAAGGACGGCGACACTAGTGCTACCGCACGACGTCATAAACACTCTCCGTCCACCGGTTCGCGCGTCGCTACTATCGCTGAGAGTGCTGAGGATAACGAGGATTCTAAAGCCGAATTATTGGAGGTGAAGGAGGACGCTGCCCCGGAGAAGGATACCGAAGAAGAAGAAGAAGAGGAAGAAGAAGAAGAAGAAGAAGGCGAGGAGACTACCATTGCGCTCGAGGAACCTTGGGAGGTGACAGAACAGCCGAACGGCGATAACATCGTTATTCACGAGCAGGAGATCAGCGAGGAACCCAAGTTTGAGGAACCCAAGCTTGAAGAACCCGAGACGACTGGGCCGGAAGAGGAGTCGCAAACACAGCCTACAGAGGAGCAAGCGAAACCCAGCCAAGCTGAGGAGCCGCATACAGAGCCCGAAACGAGCAAACCGGAAGAAGAGATCGAACCCTTCCCGGCCGCAGAGGAACCATCCTCGGAGCCAGCACCGGAGCCCACGCCGGAGCCCACGTTGGAGCCCACGTTGGAACCAGATCCGGTAGCAGAGCCTGAGCCCACGCCGGAGCCGGTAGCAGAGCCTGAGTCCAAGCCAGAGACAGAGACAAAGACAGAGACAGAGGAAAAGAAAGAGACAGAGGAAAAGAAAGAGACAGAGGAAAAGAAAGAGACAGAGGAAAAGAAAGAGCAACCAGCAGAACAAGACAAGGAAACCAAGTCCGAGACCGAACCAGAACCGGCTAAGGAGGCTTAACATCTTTATCCTTGCTTTCTACGATGATTCTGTTTCTATGTCATGGATTACGGTTATAACTTGCATGTTTCTGACGATTTCACTGTATGATAGCTTAAATTTTTTGTGGACATAGGCACTGTAATATTGGATATGACATTAATACTTTTTGAAATTGAATAATGATACCCGTATTCCTCAATTGGTCTGTATGGTGTGCTATATTGGGTAATATCTCAGGTCGTCCGTCTCCGAGCAACAACACCGAACAACACTCAACACAGCTTCACGAACCAACTCCATCTGGCACCTAAACTCCGGTATACCCCTGTATACCAATTAGAAAACTCAAATTCAAACCACGAAACCAAGAAATACATGACCGAACAACCCACAATGCCACCCGCCCTCAAAGGCATCCCCCCGATCCATTTCGGACCCTTCGTCGTAACCACCCAGGTATTCCCGTCACCCCAACACCTCCCTCCCCCAACCCAACCCCAATATTAACAATACAAAAAAAAAAAAAAAACAGGTCTTCCACCTAACCCCCACCACCTTCGCCCTCGTAAACCTCAAACCCATCCTCCCGGGCCACGTCCTAATTTCCCCGCGCCGCATAGCCCCCCGCGTCGCCGACCTGACCCCCTCCGAAACAACCGACCTCTTCCTTACAGTCCGCCGCGTAGGCCGGATGATCGAGCGCGTGTATGGCGCGAGTAGTCTGAATATCGCGATTCAGGACGGGGTGGATGCCGGGCAGAGCGTGCCGCATGTGCATGCGCATGTTATTCCGAGGCAGAGGAGGGATTTGGATCATTTGGGGGGGACGGATGCGATTTATGACATGTTGGATGGGGAGGAGGGAGATGTGGGGAGGATTCAGAGGGAGGTTGCTGCCACTACGAAGTCCGGGGCTGGGGATGGATCGGGGTCCGGGTCGGGGTCGGGGTCTGTTACGGAGGAGGTAAAGAAGCAGCTGGCGCAAGATGATGAGGGTGGGAGGCGGACTAATTTTCCGGCTGTTGATAATGATGCTAGGAAACCGAGAGGTATGGAGGAGATGGAGGCTGAGGCTACCATGTTGGCAAGGGAGATGGAGAAGGAGCCGCTGGATTGAATGGCCTACATATAGACGGTGTAGAGTATGCTTGTATGCTAATGTTCCCATGTTCAATTGCACGCCAACTAGTATATACTATCGATGAAAGAACCCCATATTGATGCTACCTAACCCGTGGTACCGTCCACAACTCATCGATAAACGATGGTACCAACCAAAACCCAAACCTGAACGCCCAAGACCATGATATGAGAAAAAGAAATGCATCAAGTCATCCATGGAGAAGTCACCATCCTTCATGCGCTCGTACCATTCGCACCAGTCTTGTTCTTCCAAAACGTCTCCCGTTCCTTGAGTACCGTCGCCGCCCATTCCTGCGTCTCGGGCAACTGAATGCGCGAAGCGACATAGCAGAACTCAGTCAGGTCGATATCATGAGCCCGCTCGTACTCCACCATCTGCAGAAGAAGCTCCATCTTGTCGACATCGTGCACAAACTGAGCCTCCAGCGTTTGGTTCTCCTCGTACTCGTTGAACACCTGCAAGATACCCGCCCCGGTCAGCATTCCACCCGGTACACCGCCCAGCAGATTCTTCGAAATGTAGTCCATCACATCCGCTTCACGTCGAGCCTTCTCCGGCTTGGTCACCTTGTCCTTCGGTGTAATGTCACCCACGAGCGACTCGGCCATGTCGTGAACCAGCGCCATCTTCATGCAGTGGGGCAGATTGATGCGGGATGCCAGCGGCGGCGGAGCGAGCATCGTCATGATCGACATGCGGTACATGTGGTCGGAGATAGATTCGCCCTTGTCGATTCCGAATCGGCGCCAGCCTTCACGCTTGGTGGTCTTGAGACGTTCGAGAAGGTGGAAGAAGGGGACCGGTGAGGGGGAGTTCTCTTCGGGCGGGTGGGGGAGGGACGCCAGGACTAGGTTGTCAGCATTTATGATCCCACAGTACACTAGACTGTATAGAAAGAAGTCTTACCTGACTTGGTGGTCCAAACAGGGTCGGATGGTGCTTCAGAGCCCATGATGATGGTAGTAGTGAGATACTAGAACGAACGTAGAAGATGGGTAAAGATTATACAGTAATGCAACTATGGATATTAGCAGTATTGGTGTAGCCAAAAGACCGTATAAGCAGGCAAGAGAACGAAAGCAAAGAAAGACGCTGCAATGCAAGAAAGCGAAAGAGAGAAAGAGAAAAAGGGAAAGAGAAGACAATAAGATCGGCACCCAGCCAAACAGTGCAAACACATACTCCGCCATTTCTATACGGAGCTCAACGACAACCTCGTTTCTACCACTCACATCTCTCTGATTATTCTGTCTTCAAGATGTATTCGTCAAAACCCTCCAGACCAAAGCCTCTACCATGGTCGACTCCCTCTCATCTCTCCGTCTTCGTCCGCAATCTCCAATTCCTGAACCTCCATCACCACCAAGACTGGCCGGGCATCACCGTTCGTGCCCTATCGCCCTCGTCGCAGAACCAACGCCAGCGCATGAAAGCTGTGGAATGGGCTTTGTATCATCTCTGCGCAATCTGGAATCCGGAAGTAACACAGGATGTATGTCCATGCCAATCAATGCGAGAGAACAAGACCTATCAGCTACAAGTACAAATAAATGGAGCCAGCTGACCGGACGATGTGACACCAGAAACTACGCCCGTTTTTCCCTCCATTGGAAGCGCTGCAGTCGGTGAACCTCCGCGCGGCTTTGTTTCGGGTGCTGTCAGATCTAAAAAAGAATGGCGACCTGGGAAAGGAAACAATACTACGCAAGTCAATGTTGGACGACTGCAAGGGGGAGAAATTCGATGAGCTGCTGGCGTTTTTCTCTACGGCGGTTCTGCGTAAAGTCTTGACCGCCTCGCTTGATGGGAGGCAGTTGAACCCGGCTCTGAGGTTGTCGTTGGCGAACGGGATCTCCCCTGAGGATTACCAGCTTGCGCTGCCTCTTCTCCTGGCGCATCGGGTTTCACTTGGGTCGACAGAGGAGCGTCGCGCTCGCGTTCTGAATACATATGACAAATTTTTGCAATTACTGGATAATAAGAAGGTTCAGCTGGAACAACGGTCTCAGGAAAATCCGCAGTCAGTTCCCGAGGAACCGACAGATTTCGGACGTCTCGCGGAGCAGGTACAGACAAATTGGCTGGGTAGCGAAGAATGGGCGAACAATCTGCTTTATGGTGGATCGCAGAGCAGCAGCGATGCGTTCCTGGAACTACCATTTGCGAAGGCCTGGGCAAAGGCGAAAGAATCAACCGTGGAGGATCTCAAGGCGGGTTCCTCTCGCGATCTGTTACTTGATCTTGACTCGCGGGTATCGCGCCAGCAGGATCGACTGAGCAGATGGCGCGAATATAGCAGCACTGCGACCAAGGAGAATGAACCGGTCAATACGGACTCGTTACTCTCAAATAACGCTGCAAGAAACAATCCAGTGGCTTTTAGGGACCACCAGGCACTCACTGTTGCCAGCATTGCCAAAGCAGTTCGAGAGCCTGAGAGTCGTGCTACACCTACTCAACAAGACCAATCCATTCTACTTTCTATGAATGAAGCTCTTGCGCGCATCGACGGCAAGTCGCGCTCATCTTCCGGGGAAACGAAGCCCCAAACATCTCCTGAGCCCGCAGAGCCTGCCACAAGCACTCCATCGCACGATCATAGTCCGCAGGAACCCGCACCAACCACCGAAACCGAGCCGGAACCCATTCCATCCCCAGACGACAACGACCATATCGACCCAGAGCCTTCAATAGATCATGCCTCCCCCAGCATAACCCTCACCGAACCAGACTCCGAACCCAGACTCTTCGCCCTAGCCGAACGAACCCGCAAATCCATGTCCCTCATCGCCCCACGCCCCAGCCTCCCACCACCAGAAGAGAAATCCTCCCGCCGCCAAAACCGAATGTCCTTCCCCGTGAACCCATACCAAACCCCGCCAAAGAAAGCACCGCCTAGGGCGCAGACTCCGCAGGATCAGCTTTTCGAGGAGAGCGCGGATTATGCGAGTGTGTTTAAGTCGCGGCCGCTTATTGCGCAGAGTCCTGTTTCTTCTCCGGCTGTGCATGTTAGTCCGTTGGGGGATTTTGATTTGGAGACGGATGTGGATGCGGAGGTTGATGTTGATATTGATGTTGATGTTGATGGGGAGTTGGATATGGACGTGGATGAGGGTGAGATGCGGGGTTTTGGTTCGCCTTCGATACGGCGGAGATGAATGGGTATTATTGTATTAGGGTAAATAGGAAATAACTATTGTACAGTGTCATTAAATCATGAGCAAATGTAATATACATAACCTGTTGTCCTGCACAACAAGGATCATTAGCCCTTCCTGCTTCTCGTTTGTCTGCGCGTTCGCGGCTGACATTCCTCTTCAGAGTCATGAATCTCATCAGGTGGAGGTGAGAGTTCCTCAACGGAGCTGGAGTCTTCATCATTGGCATTTGCATTTTCAATACCATCCTCATCACCGTCATCTGCCTCTCCTTCGTCATCGCTGTCCCTAATCTCAATTGCATGAGACTCAGACCGTGGACGAGTTTCTTGTTCTTGCCGTTCGACCACCAACCCCCCATCATCACCATCATCCTCACCCGGTAGAAGGAATCCACCCCCTCGATCCGCCGGATCTTCTTCATCCTCTCCTTCTCCTTCCTCCTCGTGTACTGTCTCTTCCTGACGCTCACGATCCCCAGGTCTAATCTGCTTCGCAAACGGATTAACCTCATCCTCCTCATAGTCCATAGCACCCCCATACTCCTCCCTAACGCGCTCCGCAATCCTCAGCCCAAACAAGAACTTCCTCCACGTCTGCAAGATGCGTTTCTCAGCCTTGAGCTGTTCCCTCTTCCGCTTCTCCGCTTCCTCCGCCATCCACGCATCCGTGACAACGCCCTCGTTTTCTTCTGCAACGACAACGCCCTCGATAACGGGAACGGCCATTTTGGATCCAAATTCGAAACCAGTCACTGCTTCGGCGTAGTCGACGCCTAGTTTCTTGCAGACGCGCACGGTCCCGGACCAAGGGATATGCACGGCGCCGCGGGGTACCATGGAGGGAACGAAGCAGTCGATGTTTCCGTAATCGTTTTTGGGTATTATTCCGTTCTCGATTGGTGGTGGGATGATGTATTCTGTTTGGTATTTTGCGTAGAGGCCTTGTTTCGGTTTCTCGCCAGTTTGGCGCTGTAGCTCGTCGACTTCGCGTTTACGGAGGAGGGTTACGGCGCGGATGGGGACGCGTTTCAGTGGTGCTTCGCCCATTTTGGTCTGCCGGCCTTCTTTGTGCCAGCTCTCTGCGGAGAGGCATTTTACTACGTCTGCGCGGCGGAAGACGTCTTCGTTTTTGGCTTTGGCGCCTTTGCCCGTTGTGAATGCGCGGACGGGTTTGGAGCCTGGGCGGAGGGCTTCTTCGCGGCGGAGAAAGCGTTCGAGGACGAATTCTGTGGAAGCGCGGAGGCTTTGCAGTGTGTCGCCTTCTTTGGCGGGTTTCTTTTCTGGTTGTTTGGGTGTGAGGTCTTGAGTGTTTTCGATGTCATCGACTGGTGTTCCCTGGTTCTGAGGTCGCTGGTAGATTCGGAATATCACCCGGAACCAGTCGTATTCGAAGAATTTCCCGTTTTTGCCGGGGATGGGGATCTTTTCGGCTGGCATTCGGTAGCCTTTCGTTTTTCCTGGCCATGTGCGGCGACGCAGATAGCGTGTTGTAACGTCTTTGGCTGATTTGTCTGGTGAGTATGCTATCACGTAGCATATGACTTGTTTCACTTTTTCTGCTTTTGCCCCGCGAGGTTCGAAAGCTGCTTGTAGCTCTGTAGTAGTTGCCACAGGATTCTTGAGTACTAAGGGGTCGACAGGGATGATCTGGTGGGTGATAGGAGATGCCACCTCTGTCCAGTAGATGGGAAACGGCAGATCTCGATCGTAGCGGGGGCTATTATTGCGACGTGATAAGACATTATTGTCTGGAGAGTCACTGTCACTCTCCTCATCCTCGTCCAACTCGGCTCCTGTTTCCGTCGCTTCTGCAATGCCGGGTTCTGAGGTTTCCGTTTTGGACTTCGGGGTATGGGTCTCTGCCTTGGTCCATCCGAATCCAAGAGGTTGTAGACTGGCCACTAACCTAGCTTCAATGTCCAATGCGCGAAGAAGCGCCGTGAAGAGCTGTGCACCTGTATCCCTAGAACCCTCCATGCGCTCCGCTGCCGACCGGAACTCGTCCACACTGGCAAATCGTTCTCCATGTCGCTCGGGGTCATGGTCATCATTGTTAAAGGAGCGTATTTCAGCATCCACCTGCGCCATGTGCTGGTATCCATGCTTGCGCAAACCCGGAGCAGTAATTTTGAACTGTTTCCTCCAGTATGCGGAGAGAATCTTGAGTAGGGAAATGACAGGATCTCCCAGACTCATATCCGGCTGTCCAGGTTCCAATCGCGACGAGCCTTCTCCCCAATCCCGTTCTGAATTCCGAGTTTGTTTCCCTTTTCCTTTCTTCTTTTTGGTGGATTTCTCCGGGGGTTCTGGTTCTGGGGGATCGAGCGCTGATGCGACTCGCCACTTCTTGATCTCCTTGTGAATTCCCTGGGGTAACCTGCGCCGGAGGGTATCGTGGACTTGAGAATCATTAGCCCAGGCGTTTCGGACGGCATTGTGAGCAAGTAGCAGCTGCACGTGTAAACAATGGGTCCTGATACGGATCTGGCGCTCAATCTTGGACGGGCCCTTTTTGCCATCAAGGAGGTCAGCTACGTGCACTTCGTTCTTATCGAGCGTCAATTCGAGATCCTGCGATTCAACGGCAGACGGGAGAAGAGCGGTGGTAGGTGCGGGCTGGTTCGTAGTATCTATGGCGTCTTCCCAATCCATAGCGTCATCGTCGTCGTCGTCGTCGTCGTCGCTCTCCTCGTCCTCTGATCCCTGGCCTTTTCCCTTGCTCTTCTCGGTCGCATCATTATTCCCAGGGGTTTCCTCATTATCAGAGTCAGGCGCATCACTCAATGGTGAGCCGTCTTCGGAATCCTCCACAACTGGAGCTTTGACAGCAGGGATCGCATGGTGGCGTTTGGCACTGGGGGGATCCTCGGAGGAGACGCGCTTGCGGGGGACGAACGGTGGCATGCAGAGAAGGTCAGCCAGAGTTCAATATTACAGGAATAGTTGGATTGAATAAAGAACTCGTGTATTGAGTTTTATGGCGTGATGAGGTGGTTGAAAGATGAAAGAATGAAAGAGTAGTGATGGTCGGAGAACCGAGGTCGACGATCCCTCCGGAACTTCACAAGTAGTTACGCTGTGTTGTAGTTGCATTCTTCTTCATACTCTCGAATCACACATAAACACATAACTACTATATCTACTAGAAATCACTATGGAAGCCGTCAAGCGTTTCTTCTCCTCTCCCCGGTTCGCCGTGGCCGGTGCCAGCAATGATGCCAACAAGTTTGGCTACAAACGTGGGGAATAGCCTCATGATTTCCCAATGAGGAAGAGTAACTGACTCTCTCTCTCTACATCTAGTGCTTGCCTGGTATCACCAGCACTCGCTCCCCGTCACTCCCCTCAACCCCCGATCTCCCCAGATTTCTCTCCCCTCCAAGGACTACGCTACGGTCGCCTCACCGTCCGCCTTGCCGTCGCCCACGCAGACGTCGCTGTCGGTCGTGACGCCCCCCGCGGTGTCGCTGTCGGTGCTGCAGGAAGCGCATTCGGTCGGAATCCCCGCCGTCTGGTTGCAGCCGGGCACATTTGATGATGCGGTGCTGCAGTTTGCGAGGAAGCACTTTGAGGCCGTGATTGCCGGAGATGGAGGCCGAGGAGGAGAAGGATGGTGTGTTTTGGTGGATGGAGAAGCTGGATTGGATGCTGCTGGGGTGCAATGGGGTGCTCAGAAGCTGTAATCTTTTCTTTGTTAGTGTTGAAGTACTAGTATTTTTTGTGAATGATGGATGCTAGGATATAGTCATAGTGCAGTAAAGTAACTTCAGCCTCACCATTTTCTTCACCTTCTTTTTCTCTCAACTTTCTTCTTTTTTCATCATTTTTCATCCTCACTTCCATTGTTCATTTTTTATCATGGAAGAGGATTTTTAGCCATCTAGATCATTAATTCTCCCACTGAATACTATTTCTCTTCATTATGCCCAGTTCGCGTGCCTCTTCTTCTCTCTACAGCTCCCCCGTCCATCACTCCCCCGTTCCACCAAAACTCGATCTGGCCGACGCTCATTCCCAGCTCTACCAGACGCCCTCTACCACTTCTGCTTCGTCTTCCCTCTTCAATACTATTTCTACGAGTTCTCGCAAACGATCCCGCACCGGAGGCTCCGATAAACGCCGTTCTCTGTATGATTTCTCCGCCGCTGCCGCTCACGATGGTGACGATCACCTCTATCGCTCTTCCTGGTTGGGTCGGGATGAAAATGTCTCTGGAATAGAATATGATCACCCGGATATCCGTGGAGAGCTACCTCTAGCTCCTCCTATCGATGCCAGTGTCGATCTTTTATCCAGTCACACAGGGAACACCCGCAAGCGCAGTCGTCAGGAACAGCAGGAAGGAGTTCAGGACAAGAAGGATGTTACTCCATCGCCTCTTCCGGCTAGCTGGGGTCAATCTGTGATGAATGCCGTGGGAAAAGTATGGAGTTTTTGCTGGTCGGGTGCGTTTCGTGGTTTCTATGCTGGGGGTGGTCATGGTTATCACATGTCTACGGATTCAGCGCCCCAGCTTGATTACAGTCACAGAGCTCCTTCTCCCTCGCAGTCCACGTCGACTGAAAAGACTGCTGTTGATGAAGCGACCGAGGGTACCTCTGCCTACTACTTCAAAGGCGAATCGACTCCCATCCCCGGCCAGTACCCCGATGACAACGAGATTCACAAAAACTGGGTCGTGGTTCAGACTGACGGTCCCGCGGACTGTTTCTCCTTTGGAGTCGAGGCACCAAACCCCGCGAAACGAGTGCACCGTATGTGCGGCACTGAAGATCTGTCTCCTACGCATCACAGGTCGACTGCGGTGCCACGCGTGGGTAAAAGGACCTCTCTTGGCGGACCAACCACCCCCACACGGATCCCAGTTCCATCCTCCAACAGCAAATCCTCCAACAGCAAATCCTCCAGCAACAAATCCTCCAGCAACAAATCCTCCAGCAACAAATCCTCCAGCAACAAAAAGCATCGTGATAGCCCCGTATCAGCTGAGACGCAGCGCTTCGTCGCGCAGATGCGGCGTATGGAGCGGGAGGAAGACGCAAATCTGCGACGTCTGAATCGACAGCTAGAGATGATGATTCAAGAAGGCAAGCAGGCATTGGGAGCCCAATTTGAGGTCGATGAACTGGGAATGGACTACAACTGATCCCTCCCCTTGCTTTTCGACTTATGCCTTTTTATATCCATCTGCGTCTCTCTTGATACCCCTTACCTTCTTTTGGAAGACATCTTTTACGTATTATGACAGGTTTGGCTTTTGTTTATTCAGCTGCTAGTTGGCAGTGGTGTTACGAGAAAAGTGTTATGAACTGAGTGCTATGACGACTGATGAGTCTAATGTATCTAAACGATCATCATTAATGTGACCACGAGAATTCGTCGGGTTTAATCTTACTGACTTTAGCCCACTCCCAAGGTATCCCATCAAACTGAAAGCCCCCAATACACTGTTCAAAATCTGCGAGAACCACAAAGAACACCGCATCCAATAACCGAAAGCGCCCTGCAAATTCCCCCAATCAGCAAGTCATCACAAATCACGTTGAATAACAAATAATATTCACCCTTCAAGAGCACACAATGCCAGCGTCGCAGCCCAAATACCATCAACCCCCTTTTCATAGCGCTTCCTGTAACATCCATGATTTCTATGCCCACCACATCCCGGGCGATTTTCATCCACCAAGACCGCGATCGTTATCACCCATAGTATCAAAGTAATGACATTGCACGCGACGGCAGACCAGAGTTTAAAGAGACTCTTTGCTATAAACGATGTGGTTATGATGTATATAGTCGCGAGGATCGTAGCGATGGCCTATTTATCAACCGAAAATGTAGTGTCAGTAAGCGATATGATGGGATGGAGAGGTTGGTGCTTAGCATACCGTAAACATAGCCAGAGCATATCCGCTGGGTGCTTCCTCTGACAGTTTAGCTGCAGAGCAGCCGATGACCGCTAGGGCGACGAGTGATTGTAGGGTATGGATAGCGATTGGGAGCATTTTGTGTGTAGGGAAGAAGTTGGGTTCGAGGGATGTTGGTTAGCTATTATTTTCTATTTACCTTTCTACTTTTTCCAGAAAGATAATATCATCATGGAGCTAGAGGTACTGATGTGGGCACGGGAATAGTGGAGTGATCTGTGGTTCCCCATACTGGTCCGTCCTGTTCTGTGGGTGAGCGATTCGGTTTCCTGGATGGTTCCAACTATGCAGAGTACAAACTCGAATATCACAGGACATATCAGCAACGGGGATTAAATAGTAGATCTAATAATCTCATCTAGCTATAACCAAACAATTTATACCCATTTCACAGTGCGTAATTACTTCCCCACAGTTCACTCCCCGTTAGGGTTCTCAATACCAAAAACGGAAACTCCCGTGTCCCGCCCACGTGAGCGGAAGCCGGAATGGCAAATTGTTGGCGAAAGCTCATTACACCACCTTTTACAACGAAGTCTGTCTTCTGATTCTGCACTACTGCAAATTAGACGGAAAATATGAACGGAGACCCATATTTTCATGAACCGCGAGCTAAGCATGCATGTGAACCATGTCGGTGAGTGGAATAGCGTTATTCTCGTCTAAAGCCGATGGCAGATGCTGACTTCCAGCAGGAAGAAAAAGACGAAATGCCCAGGCGAGAAACCGATATGTTCGTTTTGTCGGAGGCTGAGTCAGAGATGTGTGTATTTGCCAAAGGATAAGGTTGGAACTGTGGCATTTAAGGTAAATTAGTATATTGGATGATTTGAGAATTGCGCTGAGTGGCAAGTCCAAAAATGACTCGAAGGAACGGCTGCATCGGTTGGAAATGCAGGTGGAGCGGATGCATGATACTATTCAGTTCGCCATACTCTAGACATTACTTTGAGAGTGTTGCTGATGGTATGTTAGGGCATTGAGTGGGCAGACGAGACCTACAGCGCGGCCGGAAGGCTCTGCGGTGACCCTGCCTTCTTCCGTAGGCTTTGATATTCATGCTTTGTATGAATTTCATTAACCCTATTTTCCGGGTATCAGGGCTAACTAAACAGCCCTCATCCCCCTCTGGAAGTACTGCCCTACTTTGTTGAGATCTACAAATCCCGGATACACATACAACCTCTTCCGCTTTTCAATCCTACCCTTTTACACGAACAGGTTGCTCTCTTTCCACGGTATTTACTGCGGTCACTTTTAGCAGTTATATTGCCCTTCTCGGAGCATCCGTTCTATGGCGCTTCCAAAACAGAGGCTGTGGACTTTTACATCCGGTCTGCTCGGGAGACGGTAATTCTTCGAGCGGCAGAGGGCATTTGTACTATGGAGCTTTTACAGGCGTTGTGCTTGCTGACTTTGTGTGATATTGCCGGTGAGCTCATACTTTCAGTCTTAGTAGAGACTTATTTGCTGATGTCTTGTACAGCCGGAAAACAAGCTAGAACGGTAATGAACATAAGCATAGCATCAAGGCTCGCCAAAACCCTCAAATCCAACCATCCCGAAACCTCTCCCAACGAAGACAAAGCCAGATGCTGCTGGAGCATCTACATCCTAGAACAAGTTTTCACCCCAGGTCCAAACACTTTACAAACCGACACCTACCCCCTACTCAACACACCCGCGCCCCCCAGTCCACCAAAACCACCCCTCCCAGCAGACTTCCAAACACCAAAACCACCATCCAAACAGACCTTAGGCGGCAGCGCCAGCGACCAAGGAATCATAGGCTACTGTATCCAACTAATCTCCATCTGGGGAGAAGCAACCACCTACATGCGGCAAATCCACACCGGCCAAATCGAAGACGCCTGGCTCTCCACATCGACATACCACCGGCTAATTGCAGAATTTTACAAATTCGAAGCAAGCCTGGCGCAAGCGCACCGCTACAAAACTGTCAGGGAGCACCTGAAATCTGCCGCAGAGGTTGCGCAGTATAAAGAATACTGGACAACCTGGCTCCTTCTGCAGACCATGTTCCACACCGTCCAGGCACTTCTCAATCATCCGCTTTTTCACATCGCGACGTCTAGAAAGCCGGATTCTAGCTTTACTCTGAGGCCGCCATCTTTCTTACAACATGTGGTTGATCAGGCGCTTATGCATTCTGGGTGGACGGTACGGTTAGTGAGAATGATGGAGGAGCTAGGGATGAGGATTTGTGACCCGTTTATTGGGTATCAGGTTGTGGTTACGGCGACTGTGCATTGGATTTTTGCGTTTGCGAGTGATGATACTGTTGCTGAGCGGGCGTGTTCGGATTTTGAGAGGTGTCGTGGGCTTATTCTGGGTATGGTGGGGGAGTGGCCGCATTTTGGGCAGGCTGTAAGCACCCATCTCCTCTGAATAAAGACAGAAAGTCATGGCTGACAAGAGCACAGATAAACGGACTAAACTACCTCCAAAGCCTCATCCAACAAAACGACAGAACAACAGGTCACCACGGCATCCCGTCCTTCAAACTCTCCGTTTTATGGGACTTGCTAGATCCCATGTCCATAGGTCGAGGCACTGACACACCCTCGCTGCAGCCACTAAGCTCTATAGGAGAGCGTATCCCCACGCAGTATGTAGCCCAGTTACACGAGCCGTCAGAAAATCGGGAGGACAATGGAGACAAACACAACGAAAGAGGGTTTGAGGATGCGATGGGGGATGCGCAGTCGTCGATGTATTTCCATGATCCGTTGATGGATGAGGAGTTATTGGGGTCTTTTGATATACCTGTTTCGCCACAGTTGCATTTCTTGTCTTTTGGGGATTTATAGATTTATAATGGACGAAAGAACTTTATTTAAATTTAATATACATCAGTATTCCAACAGTCTTCTGATCACTGCTGAAAGTAATCATGTCTAGTCCTCCCCCAGGGATAAAGCTCATCAGTGAACGCGCGAAGTTGGCGAACAAAATTCTTATACCAGGCGCCCTCTTTTAAAAGCAGGAATTGTCCTAAAGCAAATCTCAGTATGTCACAAGAAATCGTCGTCAGAATAAGGTTGGTAGATCCTCACATCTTCCCACCAAGGCGGCGAATCCGATACACCTCATGGGGAAAGCCATGACCGAGAGTCCCGGGGAAAGCATCTTTTTCGACGTCAACAACAATATGGATCTTTGGATCGGACTGGGTATATCGGGGTTGGGTGGTTGGAGGCGAACAAAGTGACGGCCAGTTTCAAGTTCTTGGGTACTTCTGTTGGTATGGCTTTCGTCCCCTCGCCACCTATATAGCCTATGCTTACTCGGTTCTTTTGACCGAGTTGACCAGCGGTTCTCACTGTTTCCAAGTGAATATTACACATCGGCGCATAATGAGTTTCTGCGCCAAAACACACATTTTCCCATCCCGACGAAGCGAATCAACAGTACTTCATGCACGTTTGTTGAAGTATACTACTACCACCACACTCATAGTCGTCTATCATTGGTCGAACAACTAATGTGGGTACGGATCGAACGTCCGTCTTCACATACCCTATACGGAAACTAGACCTGCATAAATAACGGGGGATATGCGAATGAGGGTGCTGGGTGGGCAGATGCGGAGGGGAGTATTGGGTTTTGAGCGAGGGGGTGCGTTGAGGCTGGGGTTTCTTTTGTTACGGGGGAGAGGGGGACGGTTACGGAGTTGGTTACTGCCCTGACGAAGCAGCAGAGATGAACAAGGGCTTCCCGGTGGTGATTAACCTGAGTACCGGGTGGTTTGTGTCTCCTCCAACGCCGGGGAGCAATATCCTTAATTAAGATGGCGAGACATGGGTATGGATATGAAGCAGGGCAGAGCTTTTCTGCGTCGTCTTACTCTGCGCCGAAATTGGCATTGAAGCAGCAGGCACAGTTTTGCCGAATGATGCAGAACAGGCATTGCGAGATGGATTGGCGTTTGTTCCTACCCAGATTCAAGGATCGACCATTTATCCAACGGCGACTGTGTTGGTATACGGATACGCCCAAGGGAGATTTTATCGTCGATTACCATCCCGAGTATGAAAATCTGTTCATTGCCACAGGCAGAAGTGGACAGTATGTTCCCCTCCACTGACTGCATACTGACTGAAGCAGTGGATTCAAATTCCTCCCAGTCCTGGGCCGCTATATAGCAGATAGCTTCGAGGGAAGTGCTTCAGAAGAGCAGAAGCGGAAATGGAGGGCTCATTTGTAGTCAATCAAGGCCAAACCCTTGAAGACAAGTCCAATCAGTTACAGAAAGAAGTCCAAAGCAAAGCAACAAGGACTACGGAGTACAAATTAATGCCCTGAAAAACTTTCACACTCACCAAGCCCTCCGCAACAGGTCCCACCGTTAATGCAGTGGAGACCAAAGTAACGGAACCACCCTATCAAGCACCATAATCGTCTGACGCGGATAGTCTACTCGCTTCCAGACTTTCCTCTCCGTACAACGCGCCATAATCCAAGCGAGGCCCCACAACAGCCCGAAAATTCGCCTTTGGTTCAATCTCTGCGTTTTACCGGTTTGGGTATCTTACCTCGGGTTGACAGGTGCCGACTGAACCTACTCCGGAGTAAAGTGGATTGTCCGTACCCGTACAGAGTGAGGCAGAAAATCCATGACCCGCCAAGATATGTAGAATGCGCTGTAGAAACTTGATGGAAAAAAGGGCTGCAAGGGACAGGCCAATCGTTTTTTGTTGTGTGACGGGTAGGAAGTGTATCTGAGTTGTACTCCAGAGTAGCTGTGAGGACTGGAGTGATTGGTTATTGTGCGGTATCATACCCACTGGGTATATTTCTAGGGCGACCACTAGGAGTATGTACAGAGTACATAGTACTTGGAAGCCAATTCTAACTGTGATCATCCAAGCAGAGTGACGGATCCTAACTGAAATACTGAAGCTACTTTGTAAGTACAGAGTATGTACAGAGTAGTACGGGATACAGGCTGTACCTGCACCGATGCTCTTGTAACTGTAACTGTATGTACCACGGGACAAAAAAAAAAAAATGCAAGCAGGTGTTCCATACCTCACTCCGCTGTACATTCCATTCATCTTCACCTCGATGTACTCTGTATGTTTCTCCGATCTAGAAATCTTCTCATGCCTCATTCATGGCAGTTATCCCTCCACGCCTCCACGAGCGATTAAACATGGTGTTCCAGACAAGACCAGTAACCAATCAGATCGCCACAATTGCAATACAGGATTAAACGGGTCCACTACGTCATAGTGGTGCATACCAGGGCCCAGCTACTAGAAAGGCAGGCGGTGACACTTCCTACTTCCACCGCCAATAGGAAGATCGGAACGAGGAAGATGAATCAGCAAATGATGCCTGAATCGCAAGGGGTGTGATGCCCAGGTAACACTTTTTGACTAGCGCAATGCACCATGTGGGGTGCCATCCACCAATCATGTAATTCTTTTTGGAACTGGGGTATCCGCGGAACGAGCAACAGGGTGCGATACTTACCGGATTAGGCAAGCTACCCCATGCTGAAAGTGTCTTGGAATCGGTTAAGTCGGAGATTGAGGTGGTGAGGTGGACCCTGAAAGATTTCTCATTGGGTCTTGGCAATGCGCGGTTTGTTTTTCGCTGATTGTGCTTATTTACTCAATTTATTACTACTGTTTTTGATTATTGTGTGAAATCTGCCGACTGAGCCGGGTGGATTAACTATTTTGACTTTTTTGTGCTGCTGCAAGGCACGCGCCCCCAGTAGAACCCCCGACTCTTATAAAAGGCGGCTCGCGTCTCCTACACGCCGCCCCGTCTTCGCCTCCTCTTCTTTTCTTGCTCCCTTTTGTTCTTTTCTTCGTGTGTTGTTGCTCTCTGATTGATACCTCCCGTCCCTTTCTCTATCCAGATCTCTTCAATCGGTTTATTTCTCCCCCCTCTCTACAATCACAATGCAGTCCTGGATCTTCAAGTTCGGTGCCCTCGCCGCCCTGGCGCAGACCATCTCCGCTGCTCAGCTTCACATCGAGACCACCCACCCTTCCGCCAACAAGTACAAGTCTCACTGCACCGTCATCGTCGAGGAAGAGATCTTCGGTTGCAAGGGTTCCTCCAGCCCCTTCCCCGGTGGCTGCGGTGACAACTCAGGCAAAAAGGAGGCTTCCATCTGTGGCGACAACACCATCCAAGTCGACTGGCATAGCGCCCAGCTCACCTTCAAGAGCTCCGATGGCCGAGAGGCCAAGTGTGTTCTGAGCACCACCTCCCAGTGGGGTGAGTGCAACACCGACGACCCCAACCAGTACCCCCTTGAGAACGGGGCGAGCGGCCTGTTCGATGCTGGCAAGAGTGTGCTCTACGGGTTAACGCCGATCGCTGCTGGTTTGCTTCTGTGAATTTGAAAACGAAGAAAAAACACGATCAAGCGCTAGGAACAATCCGAGAGAGAAAGGGAAATGTGGGAGGTGCTTTCTGAGGTCAGTACTGGTATGCTCCATGTCCTGTCTTTTGTTTCAAGGACACTTATCTGACCTTTGCAGGCAAGGGGACCAGCTTAATAGACCTAATCTGTATTCGATATCTTAATTCCCATAATAATAGATAGCCCTCTTTGTCTATATTATGCACAGCCAAGTTTCTGTTTTCCCGCACTTTTGTACATTATGAGTGTATTGATACACGTCAAGCATGATCAATCAGACTACATTATTATTCTTATTATCACGCTTTTACTTGCCATGGACCCATGCGACTTTTTTTCTACCCGTCCCCGACCATGGTACACTCGGGTCTGGATCGATTCGAAGAATATTCTATCCATTCTTCCGGTCGCTGTCAGTACCCTGTACCCTGTACGTCCATACATCTACATACATACAGACACAGATACAGAACAAAGTACGACCCTTAGCACATCCTCCAGATTCTGCTCCCCCCCCCCCCCCCGCAGTCTAAGCCCCAACATCCTATCCCATCCCCAATCCTTCAGCTCACAGATCAAACCCGCCAGGCCAACCAGCGGCTAGCTCGCCTCTTGCCTCACGGCTCACGGCACACCGGGCGCACCGGTCGGGCCAGCACACGGACCGGACTAGTTAAGAGGCTAGGCTAGCGCTTCTTCCACCTGTTCCGGCGGTCAGTCGGGGTCTACGGCACCATCCTATGCAGATAGCAGATAATAGTAGATACTCGAGGGTACGGAGTACAAGACTGAAGGAATGTCTCCGGACTCGGTAACATTTTCCATCGTCTCGTATTCATGGTATGTATCGTACCCCTGGGATTCTGTCGGCATTCACCGCCTACTTTGTTCGATCCGCGGAATTACTGTACTTTAGTTATGTCAATCCTCTGTTTCATTGAAGTCAAGAAATCGAGAAATTACTATTTACTTGGTGTGCTTGGCAGTAATGCTCATTCATGCTCGGCAAAGAAGAAGAAAATTGAGACACTCATCGCACACCGTACACCGTATCTACAACCCGATTTCCAGAATATCCATCCTCCAGGAACAAGTTGTAATTACTTCGTACTCGTATGTACTCCGTCTGTATGAGCTGACAGACCGTATTGCATCATGTGGACCTCGTAAAACTCCAACAGAGCTTAGCGGGACAATAGTTTATGCTAACCTGTTACCGATTAATAGGCCGATGATAGGCCGGTTGGCCGTCCGCGTGATTCGTACAGAGTAGCTATCGGCGGAGTCGTGTCTGCATTGTTTATCATTGCATCACTGTGTGGTTGCTTGCTTTTTGGGTTGCATAGCTGTGAGATAGGAGTTTTGATTAGAATGGGACGTGACTCCCACATAGATAATCGTGGGATGGATGGCATTGGTATGGGGTAGGTAATTAGACGGTTACTGAGGGTTGTGGGATGTTTCTTTTGGTGATGTTGGGATGAAATCGCCATATTCCGTAGTAGAGCTGATAACCCGAAGACAGATGTACATAGTACTCCGAATTTCAGGGACCTTTCCTGACTATTCCATATCTAGCGACCAGTTGAGATCGATCTTGAAACCATGATATTATCAACTTGAAAGACAGGCGCTGTCTAATCTACTGTACTAACGATGTCCCCCCCCCTCAATTACCGCATCGGTCCTCCAGAATTCACACGGGAAGAGTTTTGAGTCCTCTTTCAAGATAGTTGTCTGGGTAGTCACCCTGTTCCGGGACTTTAACGAAACTTCAAACCCGATCTCAGTTGTCGCACGTTATTCATTCAACCCCCACGGTATAGTATAATGGAATGTAAAGCCGTATAAAAGCACTTGTATGTCAAGCGGCTGGCACCTGGTATGTATGGCACAGCTTACACAAGGCAATGACATCCACTGTTTCTGATTCTGTCGCTTTGGTTTGACGTCCGTGAAATTGGTTGCAGAAGGCTTTGTGCAATTGGTGTGGGTCTTTGAATGTCTTGCATGTAATACTTGCTGTGTTGATATTTGATGCTTGCTGCTGGATAGCACAGCTCCGCAAGGGTTTGATATTTAGTTGCAACTGGTTGACATTTTTTGGTAAAAGGTATAGGGTGTGGTGCCCCGATAGACCATAGCTCCCTCGTGTAGACGCTGGGCATTTCTGAGACTGGAAAGACGAGTTGAGGCGTTATGGTCAAGAACCGTATGACATGTCCAAACCAAGTCATGGATATTTTCAAGTGATTGCGCTGAGCCTTATGCAGTCTGGCGAGCTTATCGAACTCACTGATATCCTGAAAAGTCTTGAGGACTTTTGTCTCGTGAGTATGAACCAATTCTTGGCTAGGTGCCTTTTTGCATATTCTTCCTTGGGGAGAGCTAACATTGTTTCCCCAATGCCGGGATACCCCTTATGAAGGAGACTTCATTCTGGACATGACCAACCACAGTAAGCACTGGATAATATAACAAAAATATGACGCCAGTCCAGAGGACGGTTCTCAACCACTCTTTCGTGTATGAGCTTAGCCCTCGCTTCTGCTCGCCATTGCTTGACAGGTTGACTTGGCGGTCTTGGATGCAAACTGTGATTCTGTATGAAGCTGACGCCGCAGTTGATTTCGCTAAAGTCAACTCGCTTGTATTCGAGGATTACGACAAACTCAGTAACGACTCGGCCATCGCATTAGGTCCTCTATGATCAACGCTGTTTTGGTGACGAAGTTGACCACTGTTGAACGGTTTACCAATCCACAAATGGACATACTATTCTGCGTATGTCAATCTACAATATCTGCAGTCTTAACGGCTGTTCTGCAGTAGACTCCAGTACTCAGTTTTGAACTGCCGGATCTATCATGCTAGATCCGATACCACTTTATCGAACGAGGCGAGAATAAGTTCTGACCTTGTGTCGCACCAGCAATTGGTTGCGTTGTGGACAACGTTTTTCTGGTGCCCATACGCAATGAAAGCGCGTCAGGTCATATGGCCTCCATCACTCTCCTGGGAATAGGGGCTTGATCATGTCATCGAATTGCGGTGGTCTTTGGGCATCACTTCAAACCTGGGGGGTTGAGCGGGTTCAGCAATTGGGGACAAGATCTGGGAATGCCTAGATACGCATATCCAGGTTGCGTTAAAGCTTGAGAAGAGACTTCCCAACATAGTACATCAGTCACATTGGTTGCTGTTTGATATCATGCTGCATCAGGATGCATTAATTCTCATCCTGATCCCTGATATTTTCTCGGTATCGCCATATATGTCACTGCCACCCTGGTAGAACGCTCTATCCATTCCTGTAGAGTCCTCGAAATTCCCGTCAAAAGACGGTCTTTGTACTCCGTAAGTCTCTTTGACCATACGCTCAATCAAGAGCCGCTTTTTATGGACCATGGCTGGTGGGGATCGACCTGCAGGCAAAGACGGTTTATTTGAAAACTGTCTTGGTATTTCTAATCAGCCGGCACGGCCTTAGCTCAGTTTGATTAAAAGATGCCGCAAAGGTAATTGGCACAATATGAGTCCAAGTAGCATGTCAATGGCGACTTTATCCAGATTTTCAGGTTTTGGTTCCTGCGCCTCGTTTCCTCAAATGCTGTTCTGGTGGATGAACGGTCCACCAGGTAGTCTGTATATGCATTGGTTGCCCTCCTGATTCTGAATATCTTCTCCAACATCTATTAAAGGTATATCTCGTACTGCCACCTTAGTAGCTTTTTCTCACCCATTTGGTGCTGGAAATGCTCTACCGATTTTTCCAGTTCCCCAATGATAGCCTTTCGAGGCCTGACTTGACCATACTTTGATGAGGAGTTTCTTTTTCTGGCCCATTGTGACGGCTCAACGGCTCAACGCCAGACAAACAGCGCCAACATATCAAACGATGCCATACAAGCAATATGGGCAAACAAGGGCTTAAGCCGCACCACACAAATGCCTATAAAGACCGTTCATCGTCTAGATAGATTTCCTTTTCTTCTTCTTCCCCAGATTCGATATTCTCGTCGTTAGGCTACCTAGTCTAGATATGAATATTATTCGTTTTATCTGCTAGTTTCCGAGCCCGTGACACCCATGGAAGATACGCAAGCAAGCTCGATTTCCCGATTATGCGGTACTGCTATGGATCAGCGAGTATTCAGTCGACCGGAAATATATCGCGATGGCATTTGGCGCATATGAGTCTAAGTAGCGTGTCAATAGCCGACTTGATTGCTTTGTTGTAGACTTGACCAGACACTCCCGGGTTGACGGCGCGGCATATCCGGTCAAAAAGCAGGTAAGAAAAATTAAACCTCAGCAAGTGAATAAATGCAACAACAATTCCTCACATGCGCAGTGAATCGGAAATAAAAATGCATAGGATAATGATACATTATCAAAAAATGTAATAAAAATAAAAATTAAAAAAAAAAAATGACCGACGCAGGGGTCGAACCTGCAATCTCTTGATTCGTAGTCAAGCGCCTTACCATTGGGCCAGCCGGCCGCTGTTGATATACCTTTCTAAGGTTTGCCTACATAAGCGAATCATGGTTTGCAGTGCCCCTAAAATGATCAGTGCAGGGATTATGCATGCCTTTCTACATCCATTGTTTTGCATACTAAGTTGTTGGTGATATGGATTGTGATGTGTGAACCGGGGACCGAGTACATATGCTACACCGTAGTCGGAGAAATTAAAGAATAATAAGAACTCGTTCCATACGGAGATACCGAAACAGCGATGGATGATACATGTCTAATTAACTGATGTCTCCTGTCTAGGTCAATATCATTTTACAGAGTACTACTACTAATTATTGGATGCATGCATATGCAGACAGCCTGCAATGTTTGTGGCGAGCACAGCTTCTACACTCATGCGGAACCGAAGAATCAAAGAAAATGAACATCGTTCTTAGGTATCTATACACACAAAAACATATTATATCCCAGAAGAGTCACCAAGAAACCCAAAACCAGACTTCTTCTATCGTCCCAATAAAAAAAAAAAAAAAAAAAAAACCCCCCGAATCAAGACAATTTCAATCATGAACACAAACACCAGGACGCCGCGCTAATCATATACCGAGATATCACCAATTAATATATATTCATACATGTAAACAGGAAGAAATCACGTCAACTTTGGCTGAAACTTGGGATTCGTGCGAATCCGCTCCCCGTACTTGAGTAGGAAGAACGATGTCGGGGCGAACGCCACCGCGATGAAGCCCAAAATGCTGTTGCCCCAGCCCAGACCAACGCTGGCGTATAGATCAGGTCCGGCAAGGGGAATGATGGCACCGAAGACACACCGGATCGAGAGTTCTGCTGCAACGGCACTGGCTGCGTAGAGCGTGTAGGCGTCGACGAGGTATACTTGAGTTACCAGGTGCACGTAGTAAATGCCCAACCCGACGAAGAAGGTTCCCGCGATGGTGACGAACCAGTGCAGACGGTACTCGGCTGCCCAGCCGTACCAGAAAAGACCAATGGGAACGAGACAGCAACCCAAGACCAGAGGCGGGAGACGGTGTTCCGGCTTCATCTTGCCGTGTATGGCTTCTTGTTTCTTGAGGTAGCGGTCGGAGAAATACCCAACAGTAATCTGGCCGACGCAGAAGCCCAGACCAAGACCAAGGTATCCCAAACCGGCCTGGCCAGGGCTGAAGTTGTAGACTTTCTCAAAAACTTCGGTGAATGTTGTGAATAGCACGTACATATAGCTGTAGGTGACGGCGCTGTAGAGGGAGACGATGAGGACGACTGGTGATTTGACGAGGAACATGATTGGGCGGGTGATGGAGATTCTCATGAGTTGGCAGACGGTCTTGTCCTGCTCGAACTTGGTTTTGTAGTGAAGGCCAGTGGCTTTTGAGAGCTTCTTGGCTTTGCGTCCGAGGAGGATGGGAGCGTATGTTTCGCGCAGGAAGATCATAGAGACAATCACAATAATGGCGCCCTTGAGAGATATTAGCGAATGAACATAATATGATACAGAAAGCTTAGGCAACTCACAAGAATAGCCTCGATCCAGACAGTCCATCGCCACCCAACAGTCTCAACGATATAACCACCGAAGATCGGGCCAGTCACATATCCCTGCACGAACTAATTAGCAACCCTAAACTAGACAATATCAACCTGGAAGAACCTACCAGCAACGGCCCAACAGTCCAAACTGTCATAGCAGTACCACGCTTCTCCATAGGCATAAGATCCGCAACAAACCCTCCTCCCACGGTTACTGGCACGGAACTAGCCATACCCATGACGAACCGCGAAACGATCAACATGGGCATGTTAATACTCGCAGCACAGACAATCGCCGCGATCATGAACAGGGTATTTGCCGCATGTGTCAAAGGCAGTCTTCCGCAGACTTCGGAGAGAGGTGTCAAGAAGATAGGTCCAATTGCGGAGCCCATCACGTAGATGGAGACTATGAGCGATGAGATGGCCGAGCTATTCGAGTTGAACTCTTTCTCGACTTGGGGTACGCCGGGAGCGAAGACGGTTGAAACCATAGATCTGGAACATGGCAGTCAGTAGTGTTCAATCAATGGCACTGTGGCAAACATACACGTTGAAACTGCTGACAGATATTAACCCGATGGTCAACCATTTCCGAAACGGTGACCAGTTCATCGGGTTCTGGGGATCATCATCGCCGTCCCAGTGGATGATGTTCTCTTCCTTGTCTTGAAAAGACTCAACATCACTGTCACTGCTGATGGCACCTGCCTTGGTGTGCACGATGCCCTTTTCTGCGACAACAGGGTCTACATTTCCGAGAGTGCTCTGCGACCCGGGAGTGAGTGTGGAGGTGGAATTTCTCGGAGCTTGGGTAGACATGGTCAATCAAAGAAGGACCAAAAAAAAAAAAAAAAAAAAAAAAAAGGAATGGAGAATTGACCGAGCACCCAAAGTCTGGTCTTGAAGATTCTGATATTCCAAAATCAACGGAGCGCATGGCCGTAGAAATAGTCAAACAATAGGTCTCAGTGGCAATGCGAAAAAAGAAACAAATTGTATACAAAAAAAAAAAGTACAACTATTATTGAGTTTGGAGACAACGCGCGTCCAGGTACTAGGGGATATCTTCTGTCGGATCTGGTATGCCTGGCCCTTGCTGGTTCGGCCAGTGAGGATGCGCTGTCAGTCCTTCGGTTGTTCTTCTCCGGCTTCCAAAATAGCCCTCTCCCATTATGCGTGACCCAGTTCCAGCCCAGATACATCACGCAGAGATCTTCATGGCGCATGCATTGCATTGGAACCTCATATTTAAGCACGAGGATATGACGAATCGGTCCCTGGACCCTTGCATTGGCGCCGTGATTCTGCACCATGCGTTTCCGTTTCCCCCAAACATTTCCAATAAGCTTACAATGTCCATGGAAAACAGTTTATCGCAGCCCTGTAGATCACCGTGAGAGAAGCATTTCTTGGTGATCCTCTGGTCTACCAACCTATCTTCTGATAAGCTCCACATGGATTCGTAGGTTGTCTAGCCAAGCACCCCTTTCTGATCACATCACCGGCCTTCCCCTTCCCAGTTGCTATGGCAGAAAACGCACCGCCCTCCGCGTGTAGCATGATTCAGCGGAGACATCCCTTGGTTAATCCCATGGGCCAAGTTGACGTGGCATTGTTCCCCCAAAGTCGTCATGGTGAACGTGTGTTGGGATTGTTACGCAGCGTCGAAAGTGCCTGTGGCGGCTGGGTGTGACCACCCTGCAGAGGTACTACCACTACGGAGTAATGGGATTTCGCATTTCGCGAAGCGCGCGCTGGCAAGTCCGATTGAACATGGACATGGTTCCTGAAGATAACGAGTGGAGGAAATAGAGTGAAACAGATCCGCGGTGTTCCGTGTTATCACAAGTTAGATTCTCCATGATCCGGAAAGTTAATATCCCAGATAGCCAATACGAATGAATACCGCCACTAAGGTTCTCACATTCGATACACTACTATGTACTACAATTTCATGTATTGACAAGATGCATCCGGGGATTTGCTGGTTCTCAGTAACCTTTCCGGCCGAGATATGTAGATCTACTATGCATGACCTCGGGCCACACAAGACCCTGGGCCCACACTTGCCTCATGGGGCAAAGATTGACCATCGCTATCGGTTCTCGGGAGATCCCCCGCGGATGATGACTTGGCTTTCCAAGCATCGTTGTCACTTGGGACATCTTTCATAGTCATAGCATGCGTGTTCGCATTTCGATATTGACTTGTTATGCACTGGTCACCGTAACGGTAACGTCACATGTGGCCAACATTGGGACATATGATGTTTCCGTCAATTAATTGTGGCGGTCGTGGCGGTAGAGGAATGAATTGGAGGCCCCGAGAGTAGGATATGTAGGATATGTACCGGCGGCACTACACAGCATGGACCGATCTGCAGACCTGCAGACAGAACCTAAATTTTGAGTACAATTGGCGCAGAGGTGGGTATGGAGAACATTCGAGCCAACTTGGCGAGCTCCATTGATATTTCTGGTGATGTTGCATTGTTGCAATATTGAACTGTGCTGAGGTATGGACGGTCAGCTGCCAGCATAGGGGAATTTTTTACCCTTTTTGGTAACTATAACTACTTTTTTTTTTTTCTTTTGCATAGATAGTCGATGGTGCCATATGTCGCAAATTGAACTGCAGTACGGAGTAGTCCGGTCAATATTCCTTCTCCCCGTCTTGAACAGACCTCGGTTTGGCGGATATGTAATGTAAGAGATGGCCAGTCAAAAGCCGGGGATTTTCGTGGCACCGGGTCTCCAACATGGAGATGGGATTTCACCCATGGTTTCGCCGGTCTGTATTTTCAGCTTGACCCGAAAAACGGACATCCTAGAACCGTTCCCCACATGGCATTTGTCATGTAGTTGGAGAAGCATATATCACCGTGATTTTCCAATAATTGATTCTCTACCCCTGTAAACTGTACAATCTATCACTCACAAGTAGACGGGCCTCCTGCGAAAGCCGGAAATGCAGCATCTCAGACCGTATCGCACCACACAAGCTCGATATAATGCCCCCTAAAATATAGATTGGTTTTCCGATTTGGTGATGTACTTTGCGGGAACCATCGCGCCGTATTGTGACTGATCACATTGTCGTCCAACTTCGCAGCTTTCTTCTGTTCTTCGCTGCAGCAGCCACGACACTGCCATGATGAAAGTACGAGACTATGCCTGTCGAGCCACCCTTGAAGGTTGTCTGTCTGCAAATTTCCATCTATTTGAAGACACGGAATGCTGAATTTACACCAATTTGGATATGCAGGTTTCCTTTGTAACTAAGAATATAGAATTGATGCTCAAATCCTATGTTCGCCAACAACGAGTGGCTGAATAAAGAGCTTCCCAAAAGTATTCAAGATGAGAAGAAAACAATTTATGGCGAACGAAACCGAAAAGGAGAATGTATTTAGCAAGCTACACTTATACGCAGTGACCCCCATTCTAGTCTATTAGCAGCATGGAGGCTGCAGTTCTTCCATTCTCCAAAGCAGCGATGATGACAACAAGGAAACAATCCTTTGGCACTTTCGCTATTGTTGGATACTTCTCGCTGACCAGAGGCCGGGACAGACTAGCTTTCCACTTCCACTTGTCACCAACCAAGGAGATAGGAGCGGATCTCTCGCCGTTAACAAATGCCTGAACGGAGGTAACACTGACAGAAGAGTCGTTTGAATGCAGAATCCCATCAACAGAGACCCGTCGAACCTCGAGGGTAGGTACTTCTGTTTTCTCCCACGTGGCCGAAAGAATATCAAGAATAGGCTTTGCTTTGATCGAGCCACGAAGACAAGAATCGCCCAAGGGTATATAGTCCGATGGTACCGAAGGCGTCAACGGCGGGGAAATCCGGAGTCGGGATGTGCTCTCATACGCATACGAGTATCGTAACAGGTCACTATCTGCATACGCCTTGGTCGCAAGGGTTAAACCAACAGGCATATCTTTCCCCTCAATATTGCCCATAGGAACAGTAATACAGGGGATTCCAACATGCTTGAGGGCCCGACCACCATTGGCGTACTTGACCCCATCCTGCAGCGCATGGAACATCGATTCGGGGTTTTCGTCGGCATCGGCATACGGGACATCACCGTTGGTGGGAAACGCGATGAGGTCGAAGCCATTTTCGTCCATCCACGCTTCGAATTCTCTCTTTCGCATATCCTCCAGCGCCTTCGTTGCGTTTTCGACACCGGGGAAGTTGTAGAGGGTATTTTTTCTGACCGTCACCGACGCAATCATGTCGGAATAGCGGACTTGGTTTTTTGCCTCTGTGTGCTTTGATGGGTCGTCCATGGGTGCAATGAGAGGGTGTATTTGGTCTGGATCGACTGCAGTGAGATTCGGATACTTCGAATCCCTATTAATACGCAAGAAGTCGTCCCAAGCCGTAGCAATCATCTCGCACCGTTCGATATCCATCCAGCTACTAGGCATCCCAGGTACATTGCAGCCCTGACCTGGAAAGTCCTGCTTCATATACATCTCAAGAAGAGGAAAGTCCGTCTCAACCACCGTCGCGCCGAGAGATTCGAACGTAGCTCGAGCTCTTTCCCACAGTTTTCGCACCGGCTCGATACAGACATGGGGTGGTTTTGCGGCCGGTGCACCAACGAAGCATTTTGGAACGGCAATGCGTTTTCCTGACAGTGCGCAAGGGTCTGCGAGAGTATGGTAATCCGTTGGACGAATGCTCGAAGCCCTCGGGATAGAAACGAAGCTCTGGCTCCGCCAGAAATCAATACCTCGGACAGCGTCCTGATCATTCGCAACGATGACATTGAGAACAGCGAACAAATCCTCGACCAAGCGCGTATGAGGAACAATCACATCGCATGTCGGATAAAGTGGCCACTGGCCTCTATTCGGGATCAGTCCACGGGAAGGCGAATATCCAACCAACGCATTGTTCGACGCCGGCGAACGACCCGAAGAGACAGTTTCTCCGGCAAATCCAAAAGCAGCGAAGCTCGCTGCAGTTGACGTACCGCAGCCATTCGAGGAGCCAGATGCGTAGGCCGTGGTGGAATAGAGGGGGTTGTATGGGCTTTCGGCCCTCCCGTAGAGTCCTCGCTGGCCTCCTCCGTCCGCCATCGAGGGCATATTTGTCTTGCCCAATATCACGGCCCCGGCCTTTCGCAGCAGAGAAACTATGGCTGCATCCTTTGAGGCTACCAGGTCGGCAAAGGCAGGTGAGCCTGCTGCAACGGTCATGTCTTTGACCATGAAGCTGTCTTTGACGGTGAAGGGAATTCCTTCTAGGGGCCTGGGTGGGTGCCCGCTGGCTCGATAGTCATCTGCTTGCTGTGCTTCTTCGAACACCTTCGGGTTGAGAACACAAACAGAGTTCAATGATGGTCCTCGGCAGTCGTAGTATCCGATTCGATGGAGGTAGAGCGAGACGAGTTGGACGCTTGTAATCGCACGGGTATCCAGAGCATGGAGGAGATCTTTGATACTGGCATCGACCAGGTTTATGGTCTGCAGTAACTTTGGGTCGTTGATTGCTGACATGTTCGCTTCGATATTGAATAAAGATGACATTCGCAGCCATGGAAGAAAGTAGTCAAAAGCTTTATAAAGCTCATCTAGTGCCTGTTTCTACTATGTATCTATCTACTATGTATGCCCTAAGGCGACTTCACCAACAAGTTCGCAACCACCTGGTTGGTTCAAATAAGACCACCGGTTCGACTTTCACCTTAATGGCAATGCGCTTCTCCGTTCTCTGCTACTGGGAACTTCTGTCAGTAATTGGTTCACCCAGGCCAACGTCCGAGTTTGGGATGATGCTCAATCAATCGATATGAACTATTCCTTGAACATCCCCCTATCGTACATGTTGACGCTTTATCGGCGTACATACGATGCAAAACCATATATTGCTTATCGCTTCGTTCGTGAATATCCCTAGGGCTGTAATCGCGGAGCTGGATTCGGCTCGGCCTTCTTTGCTCGGCTCGAATTTACTTACCGAGGGATCCAACTCCGCAATGGGCCCTAAATCACTGCTTATCTCGCTGCAGCCACTGCATGAATTGTATCTTATCACAAATGTCGTGACATGTTTTGACTTTGGTAGCAAGGGCAGCTTGGATCTTTTCTCTTCACCATAGATATTTGCAATGGCAGTTCCGGGCATACATCCTTTCTACTATAGAGAAGTATTAAGCGGAAGAAAAATTGGAAAAAAAAAAAAAAAAAAAAAAAAGTTGTCCTATAGTGAACCGAACGCCGGTTCTCATACCAAAATAGCATAAACTCCCATTTCACCCATCGTAACCCGACAATCCGCAGGACCAATTTTCTGCATCGCCCAACACTTCCTCATAATTTTCAAGACCGTCGCAGTATTCCCAAACCTCCCACACTCCCGCACCAGCTCCACCATTAAACTCTCGAAGAACGGCTGGTGCTGCTCAGCCATGCATCCTATTACACATAATGCCCACACCGAGCCTGTGAGAGAATACGCCTTGGGCCTATTCTGAAGAGCGACGATGCTTCTAGCTACAGCGCTGCGTATCTCTGGAAGTGCTGGTAGCGGACCGGAAACGATGGTGTGAAGTAGTACCAAAGCAGCAAGCGCGAATAGGCGAGAGACCCAATTCGGTAGAGACTCTACGTTCGTATATCCCTGGCGGTAGAATAATCAGCAAAGCATCACTAGACTGGGACCAGTGGTGTTACCCCTCTTTCCAGATCCAGGCTCTCAAGGCCACTCTCCAATCGTCTTTCTATCTCTTGAGCTTTACTTGCGAGCTCTCGTATACTTAACAGACCATCTCTCTCCTGCCAGCCTTTCCATGCCCCGAAGTGGGATAGGTCGCCAATTGCTATCATAACCCAGTTGTGACAGCCCATGAGATCTGCTGTGTTGAATCCCGGAGATTGCAGCCAGCGTTTATAAGGAAGTCGCGGTACACTGCCTGTTGAAAGACAGGCAAAGAGATCAAACCATGTCACAGAGACCATGAGAAACTCGAGGCTCTCGTAAATTCCATTTTCCATATCATTGTTGTGGTTGTAAGACCGCGGAGCTAAGATAGCCTCGGGCGACAACAGACTCATAACAGAAGCAACAGCGTCTAGATGTGGAAGCCAGTCATGTTCTGCACCGCTGAAGACCTGCATTTAGAGTCAGAATCTTCTTCTAGTGACGAATGGCGTGCTTGCCTACCTCAAAACTAATCAACATATAACTACACGCCAAGAATTCTGCCAATTGAGAATAATCATCGCACAATTGATCCCCCTTTTCACTCATAAGACCACAGAGCTCTCGCAGAGCTCTTGAATGGTGATCTAGTGCTTTCTGTTTCTGCTGAAATTCCTCGTCGGTGCCGAGAATCGCGCTCTGATGGAAGGAAGAAAGGCTTAGGGCGGCGTGGTAGAGTGGTCCACGTTTACTTAGAAGAAAGAAGAGCCAGCCTCGGTTTCCTAGACAAGACCGAGAATTATGATACGGGAATTGCCATGGGAAGACCTGGTCGAGATAGTGCATTAATAGACAGGCCTCTTGGTAGTCAACGCCACCATTGCTATCAGCTCGAGCAAGCTGCGTGCTTGACTCTGCGCAGTGTTCGATGACATCATTGGTAGCACAGTTTGAATGCTGGTTTTCAGATTCAAGTGTATACTCGGAAACATCTTCCTCAGCTAAAGGTGGCGAATATGCCGGGGATTCAGATATTCGAGACTGTTCCCTATGTCTCCGAAGAGCTCGCTGCTGCATCCTCTTGACATGCCGAAAATTCTCTTTCACCGCGACCTTGATTCGCGATCGTTCCTTTCGTTCTTCCGATGCGCCGTCCATCCATGCTGGCTTGGGCCCGTACCCATGGCAGTGAACATGTCGGTCGCTGCATTCTTTGCAAGCGGGTTTCTTCAAATCGCACTTCTTATGCCGAACACGACACGTCCAGCAGCCTGGATCAGAACGCATGATCAGAACAGGGGAGGGAAGAGTCGACAAAACAAAGTACTGAATGGATGTGCACAGAAGTTGGGGGTTTTCGTATTGGGAAGGTCGAGCCGGTTGATTAGGTAAACGTTAGTTAACTAGTTATAACTAAATTGCCTAAAGAGGTAAAGCCTGTAACCCTACTCCGTACTCTAGTCTATATCCTCGACATTCCAACATCCCATGTGTATATCACTGACCAGCGCTACACGAAAATGGCCGGTTTATGGAACCCGTTTGGAATGCGGAAATCTGCAAAGTCAATATGGTCACACTGCATGTTATAGATATGAAAGTAACTCACAACTTCCGTAACGCTTGCGTAAAGGCCGCATCCAAAAATACAGATACCGACAAGAAACACGATTAGATTGAGAATTGCATGTCGAATATTATGCCCCTCAAACCAGCTTCCCTCCTTGAGAAGAAAGAACCACATTACGGGGGGAACATAGAACGAGAAACCAGAGACAAGCAAACAGCCGCAGATAGAGAGCAACTCGGAGAAGAACGGAATAGCCTCTGCGACGATCCAGGCCAAGATAGTAATGATCGTAACAACCGTCAACCAGCTTACCCATCCTTTCGTAGTGTTCACGTAACGCACAACAGAGCCCTGGTATATTCTGCCGTGGATATAGCGGGAGACAACGGTGGTATTGATAGACCCGGAGATAAAGATCACCGGTAGAGCGAGGCCAAATGCGATTTTTGAGAAGAGGGGTCCGGCAGACACGATTGCGGGGGACCCAACTTCCTGTCCGACGAATGCGTATATCAGTGCCCCTGTCAAGGTGTAGATGACCATCTGCACCGTGCCTAGCGCGGAAATGGACTTTGTGTAATCTTGTGGTGTATGCATCTCATCCATGAAAGATGGCTGGGAGGCAGCGAAGGCATAGGCAAATGCAATATTCGAGATAGCAACAAAAGCTTTGCTCAGGGTCAAGTCGTCCTGCGGCCATGCAGACCACACGGAGGTGGCTGAGTCGGTCCTCTGAAGACCGGTTGCGATAACACAGATTCCGATAGTCACAAGAATAGAGAAAAAGTCGATGAATCCCAGAATTGACAGCTCAGCAAATGACGGCGGTATAGCAAGGGCAAATAGAACCACAGCGGACACAACACTGAAGATAAGAGCGCACGCAGTGCTGCCAGAGATTGTAGCAAGGGCTAGCTTTCCCGTCAGGCAGTGCGACCCAACTGTCAAAGTCATCAGCGCAATAAACGCCACGCTGAAGAGCTTGTCGCCGAAGCCTCCTAGCAAAAGACGACCGAAATCGACATAATGAGCAACATGTGAATATTTGAGCTTTGCCAACCCGATAATATAACTTGCGTAAATGGCGATGAGGCCCAGGCTGACGCACAAGATTACTCCGGCTACCATACCTAGAGTTGCGAACGCTGCAGGAAGACTCAGGCTGCCCAGGGCAATCGATTGAACAATCAGCAAGATTGTGAGTCGCTTCCAGCCAAGGCGATGAAAGTGGTCGTCGCCTTGGATGGCTCTGTCATTACTGTGCTTGCGGCCAATGTGATCGAAAATTTCGCCTTCGGAACGATCAGGTTCAACCATGTCGTCTGTCCCCTTTTGCTTAAGGGTAGTGGCATCATGCGTATAGTTGATAGCGTGGGACATAGTTTTGATTGATTGCGAAAAGGCTCTCCGAAGAAGCTTCCTTGTATTCTCGAAAAGGGAAGTGTGAATATGTAGTAGAAGAATTGAAAGCCGTAAGGCCGAGGAAGTATGGAAGCATTGGAAAGGCCACTAGCCCAAGAAGTATTTATATTCTAGCACGCACCGGACCGGCTATGCAGCATTAATTAGGGAAATTCCCAGATGAGGATGGAGGATGAGGCATTTATGGGGAGGAGATAAGGCCTCGATGACACATTTAATCCGAGAAGTTTTCTCAAGATACAAAGGCTGCTTAACTTATGATTAAAATATATTTATTGCTGTTGTCCATGATATTGTAAAAGTTGATAAGCATTGTTATTACATTTGGAAACTATAGACTGCCATGTGCATCACGTAGAAGTCATATATTTGCAAATTATCTCAATATCAGGCTCGCCTTTCAATTTTCTCCTCCGTTTCTTCTATTCCAAACACGACGTTTATTTCAGTATAGACAAGCTGCGGACTTCAGATATATAGCCATGGAACACGGAGGAAGTGTCTTTCCTATTCCAGCGTAGAGACGTGGAACCATTCAAGATCAAATCCCATATCAAACCCAATCAAATTTACAACAAAGCCTCAGAAGTCTAGCCAAGTAAAGTCTAGCCACGCAGAGCCTTAGAAATAGCCACTAGACCATTCTCAAACTGCCCCAACGTGGGCCACCCAAATCCCAGACGAAAAAAAGTATCAGGCATCTCAAACCAATGACCAGGTCCGACATACGTACCATGTTCCAGCAGCAGCCGCTGATAGAAAGCCTTCGTTCCTCCGATAGGTTCTTCCTTCATATGCGGAAAGCATACAACGCCTCCCTCCGGACGAACCCATTCAAGTAGATCCTCCTTCTCAATCCAAGCCTCCACAATAGCGAGACGCTTCCTCATCTCAGCGTTGGTCGAGGGTAGGATCTCGTCCCTTCGATCTAGTGCCTGTTTGGCGACCCACTCGTCAAACACGCTACCACTAATTGAGATCTGCTCCTTCGCTGCCAGGAACGTCTCTTGAAGCTTGGAGTTTTGTGTGATTAACCATCCAATTCGGATGCCAGGCAGACCGTACGATTTCGAGAGTGAACTGACACTAATGACGTGGTCACCTAGCGTGGCCGCGATAGGCAGCGGGTTAGTGTAGCTGATATCTCTGTATGTCTCATCGACGAGCAGCAAGCAGCCGCTTTGTTTGGTAAGAGCGACGAATTGGTCCAGTGTCTCGCGGGAGATGGCGGTTCCGGTGGGATTGTGTGGGGCGGTAATCGACACAATCTTGCTGTTGGGTTTCAAGGCACGTTGGACTGCCGATATATCGGGTTGAAAACCCGACTCGAGGGTGAGGTCGATGTAAGTAATGTCGCAGCCAATGGCCTTGGGAGTTTCTAGGTTCGTTGCGTAGTTGGGACGCATCACGAGCAGATGGTCGTCTTTGGTGAGCTGCGACGTGGAAATAATAAAGAGGGCACCGGCGGCTCCAGATGTGATGAGGACATCGTCTTTTTGCAGGTCTGAATTGCCGATGATGAGCTCTCGGAGTCTGCCGCCACCCCGATGTTCGTTGTAGAGAAAGGTGAGGTTGGGGATATGCGGTAGATTAAGAGACTCGAGTGTCTGGTCTGTGCATGAGCTCTCCGATAGGTTGTTCTTGATATTGTCGTACCCGTATTCTTCGGGGGATTCGACCTCGATAGGCATGCGAGTAAACTTCATCTTGTTGGTGAGCACGAAGGCAGGCTCTAAAGTATTCCTTCGCGTGATGCAATTTCATGTCACCGAAATTGAGCCCGTCCTATATACAGCAGTACAGAGTTAGTAGTCATTCTGGGGGTGGCTCGACCTTCTTTGCGTGCGGCGGTTCGACTTTCCTCTGCTAACCACAATGTGGGGTAACCCCTCATTCCATCACAACCCTAGATCCTTCCCATTATGCTAGTTGGCTTGGGAGATCTCAACCGTGTGACTCGAGCTTCAGCTGGATATGTTCATTTGTAGGGCGTGTAGATCGGTAGGCGGGGTGTTATGGGCTCAAGTCCTTCTGGATCGATGGCTTATCCAAGCAGGCCGAAGAACTACACCATATTGAACTGCTGTTAAGCATAGTTCTCAACACTCGCGGAACTTCTTGGTCAAACGAGACAGCGTGAAAGGATAATTCAATTAATATACTCCTTCCAGAGGTTGCCGGCTTCCAGGTTCACCTCATGTATATTGTCCCTGAAAGTCCGCGCCAACCAAGCCGGAATCTGCTCAAAAGTATTCACCCAAGCAGAAATGTCGTCTTGTGGTCATGGTCCCTCATTACATTCAGCCGCTTCCAGTCTGGGCGCGGGTACGGGCGTAGAGCATTTCTGCGTCTCGAAGTATCGATTCCTCCCATTGTATTGTAGTAGTATGATTTTGTTCCGGAAACCCTGCGATTTCAACCACACGGCCGTTTGCATTTTCCTGCCGGCGGGGAATGATCGCGGTATCCCCCACCAGCATCGACTTGGGGATATGGCAAGCTTGGCCCACCCATCGGTCCATCAGTTCACTGGTAACTTCTTTACCGTTGCATGTCCACAAATCCACCGTATATTCCTCCAATATCATATAGATCTATCCCAATTGGCCAGGTTCCTGTAATGTACTATGAGATACGCTCAGTAGTTCAGCTACATGACGTTCAAAATAACCATCTTGAATCTTAGCCTTGAAGTATCTCGCATTATCCCTAGGAAAGCAAACAAACAATGGAAGCGGCAATACGATATTTACGCCGCCTCGCTAGCCCCTTATTTCTTTGTCTCTTTCAAATAATGGCAGCATCAACTTTTAACATGGTTCTGTTCCCTGGCTCTGCAAGTCACAGCAACATGACAGTCATATCTCCACCACATAGTACTACAAACAGCAATGCGCAACAAGAATCTCGAATGAACGACTGAAGGGGACCCGATGATCCGGATTGTCCTTACAACTGGCCGAAGTGGAAGCGCATCTACATAACCAGCATTCCAGCATTTATATGCATCAATGTGTTAGCATGCTCCATCAACTCTCGAAATGTATTAGATTCTGACTCATGCAGGTCCTTCGCCTCTTCTGTTTACACATCTGGAGCCAACGACATATCAGAGCATTTTGGGGTACACCACGTAGTATCTCTGCTTGGTCTTTCCCTCTTTCTTTGGGGTCTTGGGCTTGGAGCCATCATCGCGGCACCTGTCAGAGAGTATTATAGTCGCAGGATTGTATATCTAACAACTGTTCCAATATTCGGGTTGTTTATCCTAGGCTCAGGATTAGCACAAAACTTTGCTACTTTGGCCGTCTGTCGCTTCTTCGGCGGCTTCTTTGGGAGCGCAGTGGTTTCAGTAGGTGGAGGCACAAATGCAGATCTCTGGCAGCCTGCTCTAGCGGGTTTTGTCTATTCTTTCTACTTTGTGTCTCCTTTTCTTGGCCCAGCTCCTGGTATGACAGGCTGTACTACTCGTTCTATGGTTTTCCATGCTGACCTCTCCAGGACCTGTCATCGGCGGTTTCGTCAGCGAGAACAAGGACTTCCGTTGGCTCGAATGGGTGTGAGGTGTGGGGTGTTCTGTATGAGATGGCCCCTGAGGATGAATTCCTGCTTGATGGGTATGAATACGTTGATCATTCCTCTGACCTGGTGTTGAGGCCTAGAGAACAGGGCGAGGGCCATTATAACAAATGGTATCTACCGGCAACGATCACGATGTGGTTGGACGGGGCGCAAGAAAAGGCTAGAGAAGGTGGTGGGAAGGAGGCTGTTTTGGTTTATGTGGATGAGAAACGGGTACGGATGGGTCCGCCGAAGGAGGAGTATGTTGGGAGGATGAATCGGGCGATTCGGGAGGCGGAGGAGTTGGAGGTGGATAGGGTTTGGGTGGGGGGGTTTTATGAGGAGGTTTATTCCTGATGTATAGGTATAGTCTATAGTATAGTGATGGATATTAGATTGTGTAGTTAAGACTACAGCATCCGGAAGAGGAAAGTTGCAATGGGTTGAGAAATTCCGATACTTATAAATATATATACACTCTATCTAAACAACTTAGTTATTAGCAAACGGCAACCCAGCTTCCTTCCGAATCGCCCCATAAACAGCTGCAACATCCCCCTTCTCCCCCCTCTCCTTCTTAACCTCCTGTAAGTACCCATCCGTAACCTCCACACTTTTCAACCTCATACCCCCCTCACTAGCCAACGTACTCGCATGGCGCAAATCCTTCCTCGCAAGATCAACCGCGAAAAGAGGCTCCTCGCGTTTGTGGTAGTCTCCCGAGGTCATCCGTTCCGCGTACTTTGCAAATGCGCCGGGGAACATCGCAGCGACCCATTGCTCGTACATCTCCGCGCCCAGGCCGGTCTTCTCGGCTGCGGTGACGCCTTCGGCGAGTGATTCGACCATGTTGAGGATGAATGTGTTGCCGAGGACCTTCATAAGACTCGCGCGGCCGACATCCTCGTTGCCAGTGAGTGGGAGGGTAGCACGCGCAGTAACACCGTCCAGATACGGCCGCGCACGCTCAATTGCCTCTGCAGATCCAGCAGGAACAACAACCAACTGTCCCGCAACAGCCATATTCGGTGCACCAAACACCGGGCATGCGACGAACGCCGCTCCCCGCTGGCTAAGCGCAGCCTGCGTCTTCCTCGAAGTGTCGGGGTGCACGGTCGAGCAGTCGACAAAGGTCTTACCCGAGATATCCAGATCCTTGGCTTCCAGAATGGCAGCGAAGATCTGATCGAGCGCCGGGTCGTCACCGACACAAGTGAAGATTAGGGTTGCGGGGTTCACGGCTTCGGGGGGGGACGAGGCGACGCTGGCTTTGTTGGGGGGAAGAGTCGAGACGAAAGACTCCGCCTTGGAGGTTGTGCGGTTGTAGACGGTCAGAGAGGACTGAGGACCTTTCTCGGCGATGTTTTGGACCATGCCCTATGCGCTTGTCAGTACTTGTACAGAGGTAGGATGTAGGGGTGACGTACTCGGCCGATATTGCCCAGACCGACCCATGCGACGTGTTGGTTGGCCATTATATCTAAGGTGCAATTGGCACAATTGAGTGAGTCGAATGTTATGTGATGATCTATAGCTTCTGGGGAAGAAGACGATGTCTTTTATATCCAATGACGCTGATTTATAAGCCTGGAATTCGTCCGCGATGTTGACTCTTCGGATTTGAGGCTCGGGTTTAAGAGCGGGGAGGAGCGGAGGGATTCCCCGCCCTATACCGGATTGAGATTAGTGTCCGCTGCTAGATATCAAAGTATGACTCTACTGTACCCTAACTATATACAAATCCTTCGGCCTTCGGCATCAACTAAGCCCGAATAGCCGTGAGGTCCTATTCAAAGATGAAGATCAAGATTCCAACAAAACGCTAGAACTCGTTAAGAAAAAGCAACGAAGAACCAATGCATACGCCTTTATGCTAAATGTGCCCCGGGAAGTATAGAATTGACGGAGGAAAGCTTACCAAAGTTTGAATACACCACAATCTCGTTATGCCTGATACTGGCGAATGGCTAGAGTTAATTATGAAATGGTGCGCCGAAGCTTTCCTCGCATACTGATCAGCAGATCTCTCAGAGGCGAGCAACCAACTGGTATCATAAACTTCGCTAGTAGGACCAAGTGACATTGGGAAATCCTACATCGTCAAGCTCTTGTCGAAGGACTTGGACGAGCATACCATCTATGTCAGCCTAGCCCCGGGGAGCCACCAAATGATCCGATGTTGCGCCTTCGTTTGACCTGTCAGAAATTCAAGACAATTTCTGGATATTTGCCTCGCTGAAAGCAACACCTACAAATGTGCCAACCGAGGTAAACAAGGAGACATTTGACAGACCTTTACAATTGAAGAGTGGGAAATGGAGGCTACTTCCTTTAAAATGTGCCCAAGAAAGCGTCTCAAAAAAGGGATCGCCAAGTGACCGTGATGGAATCCATCAGCGCCTTTTCATCAATGCCCACCCGCAATTTAGATGTTTTCTAAATGACAGAATTCGGCATGTTAGCCTCGTATGACTGCGAGTTGATGCAAAATGGTGGCTGGTAAATTAAAGTGGCGCTCTAAAGATCATGTCGTCCACCACCAGCTGGAAACATGCCGTGGTTGTAAGCAGAGGACGCAAAGAACAACTGCTTGACTCATGCCAGAGTCTCACTGACGCCATCTCAAACCATAGAGAACCTACTCCTATTTCTGTCTACAGCTCCGTACCGACCGAAACCATACCCAGCGCTGCAGATGAGATCGAAATAAACCCCAACAAGGCAGTTCCAAAACCGAAACGGGACTCTACTTTTCTTATCATAGAACATTCAAATTCCTCGCTCTTCAATCCTCTTTCATCCCGGGTACGATGCCTTCCGACCCCCATGAGAATGTCGCCGGCACCTGCCACGGCAGGGTTTACGTTCAGCTCGATATGATGATCAGATTCAACGACTTTTAAACAGTGCACTTTCAACCAATGCCAACATAGCATGTGGAATATGACGGCCAGAGAAGAACAAAAGACTTGTTGAATGGGTTATGCGCCAATTACTAAACAGGGATTTTGTTTTATGCTATCTCTCCTAGTATTCTGGAGAGAGTATATATATATTTATCTCATGATTAAGTTGATAAAATTGCCATTTAAGACGAGACAGCGCAAATCGGTTTATATTTTAGTTGGGGAAAATAAAAAGTATAAAAAGTGCTCCCTCCGCAAGATAGTTTCATTAAAACAGGCTACTTCAAAACTATCCATTTATCCATAAACCGATTATTCAAGCTCTGCGTATTGACAATTAAGCATAAGCATAAGCACAATGTACTGTACGAATAAATACACATCCTCCCTCCCCTCAACAAACCCTCAACAACCACGTAAAAAGTACCTCAAAAAGAACCAGAATAACTCTCCCCCGTCCGCGGAAAACTAATCGTCCAAGTATGCCTCGGCTTCACAAACTCCATAATCTTCTCACAAGCCACCACACGACCTTCCTTACCACCCAACTCAGACGCAACCTCCCGCGCGCGCCGTTGCACTTTGATTTTCTGCACACTAGCCAGCATGCGCTTCAACGCCTGTCCGAGTTCGTAGCCCTTGACGGCCGGTGCGTTCTGACGATTACCCCAGACGCCGACGCCTAGGTATTCGACGCGGTGGGCGAAGTCGTATGTGTCTAGCCAGATGGGAAGGACGACCTGGGGGACGCCGGCTTTGATGGCTTCGTAGAAGGTGTTGGCTCCGCCGTGGTGTACAATGCACTCCACGCGTCCGCTCTGTAGGATGCAGATAGGTTCCACGGGCAGCCAAGGCATTATGCGGACGCGTCCTTCACCGATCTCTGTAGACAGACACTCCAACGTCTCTTCTTGCGTGGTGCTCTGCGGCTCAGCACGTGGTAGTTTCCAAAGGACTTGCATATCCGGTCTCGTCTCCAATAACATCTTCAATCCCCTCGCAAACTGTCTCTCCATAGACGGGGTGAACACCACAAGCGAGCCCAGACTAACAAGCACAGTCGGCCGCTGAGCAAGCCAATGCGCCAGATCTGGATGCTCGTCGCAGATAGGGGCGTAGGGTCGCAAGATCGGTCCACAGAGAGTGAATTTGTCAGGCAGGAAGCAGGGAAATTCGCACTCAGCATGGCCGGGAAGGATAACGGCAAGGACTTTCTTGTCGTCCGGATTGATAAACATATCGGGAATGGCGTGATTAATACCGTGGCGTTTGCGCGCTCTCCCAACCTGCTTCAGCTGGGGACTAGACTTGACCGCGGCCAGCAAGCGCAAACCAAGAATAGCATTCGGAAGCATCAGGTTCCACGGCAGCGGATAAGGATATCCAGAGCACAGCCTGTCACCAGTAAGTCAGCACACCATACTCACTCACACAAATCAAAGGGGAAAAAAAAAAAAAAAAAAACATACATAGGAAACTTCCACAACTCCGCCAACTTCGGCTGCGCAGCATGCTCCCTAAACGTATTCGGACTCAAAACCACAAACCTTTCCCCAATCGACCGCACCGCATCCAACGCCGGCCCAAACAACGCATCCACAACAACCAACTCCGGATCAACCTTCTCAATCACACTAACACACTCATCGTATATCGCAACATACTCCTCCCCACTCCACGGCGCGATCACCTTCGCCAACACATCCTTGTACGCCTGGCAGGCAGCCTGGAAGCCCAAACCGTGGAGTTTGAAGGCCTTGCTGGCGTCGAAGATGTGGCATTGCTCGAGAGCTTGTTTCATTGAGAGGCCCGGGAGGATGTGGAAGGTTGCTGGGCGTACTCGGGCGGAGCGCGAGGAGATGGGGAGGAAGGAGATGGCGCGGAGGTTGAGTTGAGAGATGGAGTTGCGGAGGGAGGCGAAGGAGGCGATGTGGATGGTGTAGGTTGGGCGCAGGAGGAATTCGTGGGCGACGGCTAGGCAGACGGAGGCCTGGCCTAGTTCGCTGTTTGTGAGGAAGAGGATGGTGGGCATGGTTATGTTTGCATGGTTGGAGGAGGAAAAAAGAAGGGAAGGTGAGGAGGGCAACAACGATGGAGGTGGGTGTGAAAAATTGATTTGGGAGTGATAACCACAACAAAGGGAAGACAGTGAATAACCAGTTCAATTCACCTGAAAAGTGAATGTCTGCTCATGCCTGTTCACATTAATATTATGCATTATTGTCTATGCGGAAATGTATGTATAAGGATTTCCCACCTTGCCCTATCTATATACACTTTTTTTTTTTTTTTTTTTTTTTTTTTTTTTTTTTCCCCGATACCCAAGATTTGCAAGTCGATCAACGCTGTAGTCTTCGACCACGGCCTTCGTCGTCAACTGACGGGATGATTCGCCTAAAGCAAGTTTATATAAAACAGCCTGGCTGGCGCTGTTGCGCCGTGGTCGTGGTTTAGAACCACGATAAGTTCAACGAGACTTGGCACATGCCAATACGAAAACACTCAAATCTTCGCACGATGACCACTAATAGCAGAATGGCGCGTATTCACCCGATCAATATTATACGGATTCTCCTCATACTGCGTAGCAATAGTCTGTCGCGACACATGAGAACCCGCCCGACTCCTCGTCATCCGTCGCGAAGAAGGCACCGTCGAGAGACTGTCAGCAATAGCACTGTCACTATCGCTGTCACTGCCAGCGTTATTCTCAGTATCATCAGAAATAGCGGTCTTCTCGTTGACTGGTTCTTCGTGTTGGACCTCGGCTTGGTGCTTCATTGTGAGTCGTTGCATGAAGGCGTCTGCTTCGGCGGAGTAGGTGCAGCGCTTGCGGATGCGAGGGCCGTAGACGTAGAAGATAATCGGGAAGGGAATACAGGCCACAGTAAGGAAGGCTGGGATGCACGTCGCCCAATGGATGCCCAGGTTGTGGTACATGTAGGTTGTGAAAAGGGGAAAGACAGCGCCGAATAGTGACCGCAGAGCTGAGTTGGCCGCCAAGACAGAGGCAGCGAAGATCGTGTACGAGTCCACCAGATAGTTCATGACTCCCAGGAAGACCAACACCATACCGAAACCAAACGGAGCTCCAGCTGCGACGGAACACAGCCAGTGGATAGACGGAGAATTGGTCCAGGCGAACCAGAACAGCCCGATCGGCAGAGCAATAGCTCCCACAATACCAATTGGCAGACGCATCTCCGGAGGAAGACGCCCGGTGGTCTGACGCGCTAGCTTGGTGTACTTCAGGTTATCAATGAGGGTATAGGTGAATGCAATCATCATTCCCACCAGGACGCCAACGAAAGCCAACCCCCCGATTCCTTGACTCCAGCCACGCACTTCTTGGAAGACGATCGGATAGGCGGCGAACAACATGTACAGAGTACCATAGATAATGGCCATGTAGATACTGGACAAGAGCACAATAGGCTCACGGAACAGCAGGATCCATGGCCGAGAGAGCGATGTCTTCAACATCTGGACTGTCGACACGCTACCTCGGTCGATATCGAGTCGGCTCTGGTAGACTTTGCCAGTTACCTCAGAGAGCTTCTCCGCTCGCCGGCGCAGCAGGACGGGCGCATATGTCTCGGGTAGGCAGAAGGTAATGACCAGCCATATAACACCCGTGAAAGCCGCCAACAGGCCTAGAACCCAGCGCCAGCCTGCTGCTTCACCAAGGAAACCTCCAATGATGGGACCTGATCCATGTCAGCAATGTCTTCACACTTCAACTTAGGGTCTAATAAAGTAGAAACATACCCAAACAAGGACCCAAAAACGGCGCCGCAGAATACATGCTAACCGCAATCCCCCGTTCCGACGACGCGAACATATCCGCAATAGTACCACCAGAATTACCAAACGGCGAAGAACCAAAGAAACCACCGAAAAACCGCAGAATAACCAAAGTCTGAATATTCTGCGAACCACAAGCACCAGCATTAAACGCCGTCAGTAACCCATAGGTCATCACAAAGATACTCCTCCTCCCAAAAGTCTCACTCAACGGCGCCCAAATAAGAGGTCCAAAAGCAAACCCAAGCACGAACAGCGACACACCCAAGATGGCGATTTCCTCCGATGTATTGAAATCCGCCATAATCTGGGAGATGCCTCCCGAATACGCAGACGACACCAGCGACACTGCCAGCGTGATAAAGGAAGCCAGGAACGTGATAGACCATTTCTTGGCGTACCTCCAGTTCATGGGGTTACGCGGGTCTTGGGGGATCCAAGAGACGGCATATGGATCCTCTGGTGTGCCGGATCCATCGTAGGGGAAGTTGATGACCTCGTTGGTCACGATCTTTTGGTCCCAGACTGTGCGCCAGAAGGGAATTTTGGAGGGCCCGGGTGCCTCGCCCGTGGGCTCCGTTGTCATGTTTATGATAACTGAGCATGGGTCAGCTTGATGTTCCAATTCTGGTAGTAAAGATCGACAGACTTGATGTTCTACTCCGCAGGACATACACTGCCCGATACAACAAGTTCACCCGATTGCGGTAAAAATCTCAATAATTGGGAAGATTGACAGAGGGGAAACTCAGAATAAGAGGGAAGTGGGAAACGACAAAGCTGATGTTGACGTTTCACCATTACACAAAAAAAAAAAAAAAAAAAAAAAAAAAAAAAAAAAATAGAAAAAGAAAAAAGGCAGCCGAGTTGAACCTCGGTTTGGAATGCAAAATAATCACCGAATGGATTGTTTATTAAATACCGGCAACGAACTTCCGAATTAGTGGAATCTCAGTCTCTGTCTTCCCCTGATACTCTAGACTAGTGTTATCAATAAGTGACCTGTAAGGGAGAGAAAAACAAGGATAATGTCAAATATTCCTTTATAACAAATCATGGGGGCTGATAAGCAATAATGTTTACATAGTCTGCGTGCATCGACCTTGCATTCCTAACACGCCAACCCAACGACTCACCAGTTGTCCCAGAACAAGATTTTTGCAAACTCAACGCAGACTTATGCACAAGCAGAGTGATCATTATGCAATTATGCGACCTCATCCAAACCGCATACATAGTACTTTACTCTGTAGCCAGCGAGATCTGACAGCCGATCGGCTATCGGAGGTGATGTTCTAGTCATGGTCACGGCGCGGTGTTGCTCGTCTAGAAATTTTGAGCATATATAATTTCCCCCGAAGTACTCCCGCTGGCCATCGGAATCGGAAAATTGATATGGATATTCGACAGATCTGAGATCACATTCGCGTTTGTCTAGACCCGGATTGGTAACTAGACGATCATCTCGAGAACAAAATCGCGAGATCTTCTCATGCCCGGTTCTAAACGTGACTGTAGTAGTGAAACATGCCGTCATCGTAAGCCTGGTATAACCGTTCATTCACATCCATGGCCGCGTTTGCCGGTAACAAGCCACGAGGATCAAGGATGACGGGATTTGCAACAGCGTTCGCGATGCAGGTCTGTCACCATCTGCGTTTGCGTGATGATAGCGATCATTTCCCCGCTATTCGACCTTGTAGGGCACTGTAACAGTAGGACGACGGTACACGGTAGGTGGTGCTGTGTTTTGTATCCGTACTCAACTGCTACCGCAGGATGGTTAGTGTCTTCATGATAAAAGTCACTATACATTCTCCATTACACCGTATGGACGGCAAATAAATACCAAGATTTATCTCTTGGCTTCAATTTCTTCAGCCCAACATTGCTGTCCAGTACCGGACATCCTTACAATATCTATAGATGCAAAGGACAGAGAATGTGCAAGTCTGATTGATGTATCAACAACTACATAATAGCATAGCATGATAAAGACGCAAGTAAATATCCGTAATATGCAATCATTGCTAAACAACATGCACCATAAAACCCACCACCTGGAAAATACCAAAGACAAAAAATAAAAATAAACATCCCAGATGGCAACAATGAAGTAAGTATATCGTATCACCTCCGTAGGTGGGTATCATCGAACCTTCAAGACCAAGAAGATCCGCTATTCGAAAAAAAAAGGAGAAAAAAAGAGTCGCCAAGTTGAATGAAACACGCCCACCGACCAATCTAACTCCGCAATTTGATTATTGCATGCACGCGAAGACGCCACGCCATGGCTAAGAAACGCATTATATGAATGGGTACTAACTCCCGAGGGGATCCGCTGATGTTTTGACGGACCTAGACGCTTGAACGTTGAGCAGTCGTCTGAAATCATTAGATAATTGTCGTATAGAACAAGAGGAGAAATTTTCCGTAAGCGTCCAACTCCGTCTATCATGGAGCGTCGGGCATCATTTGATCGTCATCGCTGTTCAGGGCCACGTCAGGTGGAGGTGCCGAGTAAAGCGTTCTCTGCCTGTTCGTGCTCTCTACAAGCCCGTCGCTATTGTCCATTGTTGAAGAACAGATACCTGGCGTACTAGAGACGCTTTCGACAATCACGGAATCTTCCCCACTGTCCTCCGGAGGCGGCGAGAAGGTCCAGATCTAGAATCATCGTCAGCTATCCGTCTGCAATCCCACTTGAATGGTTATAAAACGTACCTCCATCACGGTGCGACCACCTCGGTTAATCATGATCACAGCCTTATCCTCTTCAAACGCAATGCGCCAGACATCCTGTGCAGGCGCGGATAGTTCACGTAGCAGTTGACTGGTTTCCAGACTCCAAATCCGGACCCGGCCATCGCTACCACCACTCACAATACGGTTGCTATCGAATTGAAGACTCGTCACGCTGTTGTCGTGAGCGGCTAAGCGATGGATAGGGGCCATCTTAGTCAATGACCAGACCCGGATCGAGCCGTCGGAGCCTCCAGTCACCAGTGTATCGCCCTGCATCTGCAACTGCCCAACCAAAGATGTATGCCCCTGTAGGATGGCATGGCACTGGCCTGTGTGCGGATCCCATACGCGAACGCTCGTGTCAAGACTTCCCGTTGCGATCCGTTTTCCGTCAAAGGCAATTGCGTAGATCTGACTAAAATGGCCGGTCAGGGTACGCTGGCATCGTCCTTCGGAAATGCTCCAAATTCTCGCGGTCGTATCGTAACTGCCAGAAACAACGGTATCCCCATGAATTGCAAGGCAGCGGACACTAGCCTGATGGCCAACCAGGACATTCCGGCATATACCCGTCGCTAAATCCCATATCCGCAGCGTCGAATCTCTGGACCCTGAGATTGCTGTCTTTGAGTCCGACATCTGCAAGCAACGGACGGTCGATGTATGGCCACGTAGTAAATGAAGGCTCTCCCTATATAGAAAATCGGGTTCGTTAGTCATTTCCTCCCGCTAAGGTCTCCCATGTTTCTGCCTTACCCAGTTGCCATGTTCCAAACTCTAACTTCGCGGTCACAACCACCGCTAACCAGAATGTCATCCCATGGAACCATCGTCCATACACCCATCACGTGGCCCTGTAGGGTTCTATGGTTGTTTCCGTTGGTATCGTACACATGGATCTTAGCGTTATCCATGGCGAAGATAATGTATTTTGGCGTCAAGTGTAGAGTCGTGACCACGCCTAGATCGGGCGTGACATGTTGCGTACATCTCCCGCCTTTATTCCACGCAGACTCAACCATATACTTTTGTTTGAAATGAGACCGGTAGGACGCTGGTCGGGGACGGCGCTTTCGAGACGGAGCGCTACTCGACAAGGATGCCACGGGCCAGTTTCCGGAGAGGGTATGGGACAAATCATGAGAAGTATCGGACAAGCTAGATCTTTCTCGCAGCTCGTTGAACGAGCGTGCTTTCGAAGTCGTCTGTAGGGGCTGGCTATGAAAAGGGTCGACAAAGCTCTGGCCATCCTCGGAAAATCGCCGGTACATATACGCATGCTTTTCACAGAGGTTCTTCCATGTGATGTCATCACTCAACAGTTCCCGCCAGTGTCTCGATACTTGGGATGCTCTTGCGAGGGTCTGAGGATCGTCGATGAAAGAGAGTACCTAGACCAAGGAAGAAGAGTCGAGTCAGCGCACCTGAACATCCCACAACAATGAACAGCCTTACCCTTAAGCATAACTCATTCGGAAACACCATAAACGGATCCTTTCTCAACCGCGGACTGACAAAGCTCGAAACGAAACTGAGTTGCTTGCTATCGCAGAGACCCAATATGCCCATCAAAAACTTTTGTTTCTTCGCATTCGGCAGGGAGGAGAAATGCATGCGAGCATTAACCAGAAACGCGTCATCTTCATCATCAGCAGCAGACGACTGCCAGTTTAGGGGTCGCTGATGAGGCGTCGGACTAGGCGCAGGTGTAGGAGGCGATGCCGGTGCGGACGGTAGGAGGTTTGGAGGGATCGAAGTAACGGTCTTGTTTCGACTGCTGTGGTTGTGGTTGTGATCACTGCCACCGCTGCTGGACAACGCCACCGGCCTCGAGAGACCGGATACCGAATCCCTGCCTGCAGAAGATCGGGGTTGCGCAGTCGCAAACTGCTCAGACACACTCCGGGGATGCATCTCACTGACTGACCGGGATCAGCGAAGAAAGGCTGGAGAAAAGGATCTATGGAATGCTGTGACGTCGGAAAGGCTGGCTGGTCTTTTTTTTAAGTCCGAGTGTCGGAGTGCCCAAGGAACCAGTAAAAGAAGAAAAAAACCACCGCCCAACCTTTTTGAAGGTTTATCGAAATAACCTCGTATAACCCTTTCTGGGCCTGATCTCAGTCATAGAGAAGTATGACGAAGAAACCGAGGAGGAAGAGGGGGGTAAGAGCGAGGAATGCTGTCCGGGGAGGCGGGTTGTCGGATGCAGTCTTCGAGGTAGTCGGGACGGTCGGGCGAGAAACGAATGGTCAGGGGGTTGACAAGGTGGAAAAGAACACGATGAAGATTAGAAAGTGGAAGGGGTCAGTATAGAATTTGAGAAAGAGAGAACAAATTACAATAAAAAAGAAAAGACAAGAGGGTAGATTGAAAGGACAGAGAAGCCGATCGAGGGCCGAGAGAGAGTAGTAGCAGTAGTAGCCGTAGCGGTAGTAGTACTTGTAGTAAGAACAACACAGGGCAGTCTCGATCACGAGAGGGGAGGTCAGGTGCCAGCACGGGGCCCCAGTACTTTTAACAACATCATTTACAAGTACTCCATATTATATGGCCATTTTCATTCACTGTCTCTTTTGACCTGTCAGTGAAAGAGAAAAAGCAAAAGAAAAAAAAAAAAAAAAAAGCTACATTATTATTCTCCTCCCACTAAACCACATTAAAGCAGTGGCGCGTTTCTACAGAGGCCATCAAGAAGGCAAAGGCAATGTCTTTCGTCAAGAGGCAAGATGCAAGATGCATAAAGTTGCCTCTTTTTTAATAGGAGAAAATAGAGAAAATATTGAACATGTCTTGATACCTCAGGCTCTTCTATCTCGACTCGATATGGAGTATAGTCGGCTTCAGAACCAACCATCACCCCCGGTATACAGTCGACTCCGGCGCAAAGGATAATTCAACCCGGATCTTTCCACGGCAGATACACTTTGCCCCGATACCCTGGGACTGAATTCTCGAGACGCCGGGTTGAACCATGGGTCACCAGCTGGTCCCCGATCGATGATTCGAGACTGACGAAGTGCTTCATCATCACTCGGTGGCTTCAGTTATACAGAACACATTTTTATTCTCCCAAATACAACAAAAAATACATAATTCGCAACAGATCTCTCCTCCATAGAAAATCGTGGATATAGAAATCAAACTAGACTCCGGTATCTAAACAAAAAGGTATTAAGCCATAAATAAACCACAGAAAATAAATAGGCAAAAAAAAAAAAAGACCAAGAGGTCAAGAGAAGAAAGATAACAAGAGATGTCAGTGAGCATGGCCGATCTGGAGGAACAGCGGCAAGATCATGCCAATGACAGATGCGATCAAGTCTCTCATCGACTTGTCTGATTTGAGCGGAATGTCCCTCGGGTCTCCATATCCATTAACGTGCACCTCGCGCGACGAGGAGTTCGGGCTGTTCTCCTGCATTGTATGCATCGCAACATACCTACATCTTGTTAGCCACTAGATCACTAGCAAAGGCATGTTGGGAAACTTACAAGAATGTACCACCGGAAAAGAGAAGCAGCATCCCAGTTCGCCATTGGGTGCCTGTTGTATCCCCACTGGTTCCCGAGCCCATCAGGTGCACAAACAAAAAGGTCGCAAGGGCACCCACGGGGGCTGCCAGACTGAAAACCAACAAGTGTGCCCTCGCAGCACGGCTGGAAAGCCCTTGCTTTAGCAATATAGATGTAAGCCCAAACGACGCAGGTGCCTTGTGAACCATAATCGCCAGGAAAATAATAAAGCTCAGCCCCGTGTCTGAAGTCGACGCACCCAGCGCAATTCCATCAGCAGCTGCATGGATGACGAGACCGGTGGTGGTTGCGAAACTGTGACTGCGTCTGGGAGAGGTTGCGGCGTCCAGTAATCCACCCTCCCGTGAAGGCGAAGATGTTCGCCGCAATCCTGACCCCAAATTGTCCAAAGAGATGTGATATGGTGGCCTCTGTTGCTTTGAAGTAGACGCGAATTCAGGCAGTTTATCGACCATGTACATCAAGATGAAGCCGCTGACGAGGGCAACGCCAATCCAAGCATGGGGCGAACTCTCTTCGTCGTGATCTTCATCCGCCTTGTCCTGAGATGTATCCTCCTTTCTTCCATGCAGACCGTGATACTCGTCGTTGTGTGTAACATACACCGCACCTTCTGGTGCAGAGGATAGTCCCGATAATGCGAGAGATGAACGAGGAAGAATGGGGTCCTCTGATTGCGAATCAACCGTCGCAGCCACGACCGGAGCCTCCTGCTGCCAATTCACCCCCAAGTCCCGTGCACTGATGTCTTTCCGGCCACTGTGCGATTTCGCACTGTAAAGGGTGTCGACTCCTTCGGGAATGATCACTATCAATGATGTTCCAACCAAAACTCCCATGCCAACCGAGGATATTAATCGCAATTGAGAAGCGGAAAGCGCAAATGCCAATGGTAATGAGCCGACGACAAAGGATCTATAAGTAGAGAGATCTGTTAGTTCGCCGTTTCCATGTCGTATGAAGATCCAGGATTTTGGCAACTCACGTAATTGCCATCACAATGCTCAGGGCGAGCAATGTGAAAAGTCCCTCCATAATGGCCTCTTGTCCCTAGAGTTCGACACTCGCAACTAACTCTACAGACCTTCAATCATGGTGCCAAACCACCGTGTATTGTTGTGTTCGCGTGGGACTTCTCCCGGAGGTAGCGAAGCGGAGTTGTGCGTGCTAGATCCGACGGGATAGGTGGGAGTAGTTACGAAGAAAGGATTCCAGCGTGTTTATCCGGGACGAGGCACGAATGGGAGGTCTGACCGCGGTCGTTGCAATGGTGGTCGAGGTGGTGATGGTGGTTAGGGACAGAATTGCGATCCGACACAGTCGGAGAAGGGTAATTAAGTAAGGCACCGGCTCCATTCGCCGCCCCACGCGGGCACCCAGGAAAACCGTCAGGGGAACCATCAACGTCTTACATGGAATTCATTTGGTATTTCTTCCCATGGGTATCTTGGATATGACTAGAGTGTAAGGGTAAGATGGACTCCTATCTCTTAGGGACTGTATAGTTAGCGATATCCGACCGGCCTTCAGACGAATATCTAGTTTCGGAAACCGACCACTTGACCAGGTCAAAGAACAGAATCCTTACACAATGTCGAATGATACCAAATTCATATATGGTCAACTGTGCTTGTCCAATGATTTCAAGGGGATGTGCGACACCTTCGCGCGCTGCCAATCAGAAGTCCGACATACGAATGCCTGCCCCCCCCAATGCTGACAGTATTTCGAGTTCGAATCTATAACTTTGGAAATAACTAAACCAGAATTCCCACGTCTGCAGGAGTTCCATTGACTCTGCAAGCTGATTTCAAGGATCCTTCAACCAACGCCCAGAAGTATAGAGGGACAGGGACAAGGGGATTCCATGGTACGATGGGCAAACAGCTCCTGTTCGATATCTTAATATGCGAACATGGCCACACCAAAAACAACCAGCGCAGCTCGGACATCATCCCGGACTTTACTGCTTAATTATTATTTAATCAAGTTTATTGTCCATACCGAGCCCTAGAGCTATGACAGACCATTATCCGTGGACTTGAGGCCGTTAGCTATTCTACAGTCTCTTATCCCTATAAGTTCCTGGGGCACTAGCCCCCTTCCATACTCTTTCTGATCCTTTTCCTCGCCCCAGACCGCCTGTTTGCGCAGGGCTTTCGAGCACAGTGCTCTCCTTGTGTTTCGTGCGGAATGGGTGCGGCCTAGGCTGACTCCAGCTTAGGCTACCCTTCCTGCTATCCTTCTCCTGTTCGAATTGCCTCCTCCAATGCTTCCAATCCCCATTCATCGTCCCTTTGGGCCCTTTCT